CACACATGTCGAAGGCACCTGTTCCCCTCTTCTGCTATACTGACGATGTGCCTGGAGCCTTCATTATATTGTTACAAAAGTTGGGTGCCTGCCCCTCTCACTGCCAAGCGGTGGCAAGAGCCCGTGGGGTCCCAGGCACACGCACAGGGTCCGTGTCCCTTCGGAGACTGTTGTGCTTTAAGAAATAGGGTTTGTTCACCTTCTTACAACTTCAGTCTCAATGGAGGAAGTCCAGAGGCAGCAGCGCAGGCAACCTTCAGGCTGCCTCTCTCCAAGATAGATCTCCCCCTCTCCTTCCTCCTCCCAGAAAACCCCTGCTCAAAACACACAAGGGACCCCTGACCATTAGGTCCAGTCGCAGACGACTCTGGGGTTGCGGCGCTCATCTCGCTTTATTGGCCAAGGGAGCCGGCATGCAGCTTCCGGGTCATGTGGCCAGCATGACTAAGCCGCTTCTGGCGAACCAGAGCAGTGCACGGAAATGCCGTTTACCTTCCCGCCAAAGTGGTACCTATTTATCTACTTGCACTTTGATGTGCTTTTGAACTGCTAGGTTGGCAGGAGCAGGGACCGAGCAACAGGAGCTCACCCTGTCGCGGGGATTCGAACCGCCGACCTTCTGATCGGCAAGTCCTAGGCTCTGTGGTTTAACCCACAGCACCACCCACGTCCCTCCCATCACCTTGGCAACCCTTTAAACCCCTGTCTCTCTTCACACCTCAGGGCATGAGGGAAGTTCTCTTGCATTGCCTCAATGGGCCTCTGTCGTTCCCTTAAGGGCCCTAGCTTGGCCAGGCTGGTTTACATAAGCCAGCCCAGGAATCCCCTGTCTGGCACAGCTCTGCAGTTTGTGTTTCAATCTGTATCCCACTTAATCAAAATCTTAGCATTTATTCATTCCTAGGGTTTAGGGGGACTCTCCCCCCAATCTATAACACCATACTTTAGGTGCCAGGCAAAAATGTTCCTCTTCAACCAGGCCTTTGGCCGATTAATATTCTACAGCCTTTTGAATGTGTCTGTGGGAAGGGGGGAGTTATAGTTTTGCTGTTTTGTTTTAATTATTTACTTGTTTCACCCTGTATTTTATACTGTGAACCACTCTGAGATCTTACGATGGAGGGTGGTATATAAATATTGTTATTAACAACAACAACAACAACAACAACAACAACAACAACAACAAAGCAATATTACAGGAAGAACCCTTCTGTAAACTGGGGCTAGCCCGTATCATACTGCAGTTATACAAATCTATGGCACAACCACAATTGGCATACCAGTCGCCTCAGCTGAAAAAGGATATTGCAGAGTTGGGAAAGGTTCAGAAAAGGGCAACCAAAATGATCGAGGTGAGGGAGCGACTCCCCAATGAAAAAAGGTTGCAGCGTTTGGGGTTTTTAAATTTAGAGAAAAGGCAAGTAAGAGGCAACATGATAGACGTTTTTAACATAATGCATGGTACAGTACTGAGAAAGTGGAGGCAGAAAAGTTTCCCTCCCTCTCCCCTAACACTAGGACTCACAATAAAAAAATTCCACACAAAACCTCATACCAATAACAAGCTTAGTTGGTCTCTAAGGTGCTACTGGAAGGAATTTTTTTATTTTGTTTCGACTATGGCAGACCAACACAGCCACCTACCTGTAACTAGAACTAGGACTCACAGACATCTCAGGAAGCTGAGTGTTGGAAGATTCAGGGCAGATAAAAGGAAGGACTTCTTCACGCAGCGGATAGTTAAACTATGGAACTCTCTCCCACTGGAGGCAGTGATGGCTACCAGCCTAGATGGCTTTACAAGACAAATGGACAAATTTACAGAGCCAAAGGGCTATTGATGGCTTCTAGCCATGATGGCTGTGCTCTGCGTTCACCACCAAGCCAGATTTGAGATTGTAAGCTTTTTGGGAGCAGAGACCTGTGCTCCGGTATCGTTTAAAGTGGCAGGCATGTTGTTGGTTCTCTATAAACAATCAAGGATAAGGGAGGCGAAACAGGAAAGAGCTTGTGACAGACTGTTTGGGGGGAGAGAAGAAAGAGGTTCAGCAACAGCAGACAAGAAAAAGAGACAGAGGAGAATGAAAAGAAGAAGAGCCTCAGCATCAGTACCGCTGTCCCTCACCTGGTGCCCTGTTTTTTGGGGGGCTGATGGGAATTGTAGTCCTAAACAGCCACAGGGTACCAGGTTGTTGAAGGCAGCTCCAGAGTCTCTCAAAACCCTGCTGCGAGTCACCTTAGAATCATCAAATTGTGGAGGTAGAAGGGGCCCAAGGGTCATCTAGTCCAACCCCCTGCAGTGGTGATAAGGGCAGGTTCAGACATGCAGGCCGCCGTTTGATGATGGCTCGACCCTAAGTATGTGAACTGACTCCACTGAATGGCTCTATTGAGCCTGAGAATGTTCTTGGTGGTGGTGGATTCTTAAATCACGTAAGTCGCCCTAAGCGGACAGTCCTCAGGGGACAAGCGTGAAGGTGTGAACCTGAGTCCCTTGGGTGTCCAGAACAGAGGCTGAGGGTCCAGCCTGAGGCTCGCTTTCTCTGGCTAGTGGAAATACAGTTCCTCATTCCTTTGGCATGCTAATCATTGGTGTTGCCTGGGCAAAGAGGACAGGGACAAAAGTAACTTTTTATTTTATTTTTGGAAAAAGTTTCAGTCTGCTGTGCTTTAATTGGGCTGTCTGTCTTGTTTTCACTGCATGTTAATTTCGTGCTGTTCTTGTTTTGCAACTTGCGGAATGGTTAAAAAATAAATATTGAGCTGCCTTTTTGCAGCATCTGTAAATTTCCACTTGCTTAGACTAGCCTGGCCAGTTGCTGCAGTATCTGAAGGCTGGTCAGGGAGTTCTGTTCTGTTGAGCCATGCCCCTTCCCCCCAAATCATGTAAAAGGGGTCAGGGGCAAAGCCATCCTTCTGCCACAATACAAAGGCATTTGCTCTTAGGTTCCAGTTGGAAGACTAGGGTAAAATAGCTCCCTCTCCAAAGAGAGCTGCTGGTGGTGTAGTGGTTAGAGCACCAGACTAGGACCTGGGAGACTCAGGTTCAAATCCCCACTCAGCCATGATTCTCACTAGGTGATCTTGAGGCAGTCACTTACACTATCAGGCAAACCTACCTCAGAGGGTTGTTGTGGGGGTTAAGTGAAGACTAGGAGCTTGGAGACCTGGGTTCAAATCCCCCACTTGGCCATGAAGTTCCCTGGGTGACCTTTGCAGCTGGTCACTACATCTCAGCCTCGCCTACCTCACAGGGCTGTTGTGAGGATTAAATGGGGAGGAAGAGACCTATGTATATCACCTTGGAGGTAAGATGCAATACAGTGGTACCTCATGTTAAGTACTTAATTCGTTCAGGAGGTCCATACTTAACCTGAAACTGTTCTTAACCTGAAGCACCACTTTAGCTAATGGGGCCTCCTGCTGCCACCGCGCTGCTGGAGCACAATTTCTGTTCTCATCCTGAAGCAAAGTTCTTAACCTGAAGCACTATTTCTGGGTTAGCGGAGGCTGTAACCTGAAGCGTATGTAACCTGAGGTACCACTGTATACAAAAAGTACATTCCTTTTTCCCAAGAAGAGATACCCATGTTTTTACTACATGTTTTTAGGATGCCATTCTTGATAGAACTGATCTGTTGTTCTGTTAACCTTGCAATTCCTGGGGGTCTGGATGATGACCCTTTGGGTCCCTCTCAGCTCTACAGTTCTATGATACTATGATTGACAGTTTCTTGGGGAAATCACTTAAGGTCAAACCTAGGCAAGGACCTTTTTTAAGGTTTTGCAAACTCTTGCAGTTGACTGGCAGAAAGTTCTGATGCAACCAGAATCCTCTGAGTCTACTAAGACTTGGTTAATCCAGGAAGGAACAAACTGTTTATGGGGCAGCCGAGAGCAACTCATCTCTGGCCTGTTGTTTTCCTGGCTCCTTCTGCCTGTTGAATAATATCCCCGAGAGAGAGGATGTTGCTAAATAACCTGCATTATGAAAATGGGGTTTGACTGTATAACTTGGCAGAAGAGACAGCAGTTTCGAGCAACGCAAGCTGGCTAGGAAAGTATGTCTCCATAAAGCGGCCTTCCCCAAACAGGTGCCCTCCAGATGTTTTGGATTTGCAACGCCATCGGTCCCAGTCAGCCGATGGAGCTGCAGTTCAAAACATCTGGAAGGCACCAGGTTTGTTTGTTGCGTCCGAGCCTGGATGGAGGGAGAAATTCACAACAGTTTTCCTTGTACAGCAAACCTTTCTGAAACAATGCATGGACCAAAACACAGCCATCCTTGGAAAGTCACACTTCTCTGAATTTTGCAATGTGGTTTTCCAGCCAAGCCATGTGAGCAGAAGAGTGCATCTCCAAGGATAATGTGTGCATAAAAATGCATGTATTCTACGTGGGCAGCATCATTGGGAAATGGTGATAGGCCTCCAAGAACACATAGCAGATTATGGGATGATATCTTCGTACAAAAACCGAAATGGCATAAAAGTGAAATGTCATTAAACAGACATTTGGTGCTTCCGCTGGGGGGGGGGGCGGGCAGGATTGTTGAATATTGATCTTTGCTTCTCGTATAAATAAGTGAAAACAATAAAATATTTGAGGGGGGGATGCATATATATCATAAAGATAGCATACCTGAATGCAATATATGTAGGGAAATTGCTTTGCCAAAATGTGGAGATTAGGAGACAGTCATAGGGAAATTCTGGTGCATTTACAAGAGGGCTTAAGAAAAATTCACAGACTGGTGTGGAAAGGGGAGAACTCAGCTTGAGATTGCAAAAACTGAGAAACTGGGGTGGACAGCTTTACCTGGAGGGGCTTAACCCTAGCAGCGCCAGCAGCAAGCCGCGAGGTATACATAGTTCTGTCCTTGAACCACCTCGAAGCAGCCGCACCCTGGGAAGTTGCCCCAGAGCTCTTCCTGGTTTCTTTCTTTCCTCCCTGCCCTTCCTCTCTCCTGCCACTCAAGTGAGGCATTTGCAACCATCAATGTTTAAACTCCTTAACCAGACTCTCTGCAAACTGCTGCCGGAGGGGACCATCTCAGGGAGGCTTGCCAGGAGCGACTCAGATCGCCTAGGAGTACAGTGTTTTCAGCGGCATTTGGGAGCCCATCTGGTGGCTTGCAGCATAACTCAAGAGAAGATCTAAGGCGCTGCTTGATTTTCAGAGCTAGATTTGCACAACGGCGCACAGCATCGTCAAGTAAGACATTAACCTGGTGGATTTGGGCAGGTGCCTGTCAGTGGCCGCGATCGGCTGCTCCTTGCTACCTTTCAGGCCGACCTCAGAAACATTCTTGTTTCCGATTGTGTTTAATTGAGGGGGGTAGACTAAGGCTGTGTACGCATTGCCAGCTTAAAATGCCACAAGATTGTTCTTTTTCCGCATAAAATTGTGGAACTGGAAGGGACTCAAAGGTGCATCTAGTCCCACCCAGCCGCTGTGAGGGTGGTAAGGATGTTACCTATCATTGTCAGCCTTATTGATATATCCCATAAATTCATAGACTGTGGAAATGTAGAGTTGGAATAATAATGATAACAATAATTTATTATTTATACCCCGCCCATCTGGCTGGGTTTCCCCAGCCACTCTGGGTGGCTCCCAGCAGAATATTATTATTAATGATAAGAAAGTGATAAAACATTGATCATTAAAAACTTCCCTAAATAGGGCTGCCTACAGATGTCTTCTAAAAGTCAGACAGTTGTTTATTTCCTTGACATCTGATGGGAGGGTGCTCCACAGGGCGGGCGCCACTACCGAGAAGGCCATCTGCCTGGTTCCCTGCAATCTCACTTCTCACAGTGAGGGAACCACCAAAAGGCCCTTGGATCTGGACCTCAGTGTCCAGACTGAATGATAAAGGTGAAGACACTTCTTCAGGTATACTGGGACCCTGAGGGTCATTTAGTTCAACCCCCTGAAAAGCACATTTTTGCAAAGAAATTCTTCCTCACTATAATGCGTTCCTCTGCCCCCCCCATTATATGCATCTTTATGCACGCTTTACCCAAGCAAGTATATGGTTGCATATATAGGGAGAACTGTGCTACAAAATTTGGAGAGCCGTGAATTTTGAAGGAGTGCGGGGTTTCTACTCTGATATCATTTTGCAAATCAGGGAACTTTGCCTTTAAGTGCAAACTGAATCAAATCCCTACCAGCAGTCAACTTAGTTGATGTTTGTCTGCACCAGCCTCTTTGGAATCACAGGGAGTTGCGTGAGATTGCGGCTGTTTTTTCCCTGCTTTGCAAACCATTTTGAGCAGCCTTCCCCACCTTGGCACAGCTGTTTGATGTTGTTTGGTGTTGGTGGGAGTGCAGCTGCCCTTGCTGGAGCTGATGGGAGTCCAGAACATCTGGAAGGGCACCAGGTTGGGGAAGGTTGTCTTTGAGGGTGTGCACAGCAGGGTTTGGTCCGAGGCTGGTTCTCCGCTTGAACAATCTCATCTTTGGTGCCACATGGGGGAAGTCGTAAAAAGTTACTCATTAACATCTCCATTATTTACCTAGAATGTTGAACCTCCTTGCAGGTGCATAACATTCTCCTTTGGGTGGGTGGGGAGGATGGATGCCTGAACCCTTGCTTTATCCTTGTGGGGAAGGCAGGCAGGCAGGCAGGCGGGCAAGCGATCCTGTGTCCTGAACAACCTGGCAGAAATATTTAGCATCCAGAAAGGGTGGGGAAGGCGGTGTGCTTCAGCAGTCAGGTGGGGCTTTGTGTCACTGTGTGTTTTGCAAGATTCACACACTCTCTTGGATACAGGGCGTACACTGGCATGTTGAGATAAGCCGGGAGGGGGGACCTGCACGGTCACCAAGCCAAACATGAACACAGTGGCCTGCAGGGATGTCTCTTGCCAGACGCAGCAGGGAAGGTATGTAGCTGTGCCAGACAGCAGCTCCTGCAATTTAGAGGGGAAGGGGACAGGAGCCCATCGTGGTGCAAAGAGCCAGACTTTTGCCAGAGTTGGGGTGGGGCAGTAAATTTAAGGAGCGGTGGTGGCTTTGCTCCAGACCTCGGTCGCCTGGCCAGGACAGGAGTTAAGCCAAGAAAGGAGTTACTGGTAATTTATTTCATGAAATGTATTCATCGCTGGATTGAAAAGAAAAAAAAAGGAAACTAAAAGAGAGAGAGAAAGATAAAGCAAGACAGTATCCACAAGAAAAATTAACATTAAGGATTTAAAACTTTCAGAAAGTTAAAATAACAATAGGCTGAAAACGTTTGAGCTAAACAAGAAGGTTTTTAGCAGGTATTGAAGAGAGGACAGTGAAGGCAACTACCTGATATCAAAAGGCAGGGAGTTCCACAGTCTAGGTACTGCCACATTTCAGTTGCAGTCTCCTGTCGGTGTGATAAGGGGGTTGTCTCACTCCTTATACAGGCATCCCACCCCCTTACGTGCGATCGATTCATGTGCGATCGTGTATATGCAGGGTGCCGGGAAATAGATAATTTAATTCAAACTGGGAATGGCAGGAGAGAGCTGGAGAGTCCTCATGGCTTGCAAGGAGACCCTTCCCAGAGCCTGAAGAGGACATCAATGAGGGCGGACGAAGCCCTGAAGAGACCTGAGGTGCAGCGGAGCTTTGTTTAGGCTGCTCAGCTTCCCCGCCTAGTAGCTGATGTCCGGGGTAGCGCAGCAGCATTGGCTGCTTTCCCATGCATCCTCCAGCCTCCTGCCGGCACCGGAGCTCTAATTCTAGTTATGGATATTTTTGGATACAGTATTTTTGGTTACGGATTGGAGAGAGATCGGCAGAGAGGGCGCTCTCCACTTACACGATTTCCGCTTATGTGTGTGGGGGTCTAGAACGCAATCCCCACATAAGTGGGGGGATGCTTGTATATCCATCTGATCGCTTCGCTCTGTGGAAGAGAGTCTCTTAACAGGGACTATCTCACCGGGAAACCGTGTCTGTGGTGGCTCCTCACAGACCTCTAGCCCAATGGTTGCCATTAATTTGATTTGAACTGATTTTATAATGAACTGATTTTAGAATGCTGTATTATTTTACTGTTGTTAGCCGCTCTGAGCCCGGCTTTGGCTGGGGAGGGCGGGATATAAATAAAATGTTGTTGTTGTTGTTGTTGTTGTTGTTATTATTATTTTGGGGCTCCCTCCTGGTGTATATCCAACAGGGTCCATTTTTAATGTCCTTTTTGCACCTGGTAAAGATGTTCCTCTTTCAATGAACCATGTGAGCCAGTGTGGTGTAGTGGTTAAGAGCAATGGATTCATAATCTGGGGAACCGGGTTCGCGTCTCCGCTCCTCCACATGCAGCTGCTGGGTGACCTTGGGCCAGTCACACTTCTCTGAAGTCTCTCAGCCCCACTCACCTCACAGAGTGTTTCTTGTGGGGGAGGAAGGGAAAGGAGAATGTTAGCCGCTTTGAAACTCCTTAGGGTAGTGATAAAGCGGGATATCAAATCCAAACTCTTCTTCTTCTTCTTCATTTAAGTGGATTTTTAAAATAAAGAAAACCCTCTCTCTGTATTTGTATTGGTCTTAAAATTGTTATATATAAAATCATTTCAACAGTCCAAGTTCACGGTGTTGCTATTAGTATATCAGCCCTTAACAACGTTGGACCAGTTTACCTATGAGATCACCTTACACCCACTTGACCACTAGTGGAACTAGCTCTGTTACGTGTGCTATATAATACCTGTTCCACATTTGTAAGAACTTAGTATTTGCTGCAGCACCTCCCTGCCTGTTGATATCAGGTTAGTCATCACTGTCCTGCTAAAAACGCTTTTGTTCAGGCAAGCTGACCCAGATGCTTAGAAAGTCGATGTGAGTTTTAATCTGTTTTTAGTCTAACTTTCTGAAACTCTTTAGTTTAATTAGAGATAATTTTACTGTATCTTTTTCACAAACCGCTTTTAGGATTTATTTCTCTTTTCTTTATTTTACAATCAAGCGGTTTATAACTTGTACAAAATACAATCGTACCTTGGAAGTCGAATGGAATCTGTTCCAGAAGCCCGTTCGACTTCTAAAATGTTCGGAAGCCGAAGCGCAGCTTCTGATTGGCTGCAGGAAGCTCCTGCAGCCAATTGGAAGCTGACAAAGCTTCCGGCGGATGTTCGGCTTTCAAAAATAGTTTGCAAACCGGAACAGACACTTCCGGGTTTGCGGCATTCGGGAGCCAAAACGTTCGAGAACTAAGCTGTTTGAAATCCAAGGTACGACTGTAATAAAATGAAGAGAACATGAAATAAATATTAATGCTGACCTGCTTTCCTGGCTTGAAGTGGGATTGAGATGCACTTTGAAATTGGCTGCCAAAATACTGGCATCTGCTTAGGCTCAGGCTATTCAGGAAATTCTTGACTGGCCACACTTACAAGAAGAGAGGTGGGGTAAATGGGTGCAGGTGGCCATTATAGAAAATGGGGGCGGGAGGAAGTGGGTTAAAAGAAATAAAAGAGGTGAAGGATAATAGCAGGCTGAGAAAAGGTGTGGCCAAGTTATGCATTTTGTGGATTCTTCCTGCAGTGAATCAACACCTCCCTTTTTAAACAGTCCTCTTCTGCAAGGAATTTCTCATTGCCTAGGGAGAGTTCAATGCAGACTTCAAGGGCTCATCCTGGCTGCGTTTTGGTCACTGCATGTGAGAGAGAAGAGAGACTCTTAGCAACCTGGGGTAGTAGCTTGCCAGGCAGTGAGCTAGAACCAGAGGAATCAATTTCTACAGCAAATCGCAGCTCATGTGCTACAGAAATTCAGGGTAGGTAAGAAGGTTGAGCTAGGTTTCCACTTATGGAAATTTTGGGCAGGCAAGAAGAAGAGATGGGGGGTGGGTTGGTATTTTCCACATGCTTTTTACAGCTAGTTCTTGGGAGTCACCATCCAGCCCTCAAGATACAGCTTTGAGGTCATTTTCTTCTTTAAAAATGGGCTTCCTCTTGAGTTGATCCCAGCCAATCAGGAATCCTGTTGGGAATGGAATGCCACAAAGCTAGCACAGAGCAAGGGCAGTTTTTCCTGCCCTTATTCTGAGCAGCCTTTTTTACCCAGTTTTTCTGGCTCTTCTCTAAAAATCAATCTAAGGAGAGGTGGGTGGGAAACGCATTTTGCACCGGCTGTTTTGATTTGATTGTTTCTGCATCTTGTGCACCTGGCAGTGCTTCCATTCTGCTGCAGTTCATCTTCTACCAAAAAGACATTAGTATGTCTGCTGCGGCAAAATTATGTAACTTCAGCTCCCTTTTCTATTTTTGTCGGAATTCTCCGACATCTGCGCTGTGACTGAGGGCACGTATTTGTATCTCTAAAGAGGCCTGGCTCCGTAATGTCAGGATATACAGTGGTACCTCAGGTTAAGTACTTAATTCGTTCCGGAGGTCTGTTCTTAACCTGAAACTGTTCTTAACCTGAAGCACACTTTAGCTAATGGGGTCTCCTGCTGCTGCTGCGCCGCTGGAGCACGATTTCTGTTCCCATCCTGAAGCAAAGTTCTTAACCTAAGGTAATATTTCTGGGTTAGCGGAGGCTGTAACCTGAAGTGTATGTAACCTGAAGCGTATGTAACCCGTACATGTACCACTGTATAACCCCATCTGAACGCCTCCCACAACATAGGTGAGTGGTGAGAAGTGAAAAAAGATTGGTTTGAGATAGGGTGTTTTATTGTTTTCCTTTGTAAATAAGGACTCGGGATTCCCAGGCTCTCACAATCCCGAACGCCTCATTTTGGAGAGGTTATACAGTGAAGGCTTGACATCAATAGGCAGGGAGTTCCAAAGTGTAGGTGATGCCACACTACAAGTTTAAGTTCTTACAGCTGTGGAAATGGGTATTAGGTGGCACCCATAAAAGTGCCAGTTCCGCAGATTGAATCGGCAACCAGTGCAGTTCTCTAAGAACCACACAGAACTGTCAGTGACTCTTCTGAGATACCGTAATATAATACTTTGCTGTGATCTGACCTGACTCTGCACTTTGTACGCTAAAGCCCGTGTCTGTAACTAGATTCTGTTACATAGGTTGACTTGAAGTTCATAAAAAACCTGAAACTGTTCTTAACCTGAAGCACCACTTTAGCTAATGGGGTCTCCTGCTGCTGCCGCGCCGCTGGAGCACGATTTCTGTTCTCATCCTGAAGCAAAGTTCTTAACCTGAAGCACTATTTCTGGGTTAGCAGATTCTGTAACCTGAAGCGTATGTAACCTGAAGCGTATGTAACCCGAGGTACCACTGTACATACAAACAGAATTCTGTGACCTGAGAGCATGTGTTTGTATCTTCTGTGTAAAGCCATGCCTTCAGCCTGTGAGTGTTCATGGAGCTCCACTCCCTGAATCTAAGCCTGAGGAGAAGCTGCCATGTTTGCAAAGGGTCAAAATATGGAGTCCAGAAATTCTCTGGGGCTGCGTGCAGATTGTGTTTGGTACAAATTGCAATGTGTTGGTTGGGGAGAACCACCCAGTAGCTTGAACCCTCTCCTTAAGTAGTGGGGCTGCTGCCACTTGAGTTTTATGCCTGGGGAAGTGACTTGGGGGGGGGCACCAATCCTAACCCTCATTGGTTCCTGTACACTTGCTGAGGCCCATCTCTCGATCATTTTCATTCCTATATCAACCTCGTGTGCTGTCTCTTTCCTTTAAAAACGCCCCCAGGTATCCGTGACAAGTCTGAACGGAGGCGCCGATGAAGACTTAATCCAACCTGCCTGTCTCTCAGGTGGGAAAGTTCTTCCCAGAGGAAAACTCTCCGCCCAGATCAGCTCGTGACCATGAACACCATCCTGAGTTTGAAGCTTCCCCGGCTGCTCAACACCGACCAGGTTCCCAAAGTGAGTAAAGGGGGTCTTTGCAACATGGGTCTCATGCAAGGCGAATGCCACCCTGGGTAAGGCAGTGTGGCATAATAGTGTGACTAAGGAACGCGGGTGGCGCTGTGGGTTAAACCACAGAGCCCAGGACTTGCCTATCAGAAGATTGGTGGTTCGAATCCCTGTGACGGGGTGAGTTCCCGCTGCTCGGTCCCTGCTCCTGCCAACCTAGCAGTTTGAAAGCGCGTCAAAGTGCAAGTAGATAAATAGGTACCGCTCCGGCAGGAAGGTAAACGGCATTTCTGTGCGCTGCTCTGGTTCGCCAGAAGCGGCTTAGTCATGCTGGCCACATGAACCGGAAGCTGTACGCCGGCTCCCTTGGCCAGTAAAGTGAGATGAGCGCCGCAACCCCAGAGTCGGTCACGACTGGACCTAATGGTCAGGGGTCCCTTTTCCCTCTACCTTTTTGACCTGGGAGACCAGGGTTCGAAACCCCTCGCTCGGCCCTGAAGTTTGCTGGGTGTGACCTCAGGCCAATCACTGCCAGTCTAATTATTATTATGATAGTTTTTTATTAGAATTGACGATGGTAAGTAATAATTAGAATGTTGGGACTTCCAGGTTAGCGCCATCGGCGAATGGCGGAGTTCCTCCAACTGGAGGAACTGGCTCCGTGGAAACTGGGTCTTCCCGCCGCGGCGAAGGTGGGGACCCGCTAGAAATCCCAGGCGGAGGAAGCCTGGGAACGTGGGGTGCGGCAGGGCACCAGGAGCGCCTCCCCTACTCACGGGGAACCCCATTTCGGGGTTCCGGAGTGAAGTGGGGTGAGCGGCGCGGTGCTGCGAACTGATTGCTACTTTCACGGAGTGAAGCCGCACAGCCATTGCCGGAGAGCGCTGACTTTTCCTGTGGACAATTGGATTTAAAACAAGTACCCGTGAGTAGAAACGGAAAATTGGATCAAGAAATACCCTAATTTGGCACCGAAGCGGGAAGGTTCAAACAGGAAGTCCGCCTTCCGCTTTTTGTACATAGACTGAAGCAAAAACCTTGTAAGCTAAATCCGGAAAGTCGTTAAAAAAGTCTAAATTTCCTTCATTTATAACTACTAAAACCCCCTTGGAAGCAGGAGAAAAGGGGGGTGGAATCTTTGTTTAAGCCTGCAGGAGAGGAAGTGAAGAAAGATAAGCTTCCACCGTCTCAAACCTGGGAACGGGGGGTCAGAGACAGAAATTGTTGGAGAGGTTCACTGACTGTGAATGGAATACTTTGACAGATAGCTAAAGAAGAGAAATAAACTGATTCCAATGTTGCCTTTTGCATTCTAAAGAAACAAAATATCTGAAAAATGAAAGTAATTTTCCTTTGTTGGACTTGCCTTAAAAAGATGGATACAAATAGAAATTGTCTCCTCTAGAGGGAGCTTGTTAAATTGTTGCTGCAGTCTACTTGAGGACTCTACAGCTGTGAGATTAAGATCGTGGGACCAGTCCTTTTGACCTCGAAAAAAAGGAGCTGGGAGGAAGTTTTGGTGCTTGCTTTATGCAAGACAAGTGCTTTGTTGGAACAGATGCATGAGAAGATGGATCTGATGAATGAGAAAACGGATTTGATGACTGTTGTGGTCAATAACTGTGGACAAACAGGGAATATTGATACAGAAACCATTCAGGGACCAACTCAGGAACCTGTATTGATGGGGCAAGTGCAGAAGATAATGGAGGAGGTTGTGGTTGCACCTCAAATACTACAAATGGAGAGATCCGAGGCCCTGCAGGAGCATAAGCCGCTGTCTTTGAAGATTGAAGTTGGAGTGGGCCAGGGGGAGTCTGGAGCTGAGGAGGTTCTTAACTTCGGAGGGACTTTGAAATATGCTCTTAAATATTTTTTGGATTACATTGATGACTGTGGGGAGTGGGACTGTGGGGAATGGGCTGGTTTGATGAAGGGAGATGGAGATAATCTTGGGCTGGAACCTCCCAGAGACCTACTCCTCAATGAGAAAGGAAAGAAATTAAGAAAGAGACCAACAAAAGACAAGGAAAAGTGCAGGTATAAACAAGAAGAAGAAGATCTGCAGAAGGGACATGGAAGAGACTTAAGAGCCTCGGATATAAGATTACCGGGTTGATGGACTAGATGGAATGGACAGTAAGGACTGACATGACCCGAGACCAGGAAGAAGAGACGCTGGATGAAGATTGGAAGAAAATTTCTAAAGAAAAATTTTTATTTAGGGAATTAGCCTAAAATTAATGAATATTAGGGAAAATGTTGGAATGAAACTATATGGCTTTAGTAGAAATGATATAAGGAGTTATGTATAATTGAGTATTAAGTTTCAAGCTCTAAGGTATTTTACGGTAAGATAAGGTTAAATAAATTAAGGTAATTTGAATAACAGAATATGGGGAAAGATGGAAAGGATTTGTTGAATTGATTAATAGGTTAAATTGTTAAGATAAATTATTCAATAAAAATTGAGAAAGATGGAAAGAATTTGCTGAAATAACTAATTAAACTAGAATACAAAAAGGGAGGTGCAAGGAGGTCAATGAAACAAGCAAATGGAAGTTAAAGATATGTAACATGGGATTTGTGTCTTTTTGTGTTCTTTTTTATTTTTTTGCTGTATTGCTGTATTGGTTTTTATGCTTTGTTTTCTTTTTTTCTTCTTTTTTATGTACTGTAGTGTTGTTTCCTATTTTTTCTTTTTTTCCTGTAATTCTGAAACTTTTAATAAATATTACTTTTTAAAAAAGGTAATAATTATAATGTTATTATTAGTACCCTGCCCATCTGACCGTGTTGCCCAAGCCGCCTACATCACAGGGTTGTTATGGAGATTAAATGACAAGGGGAAGAACGATGTGTGCCGCTTCAAGCTGCTTGGAGGAAAGGCGGGATGCAAATGAAACAACAACAACAACAACAACAACAACAACAACAACAACAACAACAACAACTTTATTTATATGCCATCCACCTGACTGGGTTGCCCCAGCCACTCTGGGTGGCTTTCAGCAAAGTATTAAACTACAGTAAAACCTCAAACATTAAAAACTTTCCTATAGAGGGCTGCCTTCAGATGTCTTCTAAAAGTCAGAGAGTTGTCTATATTATTGGTTTTATTTAGAGCATATTCTTCCCACCCTTCCAGGAATTCTGGGAACTGTAGTCTGTTTGGAGTGCTGGGGATTGAAGCTTTGTGAGGGGTGAACTACAGTTCCCACAATACTTGGAGGTGGGAATATGCTCTAAATGTAGGGTGGGGTGCAGCTTTAATTTCCACCTTGACTGGCCACATGGTTTGAAACCAGGATGGTCTCAATTCTCTTCCCTGCTGCATCATCTTCTTTAAAGAGGGCAAAGCTCCAAAGTGGGGCTTGGAGGAAGCAACCGGCACAGCACTAGCAGAGGCAGAGGTGCCCCAACCATGGGGCAAAGTAAGGCAACTGCTACAGGTGCTGGAGAGGAGTGGCAGCAGGCCCCATCCCCAGACTGTCCTTTCTAAGCCCCCTGGCCACCCCCCTCTGAAATATACTCGGAGTCGAGAGTGGATTTCATGCTCTTTATTCAGCTCATAATGGTGAGGGGGAATGGAAGTTCCCCCAGAATGTCTGCTTTATATACATTATTTACACAATGGCCCCCATGTGATTGGCTAATTCCGGGATTCACCTGTAGGCCAATCAGGTTGCAGATTCACTTCCACCTGGAGCTGGATTGGGTGGCTCCTGTGGACCAATCAGACTGCTGCATTCTGGACCCTATTGTTCTAGGACCAATCAGACTGCTGCATTCTGAATCCTATTGTTCTAGGACCAATCAGACTGCTGCCTTTTGGATCCTATTCAACTCAGTACATAACTGAGGGCAGGTGTATGTATGCTCCCTGCCTCCCTCCACCTCCCCAACCGGTCCTGCTGCCCCCAGATGTGCTGGAGGATGCACTTAGCATCTCTAGTATTTGAGTGAGCTTCATCTGACAGTCTGCTTGGCTTCTGTCTGAGGAAAGGCTGGGGGGGGGGTGTCATGCCATTTTGTCCTTCAAACCAGGCTGCAAAATATTTATCCATTTATTTCATCAAATTTATACACCGCTTGATTCTTAACAAAACAACAACTAACAACCTCAAAGCAGTTTACAAAAAAAGAAAGATAAAGCCATACAATTGTCACCAGGAAGAATTAACGACAAGAATTTAAAACTTTCAAACAGTTAAAATAACAATACGCTAAAAACAGATTTTAAAAGTGCGTCAACTTTCTTAAAACCCGGACAGACATGTCTAAACAATAATGTTTTTAGCAGGTGGTGAAAAGAATACAATGGTGTCAATAGTCAAGGGAGTTTCAAAGTGTGGGTGCTGCCTCACGGAAATAACTCGTTCTTACAAATGTGGAACGGGTATGACGTAGCAGCTGTGAAATGCCAGTTCTGCCAACCGAAGCGGTTGTGTGGGCAAGGCGACCTCAGCAGTCTTGGCCAGTCGTGAGAGGAAGGGCACCTTCTGACCATGTTTGAACACATGCGGTGCCCACTGAGGTCACAGCCCTCACTTGAAGGAAGGTGGGCAGCAGGAAGACTGGGCTGGACCTCTGCCCAAGAATCTGCCCCAAATACTGCCAGAGCAGACCCTCCAAGTGTCCCTTTTTCCAGGGGCAGCCGCAAATTTACAGAAGCCGTCCCGGTTCCTGGTTCGATCCAGGAATGTCCTGCTTTTTCCTTGGGCTGCCCCCATTTTCATCGGAAAAACATTGGAGGGTATGGAGTTATGCGACCCCCGAGCCAAGGAGATAAGTAACTATACAGTGGTAACTTGGTTCTCAAACTCAACCCGTTCCATGAATCTGTTCGACTCCTGAAACTCTTCAAAAACCAAGGTGCGGCTCCCGATTGGCTGCAGGTGCTTCCTGTGCTCAAGCGGAAGCTGCGGAAGCCGCGTCGGACGTTCAGCTTCCTAAAAGCATTTGCAAACCGGAACACTTACTTCTGGGTTTGCAGTGTTCAGGAGCCGATTTGTTCAACAACTAAGCCGTTCAGCAACCAAGGTACCACTGTACAACCTTTAGAAGACATCTGAAGGCAGCCCTATATAGGGAAGATTTTTAAAAATGTTTAATGTTTTATTGTGTTTTTATATATGTTGGAAGTCACCCAGAGTGGCTGGGGCAACCCAGTCAGATGGGTGGGGTATAAATAATAGAATAATTATATGTATTTAGGATGTCCCTTGTTTCATCGGAGAAATGTTGGCACATATGCCAGAGCAGACTGTTCCAGGCCAGAAGGAAACCCTGGTTTGGGCATAGGAAGCTGCCTTACATGGAATCAGACCATTGGGTCTATTTGGCTCCACATTGTCTGCACTGACTGGCAGCAGCTCTCCAGTGTTCCAGGCAGGAGTCTCCCCCAGCCCTACCTGGAGCTGCCGTGGATTGGGGCCCTTCTGCCCGTGAGGCAGATGCTCCATGACTGAGATACAGCTCTTCCCGTGACTCTGCGTGAGCATTAAGTTCCATGAGCCGGTAACTCTTGGAAGAATTTCAACCTCCCAGGACATTTGGAGGCAAACATGAAAGTCAGTCTACCCAAGCAAGTTTCAGCATGAAGCGAAGTTGGCACTGTGGGCCTTAGGTCCCAGCTAATCCCGGGAGCGGCTTGCTTGTGACAGAAAAGACCTCTTGAGGTGTTGGTCTAGGTAGCCTATTGAACTTGCTTTGCTTATTCATCGGTGGCTGCTAGGCAGGAGACGGTCACACCCATACAGACTGAATTCAGCATTCTCCATTTCTGTTCTGCGGAGTACTAGCTGCCACTCCACTTAGATTTGCATTTGGCGTGGCTTTCTGAACAACGCCTTTCTTTTTCTGAGGGTCTCATGAGGGCACATCGCATGCCTACAGACCTGGGGGGGCTCCTTCGTAACTGAAAGTAGGGTCTGGAGAGGAATGGACAGATCTGTCCTTTTCAATTTTAAGTTGATATTATCCCATTTTTGAATTATGATGATGATGATACTATAATTCAGTTATACCCTGCCCATCTGGCTGAGTTGCCCAAGCCACTCTGGGTGGCTTCCAAAACATAAAAACATAATGAAACATCAAACATTACTAGTAACAATCTGATCCAACATAAAAGTCACTATAGCTTTAAAATAAACAACTTATATCAAACAAAGCAACAATCCATCAGAATCTAATAGTAAACAGTAAAATTAAACATCAGCAAATAATAATTAAACAGTTCAACCACAGTAAAGAATTACCAGTCTATAATCAATAAAAGTAACAGCAAATCACAATGCATAAAATACCACAAAACATACAAAACCATGTAAAAGGATCAAACTGAGAAACAAAAGGGCACAACTTATAAAACTAATTTTTAAAAATATCCCTGAACTCTCTTCCCAGCTGCTGCTTCTGCTGCTCTTAAAGTCATAGCCTAGGAAAGACTGGGTGGGGAAAGGTAGGGGGAACGCCATTGCCTGATGAGGAACAGAAAGTCTCTCTCCCCTCACAAGTTGGCAAACCTCTCTTTTTAAAGCCCATGTAGAAAATGGTGCAGATTTTTGCATGTACTTCCCCTGATCCAATGCATTTTTTTCAAAGTCATTTTCATTAACGTACACATTTTTTGTAAGCACTTTTCCTCTAATACTTGCTGTTTAAAATATTTTAATGGCTTGTGGACTGCATTGCCGCATTTGGATAGCTTGAGACTTTGGAGGAAAGCTATATTTTGGTTCAGGAAGTACAGATGAGTAGATTGCTATTAAAAATGTGAGCCCAGTAAATGCCACCCAACTGCATGTGGCCCACAAAATTTTATGCTGCGAAAAACGTGCCAGCCTTTTCATGTGCCAGGAGACGCTTTGCTGTGTTTTCTTCAACAGAACTAAATGAATCCCTCTCAGAGATTAAGCCCCCCCCCCCGCCAAAATCTACAACACTTACCTTTGAATACAACTACAGTGGTACCTTGGGTTACATACGCTTCGGGTTACATACTCTTCAGGTTACAGACTCCACTAACCCAGAAATAGTACCTCAGGTTAAGAACTTTGCTTCAGGATGAGAACAGAAATTGTGCTTCAGCAGCGCAGCGGCAGCAGGAGGCCCCATTAGCTAAAGTGGTGCTTCAGGTTAAGAACAGTTTCAGGTTAAGAACGGACCTCCGGAAAGAATTAAGTACTTAAACCGAGGTACCACTGTACAGTCTTAATGAGCGATCACGGAGTCCAGCAAACAGAAAGAACTTTTATTATAAGTTTTGTTCATAATTGTGGTGGTGGAGACATCTGGTGGACATTTCCGAAGCAAAAAGACAGCAGCCAGCTTGAAACACCTGGCCTGCATTTTCTAGGCTCTTTACATCAGTGGTTCCCAAAGAGGGTGGCACTGCCCCCTAGCAGATGCTGGGATTCCCCTGGGGGGTGCGCGTTGTGCTAAGAGGCAAGGGGGCGACAGGAAGGCACTGGAGGTGTAAATGACAATCAGAGGTCCTGTTTGCAAAAAGCTGGTATGACTGGATCAAGTTTATTTTGTTGAAATTAAACTAGTTGTTAAAAAAAAAAAGTGCAATGAATTGTTACTGTTTTGACTTTTATTGTGTTCTTATCTTCCTTGAAGGGTTATGCAAACCACTATTCTGAAGAGTGGTTTTTGTGGAGAAGGGTAGGAGTACAGTTTATGGAACCAGGGGTGGGGTGGGGTGGCCCTCAAAAAGTTTGGGAACCACAGATCTACACTGCCTGTTCACTCTGCATCCAGGGTGCTGGTTACACAATGTAAGCAGCAATCTGGATCTATTCTGTTGTTTCTTACGAAATGCTGCATTTTCATGTGTTTATACCCAAATCAGCTGTGATCCAAATTGAGACAAAGGATGCCCTGGCTGCAACTTAAGTTGGGAATGGGTGCACAGTCCTAGTTTACGTTCTTTGAAAGCTTTTAATCAGCCTTCAAGAACCCACGAAAGTTGCAAAATTAATCTCCAGAGGTCCTGTTTGCAAAGCAGGCATCACCGTGCCTTTGTCGTTGTTGCTGGAGCTCCCTAGCCCCCTTCTCCCGCTTAGGACTATCGAGGTTGGCTGTGAACTATGCAAGTTGTAGCAAATTTGGCTCATCTCCAGTTTGTTGGCTGTCCTCCTGCAGGTTTTCCGAGAGAAGGGCATTCTTTTTGGGTACCGTCACCCAAGAAGTTCCGCAACAGATTGCATTGTCAGCCTTTTCCAAATGACAAATGAAACTGTGAATATCTGGACGCATTTTCTGCCTGCCTGGTATGTGATGATCTGTCTGTGCACTTGAAATATATAAAAGAAGGAGCTGTGTTCCTTGACAATGGCCTCAAAGGAGCTGTGGGCTTTTGATTTAAGGGGTGGGACGTGGGTGGCGCTGTGGTTTAAACCACAGAGTCTAGGGCTTGCCAATCAGAAGGTCGGCGGTTTGAATCCCTGCGACGGGGTGAGCTCCCGTTGTTCGGTCCCTGCTCCTGCCAACCTAGCAGTTCAAAAGCACGTCAAAGTGCAAGTAGATAAATAGGTACCAGTCTGACGGGAAGGTAAACGGCGTTTCTGTGCACTGCTCTGGTTTGCCAGAAGCAGCTTTGACATGCTGGCCACATGACCCGGAAGCTGTCTGAAGACGAACACCGGCTCCCTCAGCCTATATAGAGCGAGATGAGTGCACAACCCCAGAGTTGTCCACAACTGGACGTAATGGTCAGGGGTACCTTTACCTTTACCTTTACCATTTCATAAACTCATAGAATCATAGGATTGTAGAGTTGGAAGGGACCCTGAGGTTCATCTAGTCCAGGGGCCGGCAAACTTTTTCAGCAGGGGGCCGGTTCACTGCCCCTCAGACCTTGTGGGGGGCCGGACTATATTTTGAAAAATAATATGAACGAATTCCTATGCCCCACAAATAACCCAGAGGTGCATTTGAAATAAAAGCACACATTCTACTCATGTAAAAACATGCTGATTCCTGGACCGTTCGCGGGCCGGATTGAGAAGGCGATTGGGCCAGATCCAGCCCCCGGGTCTTATTTTGCCTCCCCATGATCTAGTCCAATCCCCTGCAGTGGAGGAATCACAGCTTAAAGAATCCCTGACAGACGGGCCTCTAACCTTTGTTTAAAAACAAACCACCACCTTCCAAGGGGCTCCGTTCCACTGTCAAAGAGCTCTTACCGTTCAGAAGGTTCTTAATGTATAGTTGGATTCTCTTGTAATTTTAATCCATCACTTTGGGTCTTGCCCTCTGGAGCAGCAGAAAACAAGCTTGCTCCATCTTCCATGCAACAGCCCTGCAGATATTTGGAGATAGCTATCATTTCTCAGGGTTCATCCACACTTCCTTTGTGCCGTGCTAGGCACAGGTCTGGGATTTACAGGTCAGTCTCTGAGCGGGGTTTCCCCCCCCCTTTCCCCCAGAGATCCCATGTTTTACTGCTGAATCGGAGACCCCATGAACTTTGCTCCATTCAGTGGTAAAACATGGGTTTTCCTGGGGAAGGCAGCGGAAGAAAAAAAACCTGCTTGGACACAGATTTGGAAATCCCGGACCTGTGTCTAGAAACGCAGGACAGAATGCAGCAGTAACCCCCCCCCCCCGATCAAGTAAATCAATACAAATAATTAACTAAATTATTTAATTAACTATTTAAATTATTAACTATTAAATAATTTATTATTAACTATTATTATTAACTATTAAATAATTAACTCTTTCATAGCACTGGAACTTGTGGACACGCTATGAAGCTGAATGTAGGAAGATTCAGGCAGAGGAAAAAAAGAAAGGTTGTCCCCACGCAGCACAGAATTAAACTATGGAACTCTCTCCCACTGGAGGCAATGATGGCCACAAACCTAGATGCCTTTAAAAGAGGATTGGACAAAGTCACAGAGGAGAGGGCTATTGAAGCTGCTAGCCATGATGGCTATGCTTTGCTGCCACGGTTGTTGGCAGCGATACTTCTGAATGCCAGTTGCTGGAAACCAAAAGGAGGGGAGAGGGCTCTTGTGCTCGAATCCTGCTTGTGGGCTTCCCATTGGGGCATCTGGTTGGCCAGTATGAGAACAGGATGCTGGACTAGATGGGCTACTGGCCTGACCCAGCAGGGCTCTTCTTACATTCTGGTTAAGTTCACCCCATGCTCTAAACACCTCCGTGCACATCTAGTCACTTGCAAACAATAAGGCCACCACGTTCTCTCTGCAGCAGCTGCCAAAGCACCAAGAATTACTCAAGGAGCAACAGCCAGCCGCTGGAGGAGGGGGGGGGGATTAGCATCGTGGCCTCAGGTAATCTCAACGAATGGGCTTGCTTGGGATGGGCACACGCACCCTGCAATGACAGCTGTCACTTAAACAGAAAGGAAGGGGAATGAATACATTACCGGAGGTTCCAGCCTGCCTCCAGGAATATTACAGGTGGCATTTATCGAATGTGTGGGAGTTACTTAGCAGCTCAATATCTTAACCTTGAAGTTGCCTGGGAAGCAAGATCCTGCTTGCTGGTTTCCCACGGGCATCTGGGTGACCATTGGGAGAACAGAATGCTGGACTAGATGGGCCCTTGGCCTGACCCAGCAGACTCTTCTTATCTTCTTAAGGTAAGCTACAAGACTGTTGCTGCTAGCTGATTGGCTTTTCTGCTTTCTAGGTACTTCCTATGGAAGCTTTTGGCCTTAGTCTACGCCTTGGATGTCTGGAGGGACTCATACACCTGGCCCTTTCTGGCTTACATGGTCACCTGCTGCATCTACCCGCTGACGTCCAGCATCGCTCACACGTTCAGCACCATGTCCAGCAGGGCCAGGCATATCTGCTACTTCTTTGATTATGGTGGCCTCGCCCTGTACAGCTTAGGTGAGGATGCGAGCCAATGTATCGGAGCCTTGACTTGAGGTGTGTTCCTTTTGCAGCAGGGAGATTATTGCATTTTTCCTAATGCGCAAACCGCAGTGTTTTGCCGCCAAGAAAATGTGTCGTTCCCCACAGAGGGCACCACAGCTGTGGCTCCGAGTGCTGCGGAGAATGTGGTTGCCTGTGCATCATAGGAACAGAGGAAGCGACCTTGTAAGTAAGCAAAGCAATTTGGGCTTGTCCACACTTAGAAGGCACAGGGTCGAGTGGTTTCCTTTTTGCCCCGCTCCTTCCCCAGGGAAAAGCCGTTCTTTGGTGCTAATTCAGAGCAAACATCAATCTGGACAAAACCCAAATTGCTGTTTGCTTCAATTGAGCTCTAAAGAGTGGTTTTTCCTGGAGGAAAGCAGCAGGACAAGAGGAAGTGAGGGCAAGCCCTTAGTCCATCTAGCTCAGGACTGTCTACACTGACTGGCAGCAGCTCTCTAAGGTTTCAGGCTGGGGTCTCTCCTAGAAATGCTGCCAGGAATTGAGCCTGGGACTTCTTAGTTTGTGAGTGGTCCCATTTTGGTTAGAAAAAGATTGCCATGCGCCACACAAGTTTAGCATTGGGGGGAAGCGGTGAGGTGTCCGTGGAAACGCAGGTTGTCTGATAGAGTTGTGGGGTCTGCTTTATCCCTTTAGGCTCCGCCATTGCTTATTCTGCCTACGTTTTCCCCGAAGAATGGATTGGCAGCACATTCCACCATTACTACGTCGCCACTGCTGTGCTCAACACAGTCGTGGGCACAAGCCTTTCCTGCTATTCCAGGTATTGACAGCTTCCTCTCTGCAATGGGAATGCAGCTCGGAATGTGCCATCCTGGGTTGGGGAGAATAATATTTATTCTGGAACTGAGTCAATTACACTAGAAAGCAGCCCCCCCCCAACGAAATATATATTTATTTTCTATTTCAATAGCACTATAAATATCAGACCACAATTCCGATCAGCCCCAGCCAGCAACCTTTGCCAACCTGGTGCCCTCCAGATGGCAGTGACCTCCCATCATCCCTGAAGGGCTGGAGCTGAAGGGAGTTGGAGACCAACAACATCTGGAGGTGTCATGTTAGCTAACCCTTACGTAGATGGTGATTTCCTGTGTAACACAAGGAAATAAATACAGTGGTACCTCGGGTTAAGTACTTAATTCGTTCTGGAGGTCCGTTCTTAACCTGAAACTGTTCTTAACCTGAAGCACCACTTTAGCTAATGGGGCCTCCCGCTGCCGCCATGCCGCCGGAGCACGATTTCTGTTCTCATCCTGAAGCAAAGTTTTTAAACCCGAGGTAATATTTCTCGGTTAGCGGAGTCTGTAACCTGAAGCATCCATAACCTGAAGCGTATGTAACCCAAGGTACCATTGTATAGGGCTCCCACCTCAAGGGATTTTATGATATGTGAGTAGTGAGGGAGGATGGTACCTGAATAAATTCAACACTCTGGGCTGGACTTGATACTGCCTCTCCCTGATCCACCTGATACATGTCAGGGGAAGGACAATAAGCCTCCCCCCACATCGTCTAGTGTGCCCACCACATTTCTGATGAGCCCGGTTGAGGGTGATGAGGTAGCATTCAAATACAGGGGAGATCTCAGCCTGTCAGAGGTGGTGAGCATACTGAGTCGGGTGATGCTTTGTTAAGATTGGATCAGGGAGAAGCACTGGTATATACTCATTTTCAAAGTGATGAGGCTGGTTTGCAGGTGGTTGGAATAGATCAGCCTTTCTCAACCTTGGGTCCCCAGATGTTTTTGGCCTACAACTCCCATCATCCCTGACCACTGGTCCTGTGAGCTAGGGATCATGGGAGTTGTAGGCCCAAACTTCTGGGGACTCAAGGTTGAGAACCACTGGAATAGATGATGCTTTGGTTCCCTTGCAACTCTCCAATTCTATTATTTTAATTAGGTGGAATGTACCTTTTTTTAAAAGAAAAAAGTCAATACTTGTGGACATTGCCTGCATAATCAGAACAATAAAGCCAACTAGATGGCTTTAAAAGGGGATTAGACCCATTCATGCATGGGGTGCCAACTTTGATAAAATATTGGGGTGGTGGTGGTAAGCTCCACCCTGCATAATTGATCATGACATGGTGCACACACCCCATTTGAATGGCAATGTTAATCAACCTTTTGAGGGCTGGTCCTCTCAAATATTGTGGGGGGGGGGCACGCGAAGGGACCTGAGCCTATAGAAGTTGGCTCCTATGTTCATGGAGGAGAAAGCTGTTGATGGCTATTAGCTACAAAAACTATGCCTCCACAGTTGGAGGCAGCAATGTTTCTGAATACCAGCTGCTGGAAACCGCAGGAGGGGAGAGAGCTCTTGTGCTCAGATCCTGCCACTGGGCTTCCCACTGCAGCATCTGGTTGGCCACTGTGAGAACAGGATGCTGGACAAGGTGGGTCATTGGCCGGATCCGGCAGACTCTCCTTATATTCTTATTCAAAGCACTGAGTTAGGCTAGACTGGCAATAAGATACATGCCATTTATACAAGCATGTCCAAGTATTTATTTCTGCATCCAAGCATTTTTCTCATGCGAACTTACTGTGTGTAACCAACAGGCTCGGCCTTCCCTATTTCCATTATAAGAGTGGCGGCATAGAAAGGTAACATGGGCCCCTCTCAATTGAGGTGTAGATTGGAAAGCAGGCAGGAGACACTAACAACCAAAACAGTGATTCCACCTAATTGACGACAGTTGGTGGCTAATAGTCAATATGTCACCCATGTCAATACGGACTCTTAATTGGGAACAAATCAGTCTTCTTCCAATACTAACCCAGGTGCCTAATCAGTGATCACAGTGGTGGTGGTGATAGCTAATATCAGCAGCTGCTTAAAGGTGCAAAGGGAAAACAAGACATTGATAATGATAATGATACATTTCTGAAGGCTTCCTTTTAGTCCAAAGGTCAGCTGGCTTTGCTACATCCTTTGGCATGTACTTTTCATTTTAATTTTCACTTTCTTTGCCCACATCCTGCTGGTGACGCTCTATCCCGTGTTTTCCATGCATTCTGCCAAACAGATGACCTAAATCAGGATGAAGAGGCCTTGGATTGATGGTTCAAAATTCAGGCTTCATAAAGCAAGTTCCAAGCTTCCATCATAGAGAACAGTGAAGTGAGGATTTTTCTTAGGCTACATGACTTTTGGCCCACCCTCAGTGAGGGGTGGTTTGGATACATCCTGTAATGTAACATGTTTGGGCAATTCATCAGTTGGGAAACTGCTCACAGGTTCCGTGATATGCCAAAATTGCACAACTGAAGTGGATGTAGGGTTCTTGCACAATAAACCCACTTTTTCTTTTTTTAAAAAAACAACCATATTTTTTTGGCTAAGAAAAGTGACAGGAGTCCACACTAGAAAGTGTGGTATAGCGGCAACATCATATAACTTCCGTGCAATCAGATCAGAATTAACGTTAGATTAACAGTGTTTTATAGAAACAGAAATCTGGGTGACGGCTCAACAAATGGGTCATCTGTAAGAGCTCAGTGTAAAATGAAAACAACCAACCGCGCCCACCAATAATTAAAATTATTTATTTGAGTTCCAAGTATTTTCTTTGGCCTCTTGTGCTTTGAGTCTTCCCTTCTTTATAAGCTTGAATCAGTTGAGTTGAACGAAGGTTTCCTAACCACCTGAGCAGAAAAAGTCATTGGGGCTGTGCACAGTATGGATTGGTCTGTGCCTAGGCAATACGGGCATAGCTTTAGCATTTTGGTGCCAAGGCAATGCCATTCTGGCCCCAAAGCATGCAGGTCTTGATGGGATACACATCTAAGTATAAGTAAATTGCAGAAATTCCCTCTGTGTCATGTGAGGATGTGGAAAGCTTTGATAAGAATGGGAGACAAAGCCAAGACCCATGCCTTACACACTCTGTGTTCTGCAAACCAGACCTGTGCACTGTGGTCATTCACATATATGTTTTCAAAATTTATTCAGGTTCAATGAAATGGAGCAGCCAAAGTTCAGCAAAACAATTCGCACTTTCGCCTTTGCTCATCCTTATGTGTTCGACAGCATCCCTCTCTTCTACAGGGTATGTATGGCTTTAAGAATAGTTTCCCTCAGTCTGCTGTGTTTTTATACATAACATAATGCATGGCTGCTGAAGGGTGGTTCTAGGCTGCCACCCTTTCCTGCGAATAAGGGGGCTTCCTCATTATTTCCCATTTAATCTGAATTTGTCCTTTCCATGGAGAATCTGATCAGAAAACGAGTTAAGAAGCACACATACAGAAACAGTAAATCCAGATTAAAAGAATAAAAATATGGGGTGACCTTTCAGAGAGAACGATATTATGTGGGTGCTGAGAACGACTTCCATGCATGAACAGTCAGCACTAAATCCACAATAAGCTGCTGTGCCCCAATCCCTATTAAATTCAGTGGGGTTTACATTGTGAGTAGACAAATATAGAGTTGTGATTATGCTGGAACTTCTAGACTTTCCTACAGTTTCTGGAGGGAGGGCACCATGCTGGCTAAACATAACTGGGCTAAACAAGGAGCTTATATTGGCCTTCCACAACTTGGTGTTCTCCAGATGTTTTGGACTACAATTCCCACCAGCCCCTGCACATTATGGCTCTAATGGCAGGGACTGAAGAGAGCTGTAGTCCAAAGAGCCTGGAGGAAACCAGGTTGAGGAAGGTTATCTTATGCTTTCCTTTCTATGCCACAGCTGTACTTATGCGCTGCAAGAAGTTGCACGGAGAGCGTAATTCCAATCCACCTCAAGCACACTGTCTTTGCCTGCCTCACCTGTTTCCTTTTTGCGACACACCTGCCGGAGCGGCTGGCCCCTGGACTCTTTGACTACATAGGTGAGGACAACAAGGGGCTGCTCTCCCCCTTGCAGGCCCCGCTGAAATGAATGGGGTGGGTGGATTCCAGCAGATATTGGCAACTGATAACATAAAGGTGGCTGTTTTAATCAGCTATTGTGGCCACACCTGAGAAAGGGAATAACAGCTGCAAGGAATTGAGAGCAGCCCTGTTGGAGGAGAGCAACTTGTTCTGGATTCAGAGAAACAAAGAAACCACTTCAGAGTCATTAGGATGCTTGGCTTATAATCTCCCATCCACGGGCAAGTGCAAAACCCCAGAGTTGGGCAGCAAGACACTTTGTATAATAATCCTGATTATTACAGAACAACCACCACCAGCAGCACAATGCATTGTTAAATCTATTACCTGCCCTTCGGCAGTAGGGCATGTTACAACAATTTAAAATTCAGTAATAACAACTGTTAAAACAAATTGCAGTCACAGGAATGAGTCATACCCTCCAACATTTTTCTGATGAAAACAAGGATGTCACATTCCATAATGATAATTTTACCATTTATACTCCACACATCTTTTTGGGTTGCCCCAGCCGCTCTGGGTGGCTTCCAACATATATAACAACATAATAAAACATTAAACATGTAAACAACTCCCCTATACAAGGCTGCCTTCAGATGGTTTGGGGATTGGACAACTCCATACCCTCCAACATTTCTCCACTAAAAATAGGGACATCCTAAGGAAAAGCGGGACATTACGGGATCAAATCAGAAACCAGGAAGACATCTGTAAATTGGGGATATCCCTGGAAAATAGGGATACTTGGAGGATCTGCTGCAATTCACAATAACACTGCATGCATCTGATGAAGTAGCTTGTAGTAGCCCAAAAAAGCTTATTCCGTAGTAAACTTCGAGGGACCATAAGACTCGTTGTTGATTTTACTGCAAGGGAGGGATTGTGCCCCCCCTATGGAAATACTGAGTGTTGTATTCTTTTGATCTCTCACAGGGCACAGTCACCAGCTCTTCCACATCTGTGGGATCATTGGGACCCACTTCCAAATGGAAGCCCTTCTGGTTGACATGGCCAACCGCCGTGAGTGGCTGCTGGCTCCATCCTTCTCTCAAACCTTTGGGTCCCTTGCAGCTGCCATCATTGTCAATCTTATCATCATTGCTGCTTTCTCAACGACGCTTTATTCCATGCCAAAATTCTTCAGGAAAGGAAGCAAGCACAAGGACTAACGCCTGTTGAAATCAAAATGAAATGAAATTATATTGCAGTTAACAGTAGGCGTACAACACAAATTAGAAACTACTTCAAATGAGGCTTGGTGAATATTATTTGAGAAGTGACTTAAATGATTCTTTTTTTATTATGAATATGATTTGGTATTGTGGTTTTTCTACAACTTGAGCTGGAAGACTTAACCAATTTGGGACGTAGCTTTTCATTTGTTGATCCTGATTGACCATTTAGAATACCAAGCTGCAATTCTGAGGACTCTGTGAGAACTCTAAATAACTTCAGCCACTTAAGTTTGTGCCAGATTATTATTTTTAAAATAGTGATTGCAATTTAACTTAATGTGCCAGTTTGCACTGATAACATAGAAATGTTGGCCACCTTTCATGCCAAAGCAGCCACAGTGGCCTTTTAACATAATTCCATGCATTTTTATGCTTTATTTGAAATGACAAGCACATGTAACATTCCTATCACAAAAAACTAATGTACATACCTTTCTAATTCAGAAACTTGCAATGAAATAATATGAGGTTTCTTTGAAATTATATATATTAAGAAGTTTATATTTTTGTAAATAGCCTCTGCTGGGGTATCACACAAGCACTTTTTGGTAACAGTAAATGAAGCTATTGTGGAATAAATGCCCTTTTGAAAGGTACATTCAACCTGCACCCAAAGATTTTGCTCTTTATTTTAAAGCATCCTTTACCAAGCTAGTACAGACGAAACATTTAGAGGGTTCCAGATCAGCAAAGTTGAGAGCTCACTTTAAGCTCCCGATTGTCCCTGTGCAGCTGTTTCTGTACCTGTGTCACATCTGATGTTACATATGATGTCAGGTATGAGACTGGTGGATTTGTGGCAATGACCTCACAGGCAGAATTGGGACTCATGCCAGGCCTAATTAGGCAGTGGGCCAGAGGTTCCCCACACTTGCTGATCCTTCAGCCTCTGACGTGTTTGGAACAGAGTCCTCCAACCCATTTATTCATGATTTGCCACTTGCTCTTCACCTTGACAGTTGGTTTGGGTTTATTGACCAAAGAGTAGAGAGGAAAACACTGCCCAAACCAATCTTCTCCCAAACCACAGTCAGATCTTGCTTGGTTCAGACCTCAACCATGGTTTAGTGCTCAACAGTGGTTTAGCATTGACTTACCCATTGTGGTGCCCTCCAGCTTCCATCATCTCTGACCATTGGCCTCCAGCTCCTACAGTGGTGCCTCGCAAGACGAAATTAATCCGTTCCGCGAGAGTCTTCGTCTAGCGGTTTTTTCGTCTTGCGAAGCAACCCTATTAGCGGCTTAACGGATTAGCGCTATTAGCGGTTTAGCGGCTATTAAAGGCTTAAAGGCTTAGGGGATTAGCTGCTAAAAGGCTATTAAAGGCTATTAAAGGCTTAGCAGATTAGATAAAGGGGGGGAAAAGCGGGAAAAAAATCTCTAGACTCGCAAGACATTTTCGTCTTGCGAAGCAAGCCCATAGGAGAATTCGTCCTGCGAAGCACCTCCAAAACGGAAAACCCTTTCGTCTAGCGGGTTTTCCGTCTTGCGAGGCATTCGTCTTGCGGGGCACCACTGTATTATCCTTGACCATTCGCTAAGGCTGATGGGAGTTGCGGTCCAACAGCATTTGGCAGGCATGCTGTTGGCAGGCATAATTTTAGCATAATGAGAACAAACCACTGCAAGTATCAGGCTTGTGCTCTTTTTCCTCTCTTGTTCATGTGCGGGCAAGCTCGAAAGCTGCTGTTTCCAGTTTCTAATAAACTGCAGTTTCCCATTCCTTCCAAACATGGGAAACTCTGGGGGAGCCCAGTCAGATGGGCTTCTTCTTCTTCTTCTAACTGTGCTTAGTTATCAAAGACCCGAAACCACAGTTTGATCTGAGTTTGTTTCAAGCTGGCAGCTATGGTCACCTCCAGGCCTCCTAACCTTGTAAAAGCTCTGACATGGTGGGATAGAGAAATGTGTGTTGATGTTAAAAGGTAAAGGTAAAAGAACCCCTGAACATTAGGTCCAGTCATGACCGACTCTGGGGTTGCGGCGCTCATCTCACTTTATTGGCCGAGGGAGCCGGCGTATAGCTTCCAGGTCATGTGGCCAGCATGACTAAGCCGCTTCTGGCGAACCAGAGCAGCGCACGGAAACGCCGTTTACCTTCCTGCTGGAGTGGTACCTATTTATCTACTTGCACTTTGATGTGCTTTCAAACTAGGTTGGCAGGAGCAGGGACCGAGGAACGGGAGCTCACCCCATCGCAGGAATTCGAACTGCTGACCTTCTGATCGGCAAGTCCTAGGCTCTGTGGTTTAACCCACATCGTCACCTGTGTGGTGTTGATGTTACTTTACACCAAAAACAACAAAGATTCTTGTGAAGCATTTATCATAGTATATATATGTGTGTGTGTGTGTGAGAGAGAGAGAGAGAGAGAGAGAGAGAGAGAGAAAGCAGACCCTCCAAGTGTCCCTCTTTTCCAGGGACATCCCTGATTGACAGCTGTCCCGGTTTCTGATTTGATCCTGGAATGTCCTGCTTTTCCTTAGGATGCCCCTATTTTCATTGGAGAAATGTTGGAGGGCATGGCCTTATCTGACCCCCAAGGCGTCTGAAGGCAATCCTGTATAGGGAAGTTTGTTTTATGTTTTTATATATGCTGGAAGCTGCTCAGAGTGGCTGAAACAACCCGGTAGGAATATGTGGGTTTTAAAAAGTAAAATTATCATTATGAAATGGGACGTCCCTATTTTCATCGGGAGAAATGTTGTGTATATGAGAGGGAGGGAGTTCACTTCTTTATCATCGCAGCAGTCCCTCTTGAGTCTTTTTTACGTTCATAACCATATTTGCGCATCTGAGGCCTAACCCGCTTCGTTAAGGCCTGAGCTCGCTTGGCTTTCCCGTTTCCATGGAGACGGGGCGGTTGGTCTCCCTCCCTTCCCGCGCGCTGCTTTGTGAGGTAAAAAACTCGCGCCACGACGCCCCACAAAGAAATAAGTGCCAATAAGCAAGAAGGCGGTGACAGCAGAGAAGGAGTGAAGGCTGAAGGCGGCGAAGGCCACTGTCCTGTCCACGCCCCTTCCCTCCCTAGCTCCATCCTGATTGGTTGGATTTGAATAACAGCGGGTCGCGCAATGGATGCTGGGAAGCGGGAGGGAACGTTCAAACCGAACCTTCGCCAAGAGGGCTGCGAGAGGGAGAAAAAGAAGGACGAGCGGGGCGGCCTCGGCGAGATGAAGGCGGCCGCGTGAGTGACCCGGGGCGGGGAGGAGTGGCGCCTAGTTAGAGGCTCCTCAGCCCTTCCTTTAAAGTTCTCCCTCCCTTCCTCTTTCTCATACTATTTTCCTCGAACAAAAGCGCCCTTCTATCGTGCAGATTCATGTATGAGATACTGTACTTATCTGCATTTATTATCTCTCTCTCTCTCTGTATCTATATGTCATAAAATGTATATGCTGCTTGATTGCAAACTTTGTTAAACGATCTGCAAATGTATAAAACAAAAAAATGGGTATAAACAGTTAAACAATTTAAAACGTTGAAAAAAAATAAAAAGCAGCGACAGATTAGAATACAGACCACTGTTTTATGTATCTGGGTAGACTTGTCTAAATTAAGATGCTTTAAAATATACACACATATGTTTATACAGATAGTTGCCTATTATTGTACAGTAATTAATTAATTGCCTTCTAAAGCACTGGCTCAGTGAGATTTACAGATATGGCTAGCAGCAATTTGAAACACAAAATAATGAACACATTTAAAAGACTAAAAATTGCTTGTGTGTATATAAAATCTGTGTGTGAGAGAGAGAGAGAGGGAGAGAGAGGGAGAGAGAGAGAGATACCCAGTTCGTATCTGTTTTAGATTTGAACTGATTTATACATGCAATGTTTTTAGCATTATTACCTATGTAACTGTTCTGCTTAAGTAATTACATTGAAAATTGCTTTGGGATGCCTTGTGAGAAGTGATTCATAAATGAAATAACATTGAAAAAATTCTCAGATGCGTATGCATATAACCTCTCTCACTCTCTTTGTAACCTGTATATCATTTTATATAAATAGGGTAGGTTATACATGAGAGATTCTCTTGTATTTGTATTGCTTGGTAGCAGGCTGCCTTAACAGGAGAGATTGGAAGCTGGGCTGTTTCTGGCCCTGAACTGTTTCTGTTTTAGCTAGCCATAGTAAGAGCTGCTAATAGACTTATAAGAATTGGTGACTGAGTTTGTTTTATTTCCTCTCCTGTCTTTGTTCCTCAATTCCTTTTGTGACATGTATTTAATACTGTAAGCTTGTAGGCAGAGACTGTGTTTTTAGTAAGCTGCTGTAGGAGCCTTTTTGGCTGAAGAGCAGGGTACAAATGCTCTAAACAAGCAACTACATAATCTATGCATGCTACTTAACTAAATCAGGGGCATATCTATAAACTGTGTTACAAAAAAGTGTTACTAGCTTTTTCCAGAGTGACAAATGCCAAAGGAAAAAAGGTTAGATTCTTATACAGTAATGACCTTCAACTTTATGCACTTCTATCATTTATAAGCACTGTGATACTAGGATCATACAATAGTTAAAAGCAACAGGTTCCTGCCATGAAATGCTGGTTTAAAATAAGTGATGCTCCTCTCCAGGCGTCATCTGTGTCATATGAAGGCAGAAACATTCCAGAGTCTGACTTCTTTCCTCTGTGCTACAAAACTGGGAGCTGGGGAGGAACAAAGCAGTTATGTTTGTGAAGCCATCCTTTACACAGGTTAACGTTAACATGTGAACCAGCTCACTATCTAATTTTTAAGAGCACAGGAGATTATGCTGGCAGAGGCCAGAAGGGATGAATGTGCCTGTTAACCAGCCACCTTGACTATCTTTTCTTTTAATAGAGTGGAGGGATCTAAACAAAATAAATGTGTGTGCTCTGCTGTTCCTCCTGTCTCTAGTCTCCTCTGTGTTTGAGATTCTTTTTTTTTACATGGACTCCAACTCTAGCAGAGCATTTAAGACTGACCTGGAGTCCATTCTAGATTGCCTTTAGCTGAAAGCCACAATATTGGGGAAGCAGGGGTGTGTGGGATTGCACATCTTCTAAACTGAAATGCTCTGCATGTGATATTTTGTTTAAGTAGCATTAGTAGTGCAGTGCCTTTCTGCCTTAGCTGTTCTTATCAATGAAAACTATTTCACATGGCTTGGGGTTGACATGGTGACTTGAAATGCGCTCCTGCATTGTTGTCATACTGATCCCAGAGCAGTCAGGTTATTTGTCCCCTGTGTGCCTTGGTTCTTGGTTGACTTGCCTGATGATTTTTCTTTCTTTTTTTTCGTTTCCAGGAAAACCAAAACTCCAAGGAAGCCTGGGCAGAAAAATGGATCTAGCAACAATTTGAAGGACCCTGTTGGGGTAAGTGGCTGATACAGAGGATGGGCATGGGATGTAAATGCAAACCTCATATGATGTGTGTGTTTTTTTAGATGAATAGGTGAGATCCTCTGACAGCAGACAAACATAGGCAGAGTCTGTAAGCAAATAAGGGCACAACTTCGTATTTCCCTTGAATATTCTCTCTTCCACCCCTTATCTTCTATGAAAATTAATTGGGGTATCAGTCAGAGGTTCCCTTCACAGCTTTGCTACTTTTATTTACTTTTATTTCTATCCCACATTTTCTGATCATGTGGGAATTTGAACTTTGTTCTCCTAGGTCAGGGAGATCCCACCTTGGATCCTTTCACATAAATACATCAATGGTTAGACTGGTTTAGGTATATAAACATGTGCTAAAAGAATAATGGCCTGTGATGACAGCTGACCTTTAACCTGGCTGATCTTTCTGATGCTACAAGATGCTCGTTAGTTTTGTCACACAGTCCTTTGTGAGAGCAATAAGTGGAAATATGTTTTAGGTTTTTTGTCTGTGGTAGACACTGATTCCCAGCTACATTAAAAATTTTGGATTTCTTTCTCTGTGGGAAGTCCTCACTTCCAGCCCTGAGGGCAAATTTCTTGGTTTGCAGAAATAAATTATTTTAATGATAGATCCAAGGAAATTGATTTTGTTGTTGCCTCTTCTCCTTCCAGCATTTTCTTATTTCTTGTATTTGGTTGTCAGTTCGATGGCTGTCAGTCAACATTACATGCCGTTCAAGCTGTTGGAAGCTATTTTTGTGTGGTCCTCTTTAGGGTTCTTTCAGAAACACCTTTTATATTTCTGCAAACCTTGGGTCCCTCCCCCCCAGCCTGCTGATACCTTCAGCCTTCTGTGTTGGTGCTTTTGTTTTGGCTACCTAGTGGTGGGCTCTTTTCCTACTAAAATGGGGGCGAGTGGTGGAAGTTTCATTTATCTCACCTGCTAGGCTTATTAAGACTTGGAATCTGCAAGCTGTGACATTTCTAAGTACTTTTTCCTCAGGTGTACTGCCGGCTGCGCCCACTCAGTGTGCCAGACCAAGAATGCTGCGTAAAAGTGATCAATACCACGACAGTCCAGGTTCACCCACCAGATGGATACCGAATTTTCCGCAATGGGGAGTATAAGGAGGTAAAGCCTGCTAGAAAGTGGCCAGCAACCAGAAGCTGAAAACTGAGGTTCTGTTGAGTTTAGGTTTGGATCTGCTTTATCCTTTAACGTTTGCAGGGAACTTTCTTCCCTGGAGGACAAATTAAAGCTTTGTAAAAGGCAAAACTTGTAATGAGAGGACAAGTGCCCCTCTCATGGGACATAACAAACAGCTCCTCTGCATCAGACCAAAGGATGGCCTAGTCCAGTAGCCCACAGTGTACAACCAGATGACCCTGGGAAGCCCGCAAGCCGTGCGTGAGAAAAATAGTAGTCTACTACTTCTCCCCAGCAGCTGGTAGCCAGAGGCTTGCTGCTTCCTTTGATTATGCTCCACTACTGCTTGAGATGGGGAGCTAATAGGATCTTGGGGGAAATTAGAGTAAAATGTGTTTATTAGGAATTAATATGCTGAAGCAATGCTAGACATCCTCTATCAGACATTAGGCAGGAGTCCCAGTATCTATTTTTAGATGTCTATTGAAAACCTTTTTTTAGTTCAGCAAGCCTATCTGAATATAAATTATGTGTATTTTTAAACATTTTACTTCTTTTATCTCTGTGTTATTGATGGTTATTTTAGATTTGCTTGTTTTTCAAAGACCTTTGCTGATTTTATCTGCATTTTAGTGATATTTTTATTACATACCGTGCTTAGAGTTTTCTGAGTAAACAATATTTTTTTTTCTAAATTAATAGAAGCAAGACATAATTTGAGGTCTAGAAACAGCAGCAAAGTGCTTGCTTGTTGCTTCATAACAGTTTGTTGTCTTCCTCTTCAGGTTCAGTATTCATTCAAAGAGGTTTTTAATGTCGGTGGGACTCAGAAACATGTGTTTGACGTTGTTGCCAAACCTCTAGTGGATGATCTGATTCATGGGAAAAATGGTACGAGAGGATAGAACATTTCATGCTCTAGCTGATATCTAACCACTGATCTCTCTTTTTCTAAACTTGCTTCATTTCCTCCTGCACATTCTGCTATAAATGCCCAAATATTGATTGGGACCTACTTTATTTTGTACTGATTAAAAGCATATATGGTTTGGAGTATCTTCAGCCCAACTACACCTATAATAGATAATCCAATCTTAATTGAATAAAATACTTCATTTTGTGGAGGTTGGTGAAGTTTAAAATGCTTTCTTCATAGCTGCACCTAGATTGAGGAAATCTTTATTTGAAACTGACATCTGTTTTGACCCTGCTGGGCAGAAAAAGCTTTTTAAAGTTTGTGTTTCTCTGTTCTGCCTGCCTCTATTGTATTGTTTGGATAGTATGCACTTTGTTGTAAGCCAAAGTGTTTTTTGTGTGAAACAGAAGGATGAAGTAGACATTTGCCTATAAAATATGTTCTCTTTGACTCCTAGGCCTCCTTTTCACATACGGTGTCACTGGGAGTGGGAAAACTTACACCATGACTGGTTCTCCTGGTGACGGTGGCCTGCTTCCTCGCTGCTTAGACATGATCTTCAACAGCATAGGATCTCTGCAGGCCAAACGATACGTAAGTCTCTTCCTACCAAGTCTTGGTGTGTAAACGGTTTTGTTGCCATTGCCATATGCTTAACTTATAAATCATTGAATGAACAGGTTGGGATGCATTGCATTTAAAGACACACAATGTAGGTAGAGAAGAAGTCCTGAAAGGCAGGGTAGCCCCCTGCAAACCACTTGGGCGGAGTTCAAAGGGTCCCTTTTGCACTTACTGCTTACTCTGTAGCTAATAGAGTTTGTGCTTCTTTTTGTAAAAGGCAAACTGAGATGAAGGGGAAACAATCAACAGCAAAAGTTCAGCATATTTTCTGAATCAGTGCTCCCCATCATGAATGTTAGAAACTTTCGTTGTTGGTTAGACAGGCTTGATTATTAAATTTCTTTCCTGCCCTTCATCATAAATGTGAAGATGAGAGCCAGCACAGGGTATGCCAGGGTTCAAATCCCTCAGCTACTTGAAGCTCACTGGGGAACCCTAGGCAGTTGCTATCTCTCAGCCTAACCTTCCTCACAAGTTTTTTGTGAGGGTAACATAGGATAGGGAGGAGTCAATGTACGCTGCCTTGAGCTCTTTGAAGGAAAAGTGGGACCTAAATGTAACAGATAAACATCAAATCAATGAGCTTGGGGTTTGTAACAACAATAAAATACAGTGAGATCAACTCTCCCCATTCCCAACTCTTCCCACTTTTAACCCATGATTAAAATATAAAACTACCAATATCTCACATACCTGTCTCTGTGCAGACCCAACAGAATGACAAAGTATGACAGAAGAGGGAGGTGTTCCAAAGGTGTGGGGCAGGGCTATCACTAAGAAGGCCCTGTGGTGGGTCATAGCCCCTGGCTTCCTTCAAAGACTGAATCAGCATTGCCCCTCCCCACCCCAGTTGATCTTAAGGTCCAGGCACGTGACTTTTGAAGGATGTGAGTTTGAGTAGAAATCTTCAGCTGGTGTTGGCTGTCCTTCCTGCTTCTCAGGTCGAGAAGGTCAGGTCTGAGATAGCAGAGACCACTGGCCAATAGCCTAATTGTGACACTATTAGTAAAATAAAATTGCTACTTTTCTCTTGGAAAGACTTACCTTATTTCTGAAAACCTTTTACCTCAGGTGTTCAAGCTGGATGATAAGAATGGGGTTGAGGTGCAGTGTGATGTCGATGCTTTACTTGAACGTCAGAAACGAGAAGTTTTTCAGACTCCAAAAACTCCATCTAGCAAGTAAGTAGGAATGGGCGGCTGGGACACCCTCCTCCCATCAGGGACTGCCATAGATCCATTGTCGAATATATCAAAATTTCAACTTGCTGTGCTATTTTTTATTTTAAAAGCAGGCGGCAAATTGACCCTGAAATAGCTGATATGATCAATGTCCAAAACAACTGCAAAGCGGAAGAAGTTGATGAGGACAATGTTTACAGTGTGTTTGTCTCCTACATTGAGATCTATAACAACTACATCTATGACCTTTTGGATGAAGGCCCCTTTGACGCCATCAAACCAAAGTGAGTAAACTTCCTTCAGCCTGGCTCTCTGAATCTGACAGCTAACCAGATTATAGCTACATGGAATGTAAGTGACAGAATTGTGGTCTGGTGTTTCGGATTCCAAAAAGTAAAGTTGGAAATAGATTCCAGATCTGATGGTTTATGCCTTGGGGAACAAATGGATTGTGTCTGTTTCCAGAAAATTGGGCTGAGGTAGTATTGAGGAAAGGTTTCTGTAATAGTGAACATTACTGTGAAGCAGTGTCATGCTTACAGATGCATTGCAGAAGTCAGCTTTGGTACCAATATGGGTCTTACCTAGCCTTGGCGTAGGCACTATTCTCTTCGTCAACATTTCTTCGACATCTTTGGTCAAGGGTTATGCAGAAGCATCACTGAGCACACTCCTTTTTTCTGAGGCTGGCATTGCCCACAAACAAAAGTCTTCCAAACTCTGGTGTTTGCTGGCTGCCTACATAGGAAGTAACCCCAAAACAGACTTTTAGGAATGTTCCAAAGACATACAAATTCTGCCACAACTTCACCTAAAAGCCACAGGCATACATTCCAAAAGCAGAAAATGTCTTGGGAAAATGCTCTGAAAAGGGTTGTGTAGTGGAGAAAAGGCAGTGTGGGCCTGTAACACTTGTAATTTCTTTGCTAGGTGGAGCAGCTGTGGCACTCCAGTGCGAAGTGCTGACTTTATGTATGTGCACAGGTTATATTTTCCTCTTGTTAATGTGCAGTTGGCTGTTTTGCACTTAGTGAAACTGGTGTGATTTCTCCTATTGGCTTTTCTTCCCTGCAGCTTGTTGTTGATAGCTGACATGTACCTGAGTGTTTCCCTCCCTATATGAAGTCTGAATAGCTTGACCTTCCCTCTCTTTCCCTTCTTGCCTGAATAAGCTAATCCTGCATGGCAGCTTGTGCTGTAGCTGACCTTGGTGTGGTTAGTTTTTGGCTTCCCCTTGCTAGCAATAAGTATGTTGGTGCTGGCCGACTCTCATTGACACCCTCACTCTTACAGACTTCCCCAGTCCAAAATTCTCCGCGAGGATCAGAACCACAACATGTATGTTGCAGGATGCACGGAGGTGGAAGTCAAATCCACAGAGGAAGCTTTTGAAGTCTTCTGGAGAGGTAGGAAACTCCCTGGGCTCCTCCAAAGTGCTGCCCTTGTGGCAGAGGACTGCCACAGAGGAAAACATCTGGCACAGAGCTTCCTGTTCCTGTTCGTTTGAGCCCTGATAGGATAGAGGGTTCATAATGTTCAGTTCTTTGTCTTCTAACAGCAGCCAGGCAGGTGCCTATAGGAAGCCCAAGCAGCAGGTCACAAATGCAACAGGACAAGCCCCACCCTGAAAATCAGTTGCTGAGGGTGGGGGCAATACCCAGTCCTTGTGAAAGCACAGTTGGCATAACTAATTGCCATTGATTGCATTATCCCATGAATTTGTCTCACACCTTTTAAAAGCCACTTGAGCTAATTGCCCTGTTTCGTGTTCATGCATTTTCCATAAGTCACACTTTGTGTCTAGCACTTCCTTTTTTCTGTTCTGTATTGACCTCCATTGAAATTCATTGATTAATCCCAACTTCCAGATACAGGAGAGGGAGAAAATCGTTTCTGTGTCATTTGCAACTTGATAAATCCCCCACATCCTCCTCAAGCTGTCACTCACACAAACAAAACATCCCTCCCCAAATATATCAAATTTTTCTCCTGGGGGAAAAAGGGTCTCCAAGCCTTGCCCCTTTCGGCTTCCTCTTCCTGTATGTTTTTCTAGCTTGGACCACCTTCAGCTATGGCCCCCAGAACTGTGTGCACACCACAATGCACCAACACCTGGAATGCTATTGATTGCTATGTGTTCAGTCTCTGTTAGATTAAAGGACTTTTTCCTGCTTTCTATCAAACAGGCCAAAAGAAGAGGCGCATTGCAAACACTCAGCTCAATCGTGAATCCAGCCGTTCCCATAGTGTGTTCCTGATCAAACTGGCCCAGGCGCCACTTGATGCCAGTGGGGATAATGTTCTACAGGTAAAATCAAGAGGGGCTAAGGAGAGCACAGCTTCTCTTTTCTCTCCCCCAACCCATTCCCAAAAGGTAGATCCATTAAATGACTCCCATCTGATAGCCAAGGTATGGGATGTGGAGCTGGTTATAGATCTCCAAACCAAGGCCTTGAATGAGCTACTGCTCTTTCCAACTTGTGGAGGAAGATTCTTTTCTCTCATTGTGGTTGTTTCTTTATTAAAACTATGACTCCTTCCCTTCTCTTGCAGGACAGAGAGCTGATAACCTTCAGCCAGTTATCTTTGGTTGACTTAGCAGGGAGTGAGAGAACAAACAGAACCAAAGCAGAAGGGAACAGACTACGGGAAGCAGGTAGGGGTTGTGACTTCCTTGTCCAAGCTTTGCCACCCTTTTGGGGCATGAAAACGAAATCTAGCCCCATTCATGAAAGCTTTCCATTGAAGCCCGGTGGGAAACTGTATTCTCTGATAGAGCAAGGAGGGCATTTCAGTTCCTTTGGGGTTGCCCCTTCTACCAGGAGTAGGCGGGGCTAACTTGGCCCAGACTGTGCCCTGCCTTGTGACTACAAAGGAGGGTCTCTGTCCCCCCCCTCTTTTCTCTCTAGATCCCCTCCCTTAGCAGGGACTTGGGTCATTTTCACAATCAGAGGGTGGGGATTGCTTCCCACCCTCTAGCTTATCAAGAAGAGAAATGGCAACCTCTGCTGCAATGGATTTAAGCCAGGAGCACTGCCAGCCTGTCTCTAGTGCTGGTGGGCTGGCTCTCTTCAGATGTCCCAAGCAACAACTAGAGTGCAGCTTGTGAGTGCCAACCCCACTGACAGCTCTTCTAAATCCCCAATAAATGTCCTCCTTACTCTGCCAGAGAAAACAGGCTTTTCTTACTGTGCTTAGGAGAGTGAGCAGAGCATTTGACTCACCCTGCTAACCTCTGATTCTGCTTTGTCCTCTTGGATGATTGGCAAGTGGCAATGATGGGCAGGTTAAGGCCATCAGGGACGTTTTTCCTTATGCCTTTCTTAAATGGAGTTTAACCACAATAATGGCTTGTCACAATAGCAGCCTGTGATAGATTTTCTGTCTTGGAGAAGGAGCTGATAAAAGGTTTTTCCAGTGAACTTGAGATCCCACAGCCTCCGAGGGAAAACCCTTGGACAATAACAATGGACTGAAATAAATGAAACTGGGCTTTGATATATTGGCTGATTAATGCTGTACAAAAGGTTCTCTTCTGAGTTTCAGGATGAGGAAGCTGACAGTTCAGTCCCCTGGACTGGATGTATTTAAGAAGACATGGGCTGGTTGTAGGCTGGTTGAGGGCAGACTGAGATTGTGGGGCAGTGCCACATTTGCCCAAACTGACTAGCTCCACTTCAGTCCAGTCTGAGAGGACCTCCTGGTGGGCAAAATACATAGAAAGTGCCCTTTACTCTCCTGAGAGCAGGAAATTTAAAGTATGAAAATGTCCCTGTTTCTTCAAACCATGTCTTGTGACCAAGGCATGGTTTGGGGTGAATAATGGGCTACACCTTTCCCTCTCCCCTACAGGTAATATTAACCAGTCCCTAATGACGCTGAGGACCTGTATTGAAGCCCTGCGGGAGAACCAAACTTATGGGACCAACAAGGTGTGTGGTTGCTCCCCATTTCTGTGGGTCTCCCTCTCCCCTGGCAGTCTTTCTTCCTGATAACTTTTTTCTTCTTTAGAACTTAAGGACTTTTTTCTTCTTTAGATGGTCCCTTACCGAGACTCTAAACTAACCCATCTCTTCAAGAACTACTTTGATGGAGAAGGCAAAGTGCGCATGATAGTCTGTGTGAACCCAAAGGCTGAAGACTACGATGAGAGTTTGGTAATCTAAATCTTCTTTGAGCTTCCTTGCTCTCATCTTGCTGAAACTGGGATGGAGGGGAGGGCTACCTTTATTTATAAGATCTTTACGTCTGATCGACCCAAACAATGAAGCACAAACCTGTTCTGTAGTGGAACTACCTTTCAGAGCAGAATTAACTTGTGCTGTCTGTTATAGGGTAGGTGGGAGGGAGAGAAAATAATGTGAAATCCTTAGATCTTGCATACGCAAATCTGTTGGTGTGTAATTAGGCTTGACTAATGTCTCCATTTCCTGTTTAATTGTGTTGTAAAGTACCAGATCCTACATACCCCCATATATCATTATTTTGTAGCAAGTCCTGCGATTCGCAGAGCTCACCCAAGAAGTAGAGGTTGCGAGGCCTGCTGAGAAGCCAGTCTGCGGCTTAATCCCTGGTCGACGATTTAAGAACCAGGCCTTTCGGGAGGAGCTCTCACGGCAGCTGGAAATACGAGGTGGACCAATTGATGGAGGTAAATCACAAGAGGCTACTTAGAGTGCCCAAAGCGGCATTTATCAAACAACCAGCAACATAGACCTCTCATTCTAGTTTATTCAACTGTCTTAATCCTTCCTGCTTTGTACACACATACACAGAACTGCCTGAACATGGTGTTCTGGACCTGTGTTCTCACGTTCAGTGTTAGCTGGGTAAGAGCAGCAGGAGGTGTGTTGGAAGGAAAAGGGTTAAACTACCACCGTTTTCTCCCCCTCCTCTGCTGCAGAGCCAGTCCCTTCTCACAGAAGGCATCAGGGTATTGTTGCACTTCAGCCACTGTATCATATGAGGTTTGGCCTAGAATATACGTGTGTGTATTAACCCTTAAGGTATTTTTTGTGGTTATCTTGATAGGCGTGCATTTGAATTAACAGAGTGCCCTGTTCTAGCAACCCTCCATGCACCTGGGATCCAGGCTCTGCATAGAGCGTCCTGGCAGCTGTTCCTCCTGTTGGGAGCTTGCCAGAGCCTTGGCCAAGACATGTTCTTGAAACAGCTGCTTCATTGTCTCTTGCAGATCGGGAGCGGTCTATCACAGAGGTGCTGCTGCAGAATTTTCCCCCAATGTCTTCCTGCGAGCTTCTGGACATCCATGATGACCAGACCCTTCCTCGACTGATCGAAGTGCTTGAGAAACGACATCGCATCCGGCAGATGCTGTTGGAAGAGTTCACCAAAAATGGTGAGCTGTATGACTCTCCTGGCCAAAGTAGTTATGCAGGCAGCTCGGGCGACTTCTGCCTTGGAGGTAACTGACCTGGTGCCCTCCTGTTGCTGCTGAAGTCCACTTCTTATCCTCCCTGGCCGCTGGCTGGGGTTGAAGGGAGTTGGAGTCCAATAATAGCTGGGGGGCACCACACCTCAGCTATTCCATTTTTTAAAAAATTCATCTTACGAACACAAGAAAGGGCCTGCTGGATCAGGCCAATTGCTCACCAAGTCCAGTATCCTTTTCTCACAGTGGCCCAACCAGATGAGTGTGGAAAATACTCAGAAAGATCTGAGCCCAACAGCACTCTCCCCTTCTCTGGTTTCCAACAACTAGTATTCGGAAGTATTGCTGCTTCCAACTGTGGCAGCAGAGCATAGCCATCATGGCTTATTCCCATTCATAGCCTCCTCCATGAATTTGTCTAATCTTCTTTTAAAGTCATATAGGTTGGTGGCCATCCCTGCCTCCTGTCTGAGTGAGTTCCGTAGTTTAACTGTGTGTTGAAACACTTTATTTTATCTTTCCTGAATCATCCAACACTCAGCTTCATTGGATATCTAGGCATTGTAGTCTTCTTGCTTATACAGTTGTGCCTTGGTTCTTGAATTTAATCAGTTCTGGGAGTCCATTCAACTCCCCAAACGGTTCAAAAACCAAGGCGTGGCTTCCGATTGGCTACAGGAGCTTCCTGCAGCCAATTGGAAGCCACATTGGACGTTTGCTTCCAAAAAAAGTTCGCAAACCGGAACACTCACTTCCAGGTTTGCGACATTCGGGAGCTGATTTGTTTGACAACTAAGACATTTGACTACCAAGGTATGACTGTAGTTTTAATGTATCAGATTCTAAACAGGAATGCCTTATTTTCTGATCAGAAGATGCAACTGGTAGTGAATTATCCTAGTATCTACCACTTGAAGCACTTTGATATTTTCTTCTCCTCTGGTTTCTGTCACATGAGGGTTTCCACATACTTCCCATTTTACAAATGTGCTTCCACATCTTTGGAGAGATTCCTTCATTTTATTAGCATGCCGCTTTTCCACAAAGAAATCATTCTCAAAGCAGTTTACAACAAAGAAGCCAGGAGGGCATTTTGAAGTAAACACTGCATTTCATAATAACATGGCAAAATACGACGGTGGCATATATAACATACAAAAAATATATAAATGTAACAAGATTATATAAACAACATCCATCCTCTTAAGGGCAAAAATGGTAAGGGAGCCTTATGCTTTTACTCTGGTCTTAGAAACACATCCCATAATGTTGCTCCCATGGGATGACCCAGGCTTCCCTGGCGAATTGGCCTAATCCAGTCAGTAACGCAGATTGCTTTTTCTTTTGTTGCAGTGCATTCTGTCAAGGGGATGCTTCAGGAGCTTGACTCCAGTATCGTCTCCAAGGAGAACTATGCACAAGTTAAAATGGCCGAGAGAGACAAATTTATAGCAGCCCAGAAAACTGAGATCGAGCGCCTAGAAAAGAAAGCAAAAACTCTGGAATACAAGGTTTGGGTTCTGTGCCTTTATGTTCTTTAAGCATGCGGCCTATTTCGCATAAGTCTAGGAGTGCAGCATCTCAGGCCCAGAGGCCAAATGCAGCCCTCCAGCATTCTCCATCTGGCCCCTGGGATGCTACCCAGGACACACCCCTGTTAACTCTGCTCCTTGAGGGTGTTTGCCTGGCTGGAATGTGTCCTTAAAACTTGAGAATGCCGTGTGTGTGGGCATGGAGAGAGATAGAACTCTCTGGTTTTTGTATGGCTGGAGTGTGGCCTGTGCATAAGAGTCTCTATGGTTCTGCCCACCACTGACTGCTGCCCACAGGATGGAGTGCAAAAGGATCCCTGTTCTCCTCTCCCCACCCCAGTGCAAGTGGGACTCTTGTAACTTGCTGAGCACTATGCTAACCTAGAAGTTGCAAGTATGATAGCTTTTTTGCCCAGCGGTGATCATTTTTGAGGCTGTCGTCTTGAAACAGGGGTGTCCTCTTAGCTCATGCCTGACAGCTTCAAATTATGCACGTTTTGACATTCAATTGCAGTGCAGGTTCTTTCTTTGCCCTCAAACCTCCCCTCTATTTTGGATGTAAGGGTGGGTGTGGATATGGAAGCATGGGGGTGTGAAAATGAAGTTTTGGTAACAGAAAGTGGACTTTGTCTTACCAGATCGAGATATTGGAGAAAACGACAACAATTTACGAAGAGGAGAAGCGCAACTTGCAGCAGGAGCTGGAAAGCAAGAGCCAGAAGCTGCAGAGACAAGTTTCTGACAAGCGCCGCCTTGAAGCACGGTTGCAAGGCATGGTGACGGAGACAACAATGAAGTGGGAGAAGGAATGCGTAAGTGTTGTGTGTGTACTGTTTTGGAGGCAAGCTGCTTGAGGCACAATCCTAATGCTTCCAGGCAGAAGTTCCTAGGACCCTTCATATTGAGTCAGACCATCGGTTCATCTAACTAAGTACTGTCTACACTGACTGCCAGCAGCTCTCCAGGGTTTCAGTCTTTCCCAGCCCTACCTGGACATGCCAGGGGTGGAAGCCATGACCTTTTGTATGCAATGCAGATGTTATGCTACTCCCTGCTCCCTGTCGTTTTACCATGAGGCAGTGCTGGAGATCATTTGAGCCATTCCCTGCTACGTATTAGGGGTTTTTGAATGTTTTATGTAGTTTTTATGTAGTTTTTCAGTTTCGTTGTCCTGCATGGGACAATGACAATAAAGATATCATATATCGTATGAGAGCTGGCAGGAAAGGGTTAATGCAGTCTGCCTAGTTCTCTGCTCTGCCTCCTATGCAGAAGGAATTGAGCTGTTGGACTTCTGGCTAATTCGGGAAGCTCCTGCTGATCTATGTGGTCCGCTGCTTATTTGTGTGAATGAGATATATTGATTTTCGTTCCTGGTTTTTGTGTTTGTGTGTGTTTCCCCCCTCAAGCCTGATCAAGGGAAAGGTACTTCTTTGGGTGCCCATGGCATGTTGAGGACTTTTGTTCGTTCATTCTCTTCCTCCCTACCATGGCTGCAAAGGCATCCTTGGGTGCCTGTACCATGCCCAGCAGCTCACAGTCTCTTCTCTACTGGGACAATATGAAAGGGATTTGAGGAAGTCTGCATGTCTGTATGTCCCAAAAGCTTTGCTGACTTGAACTCTCTGGTCCAAGCAAAAGGGGATCCTATCTACCCCCACCAAGGGCCCAGGGAATCATTCATCTGTGTGATTGTGGTGTCCATCCCGCAGGAAAGACAGTCTTTGTGCTGCTGCTCAATACCTGCAAGGCTCTTTGGGGGGAGGAACATGTCCTCTTCCACGGGCCCATAGCATCTTCTCTTCCTGTGGTTCTGTCCGGAGCCCTTCCTAGCACCACTTGGCTCTCTCTCGCTCTCTCGCAGGAGCGGCGGGTGGCAGCCAAGCAGCTGGAGATGCAGAACAAGCTCTGGGTGAAAGATGAAAAACTGAAGCAGCTGAAAGCCATCGTCACGGAACCCAAGGGCAGCAAACCGGAGCGGCCTTCTCGGGAGAAGGATCGGGAGAAGCCCCTGCAGAGGTCCCTGTCGCCTCCCCCAGTCCCTGTAGGTTGTCTTTAAGTGTCTCTTATGTGTGTTTGTCTGTGCGTCGGGCAGAAGCATTAGAGAAGCTGAACTGTTGAGCCTGGGTGGCTTTCTGGGGCTAGGGGATTTTGTAGTCCAGTAAGGGAATTTGGCTGCGAGTGCGCCGAGTCCCTGCCTCTGTTCCCTGCTTTTGTTCTTTCCCCCAAACCCTCTGTAAATCTGCTTAATTCAGACCGGTAGATCTGGGGGCCACGGTGGGTGTCTGCCTGTGCCGGAATCTGGGGGCTGACTGACTCTCTCTTCCCTCTCCTTGTTTGCTAACTGCACCTCTCTTCAGTTTTCTAGTCCCTGTGCCACTCAGCTCCCTAACACCACCAACTTGCCTGCCGCAAGCCAGCCACAGCTGCACAGGCGTTCTAACTCCTGCAGCAGCATTTCGGTGGCCTCCTGCATCTCGGAATGGGAGCAGAGGACGCCTACTCAGAGCAGCAAGCACCCCGGCGGTGGTGGCAGTGGCGTGCCCAAAGGCAGGAGTAGACCTCAGGAGCTCCAGCAAGCTAGGCACTGTGCCATGTCAGACAGAAGGCGAGGCATGTGCTGGACCGGCGCCCTCGAGGTCCCCAGCGCTAGAGAGGCTCTAGAGGTAGAAGAGGACCTGTGCTGCAGGGTTAGTGCTGCTCCTCCTAGCTGGGGCTTGACGCTGGGGTGAGCCTGGCATAGTGGCTCAAAGGTTGCCTTTCCCCATCCCCCGAAAGCCATGGAGAGCGCAGCAAAAGCAAAATCGTGAGAATACAATATATAAGAATTAAACGAAGCAGTAAAAATAAAAATTTAAAAATCAACGTGCATAGTTAATCTGCTATCTCCCACCTTCACCTGCACCACAGACACACTGTGGACCACCTGAATTAAGCTCACAGACCAGTTTGGGACTTAATTTTGGAGCCCAAACAAAACCTTTCTAGGAAATGGATTCTAGCCAGACTCTGCTTGTCCCATGGCTGTAAGCTTTTCCGCATCTGGGGCTGGGTAGCTACTTTTAATTGACTCTCCATTATAAAGATCTGAAATATGTTGTATGCTAGACTTCTCAACATGTAAAACCTGCATCTTTCTTGCTTTAAATTGCTATGAGGTAGCTTTCCAAATAGTTGAAATCTCTTTCAGTTGGGATTGTTTAAAGCACACACTTAAATCTGTTGCCAGCCAGTCCCAAACACATGTCAGCTTGCTTAAACGTCTTCAAATAGTGAGATCAGCCTGTCGATGCAAATCAGCTGTAAATCAGAAAACTTATACTGTACTTGCCTCCAATCAAGAGTTCTTGATTTTCTTTCTCTGCGTCAATCAAGGGCAATCAAAACTTTGGAAAGTGCATCTGACAGGCTGCAGTGGTGTTTGTGTCACACTGTGTGAATCTGCACCCGTCTTTCCCATTAGCCGTGCTGATGAGAGTTGTAGTCCAGAAGGATACGGGGCACCAGGTTGGGAAAGGTTCTTCTAGAGCCCTGGGGTGCTGGGTGGACCAGTATAACTAACAGGCCAGTTCCATGGAATGGGGCAATGGTCACTGGGCAACAAGGCTGCTACAATGCATTGTTGTAGGCTAAGCATAGGTGACCATGGAGGCAAAGTTCATGGGCTGTAGCTGATGCTACTTCAACTCAGAGTAGGCCCATTGGCATTAATGAGCTTCAGTGAGTCATGCCCAATAACTTTAATGAGTCTACTCTGAGTAGGACAAGCATTGGATACACCCCTATGAAATCTTATTACTTAGGTTTTCCGGGATGTGAGGAATGTGGGGTTGCCCCATGGTTGAGCCACCTGCCCCCATCAGTCCTCACCATTGGCTATGTAGGTTGGAGTTGATGGGACTTGTAGTCCAACAATGTGGAATGCCAGAGGTCCCCCACCCCTTGCCTTCCCCTCTGCCCTACATCAAGGGCTTCATGAGAAAGGAATTATAAGTGCATGGAGCTGCCCAGGCTATTTGTCCCTCTAGCCCAGAATGTGCTCTGGTATGAGAGGGGCCTTTCCTGTCACTTCTAGTTTGGCTCACCCAACAACCAATACCATAGATGTAGTCCTGGGCCTTCTGCATCCAAAGCTCTTGAGCTACATGGTCCCTCCCCAAGCTGGTCTTCTGGGTTCCTGTTGCTCTATAGCCACATTACACAGCTGCTTATGGTGGCTCCCACTGACCACATGTCCAGCAGTCATGCTAATGGGAGCTGTGGTCCAAAGCATTGGAAGATTCACAAGTGGGTGAGGACTGTCCTGGGAAAACCTGGTGGCCAGGGCAGCTTGTTGGACCTTATAATGGTGATCAGGCCTACTTGAGAGCAAAGGTTACCTTGTCCCAACATTTCTCCTCCCCATTCCCTGTGTGGCTGTGAAACAGCATTTTACCTCTGAAGCATTTAATCTCAGTGTCCATCAGCAGGGCAAAAGGCAAAGAGGCAGGAACGTTTGATGCTCAGCCAACTTAGGAAATCTTTGCAGGTGGGGGTGTTGCATTTGTCTTGTCTTTTGTGTGCGTACTTGAGTTGGCCTATTGGAATTGCAGAGTTTTGCCCATGGACTGACCCCACCCTCCTTGCCCCCAGCCTGGTAATGTGCCTGCGTTCAACACTGTTGCTCTAAAATCAAGACTACTTGTTATCCTTTGCTCTTCCTTTTCCATCTCTTCCACCCTCCCCAAAATACTATGATTGCACCTATAAGATTTATGCATGACACTGAAGGGAAATCTTATGTGTTGGGGATGAAAATAAAGTGACTAAAGATTTTGAATTGCTTTGTTGACTTGGCTCTCCAAAGATAAACTTGGGTGAAATTTGCTGCTCATCCCCTCTGCATCTCTCTCTTCCTTTTGGGACCCACTTAGAATGCTCCGCCAGTTCGCATCCGGCACAGGCGCTCTCGTTCAGCTGGGGAGAGATGGGTGGACCACAAGCCTCCCTCCAATGTCCAGACTGAGACAGTCATGCAGCCCCACGTCCCCCACTCCATCACAGTGGCGGCTGCCAACGAGAAGGCCCTAGCCAAGTGCGACAAGTACATGCTGACCCACCAGGAGCTGGCTTCCGATGGGGAGATTGAGACAAAGCTCATCAAGGTAAAGGGGGCCAGCAATCAAGCAGGCAGGCAGGCAAGGGAGCTTTCCCAAATGTGTGCCTGTTTTCTAACAAAGTCCTCCAAGCAAACTTTGAGGCTTGTTGGGCTGCAAAGCAGCTGAACTCTTGTGGGGCCATTAGAATTTTACACATTTAGAGCAGAGGGGCGTGTGGAGAGATGCATACAAATGACAGTCGCATATTGCGCACCATTAACTGGCATGATTTCAACCTTGAAAGCTGGCCGGCTGAAATCCCAGAAATTAATTGCATGCAGGGCAGAGAGCTCCAAAGCTCCTTTTGCACTGAGTTTTCCTGGCATGGAAAGTGCTTTTTAATCTCTCAGACTTGCTTACTGGGCTCGGAAATGCCCTTGTGAGATCTCACGGGAACTCAGATGGCCCTGCGAGATCTTGTGAAAGCATCCCAGAGCTTGGCAAGAAAGGCAGGGATGGTTGCCTGGGGGCAGTTTAGGGGTATGTTTTTAGCATATACGTGCCCTTCCTGGAATGCAGCCCCCCCCCCCCCCCAAGATGTGATTCTACTGCATCAATTTACATTTTCACTGCCTTCAAACCCAGGCTAGGCTTCCTAGGCTGGTCTGGCCTGATCTATAATATCTGTAAAAATGGAGCACAGTTAAAACAATACAAGAGTGGGAACCTCAGCTGCCCCCCTCACGATGCAAAGAGCTTCTTCACTGTTCCTGTCTTATAGGGTGATGTTTACAAGACCAGAGGAGGTGGCCAGGCAGTCCAGTTCACAGAGATAGAGACCCTGAAGCAAGAGTCTCCAACAGGGTGAGTTTTCTAGCCCAGATTTCTTGCCCTCTTAAAACGCACAGAACCAAGATGTCCATTCATGGGGCTTCTCTTGCTCCTGCGAGTAGGGGGAGGGCCCAGTGAGACTGCTGTAACTTAGTATCATGACATAAAGTTTTTATGTTTAAGTTTTTAAATACGTTGTAAGACACTTGGAGAACTCTGTGTACCCAAGGCTAGTAAATAATATGAGGCAGGTTCCTGCTGCAAGGCCAAGAAGTGCATCTCCCAGTGGATTTGATCAGACTTGAAGTTTTCAGGGCAGGATCAGATTTGATGAGCAATCCTTTAAACTAACCATTTGCTTTTTCCATAAAATGCAATACAAACATAGAACTATCCTTAAAACAGGCTCCATTTGAGATAAAGGTATAAAAATACTCAGTAAACAGACAGAAAACATGGTTGTCAGAAAATGATGGCAGTCTTGATGTGGGGGGCAGGTATTGCTCCCCCACCCGTTAATCTGTGACTAGTTCACCTAACCTCTGGACAGGGGGTTTGACCTTGAAGGCCTTGGCTTGTGAACCAGCCAGGCGCCCTATTGTGGCTTGCTTCTATCAGCTGGACACAGCTTCCCCTCAACTGATGTTCCTTTGCTTCTTCCAGCCGCAAGCGAAGATCGTCTCCCTCCAGCCGTTCACCTGCAGAGGAGGGTACAGAGTCCGAGTGGACAGATGTAGAAACAAGAGTAAGTTCCAGGGAGGCCCTTCTTCGTGTGCCTCCTCCACGAGAGATCCAGAGTGTGGCCATACGAGAACGGGCCTTTTCTGCAGTGGCTCCCTGTTTGTGGAAGGCTCTCCCCGGGGAGGTTCGGCTGGCACCTTCATTATACACCTTTAGGTGCCAGGCAAAACATTTCCTCTTTAACCAGGTCTTTGGCTGATTGCCATTTTTAAAATGTGCTGTGGAAGGGGGGATTATTGGGTTGTCGTTTTTATTATGTATTTTGTGATTTTATGTTGTAAATTGCCCTGACAGGTATAGAGCAATATACAATTATATATTTTTTGTTATTGTTGTTGGTGTTATTATTACAATGGTACCTCGGGTTACATACACTTCAGGTTACAAACTCCGCTAACCCAGAAATGTTACCTCGGGTTAAGAACTTTGCTTCAGGATGAGAACAGAAATTGCACAGCAGCGGTGCGGCGGCAGCGGGAGGCCCCATTAGCTAAAGTGGTGCTTCAGATTAAGAACAGTTTCAGGTTAAGAACGGCCCTCCGGAACGAATTAAGTACTTAACCCGAGGTACCACTGTATTAGTCCTGGTGTAACCCAGGGTGGGGGGTGAGCAGCAAAGACTGCTGCTGAGTTGCCTCTTGATTCCATGTGGTCTCTCTCTGTGTTTTTTTGTCCAGTGTTCTGTCGCAGTGGAGATGAAGGCAGGCTCTCACCTGGGGCCTGGATACCAGCACCACGCTCAGCCCAAGTATGTTTCTCTCTCCTTCTCACCCCTCACTCCTAAATACTGAACAAGGCTTTCTGCTTCCCTAAGCTTGTAGCTTTGTGTTCTTGAGAAAGCTGGGTTTGGAACCAGGACCAGGCTTTCTGCTTAGGGCCTGAAGACGGAACAGGAGCTGTGCCTGGGAGATGCTGGCTTTGGGGTGGGGGGCAGAGGGGGCAGAGTTTATTATTGAGGTTTGGCCTCTTGCAGATAGGTGCCGACCAAGCTGTGAAAGTGATCTCTTCAGCTCAGGGGACGAAAACATGGCAGTTTTACAAGACATGTTAACAGGCAGGAAAGAGGGCATCAGAGGTAAAAAAAGAAAAGAAAAAGTTACTGAAAGTTCTGAGTGGGGAAAGGCTATCATCAGGACCTGGAGAAACCTCTAAGGTAGTGCTGTGTTTGAGTTACAGAGAAGGCAGGATGTTCCATAGGACAAGGAAGCCTGCTCATACTCTGCACCCCCTCCCCACAGTGGCTTCTGGATTTCCTTGCTGGGTGTTGCTCACATATATTTTACAGCCGCACAGGCTAGAATCCTTTTTTGTCCTCTGTGGGGTGCCAAATCCTGCCCTGCGTTGGGCAGTTGCTGCTCCCTACGTCGGCCCCTCCTGACCAATTGGCTCAACTTCAGAAAGCTTTTCTTGAAGGTTTTGTCTGCTGGGTAGGGGTGGGGGAGATGTTGGGATGTGACGGCAGCTCCTGGAGCCAAAGGGCCGGAAATAGCCTCTTGCAGGAGTCTCTGCGGGGGCATCAGGAGGTTTTGGGGGCTGCCTCATCGCAAGGGGCTCTGCTTGTGCGCTGAGAATTTTACATCGATCATGACCTTCCAACTTTGTATGTGTGAGGGATGACCACAAACCTTTCTTTCCTTTGCAGGCGCAGAAAACCATGAACTATTGGAGATTCCTTCTAGGACTTCTTTGGCAAAGGGATTATTTGCAGGCCTACATATGCTAGGCAAGGAAAGAGCCAAATATATAATAAAAGTACATTTTTTTCCTTTGGCTCTCTTCTGTTGTGGCATTGAAGAAGACAACCTTGTTTTGTTCTGTTACCTCTTGACTGGATACAAGACTCCCTTGCATAGGGCTCAGCTGTGTTCCTTGCCACCTTTTTTGTCTTCTTATGGGTATTTTTATGAGACTGTATTAAAAATGTGCTGCTATTTATTTAGCTGTCCTGATGCACTTTAGAATGATCTTGACGCCTGTTTAGAATGGCAGTCCTGCCCAAGCTTTCAGCTGGGAATGGCTTTGTCCTTAGACTGGGAGCATCTGTGCCCCTGCAAACCGGTGGAGAAGGCCTTCTCCTGCCAATGTATTCTGAGCAGTGGGAAGGATGGGGCTCTCGGCGCTGGCTACCTTCTCTCTTTGTTTTGTTTGCTATGCATGATTGTAATGGGGCACGATGAGTAGACATCTGTGTAGGAAGGTGACTATATTCACATGTGATATATATGTATATTTTAAAGGGCTGAATTTGCCAATAAAATTTCACAGCATCTTGCATTCTGTGGTCTTCCTTGTCTACTTCTAACATATCTGGCAGTACTTTTAAAAAAGCTTTCTCCCCTCCCATTGACGTCATCGAGACGGAAATGGCCACAGCCCATCATCTGGGGTGAAGTTTGTGTTGATAAAACAAAGGGGCATTTGATGTGGCATGACTTTGTTCTCCCTCTAACATATCCAGGATTGGCCCCAGCTGCCGGAGGAACTTGTAGAGCTGGAATGGAAAAGGTTCAGAAAAGGACAACCGATACATTCAAGGGAATGAACATTCCCTGATGAGGAATAATTAAAATACTTGGGGCGTTTTAGTTTAAAAAGGCAAGTACATGCTAGAGGTGTATAAAAACTACTGGTGGTGTGGAGCAGATAGAGATTTTGATCTCCCTTTTTCATAATGCTTGGACTCCCAATGGGCTCATCCAGCGAAGCTGAATTTTGGGAGATTGGGGACAGACACACATCATGTATTGCATTACAATTTGATCTTGTGCTGGAGTTCTGTTCCAGGTATGGTGTGTAACTCCCACCGTGCCAGCATGCTCCTGGGGCTAGTGCACCGAGTGGTGCTTGCCTCCCCAAGTAAAGCAGAGGGCTGTTAAAACACTACCTTGCTTCCTGGGTAAGTCCTGCTCAGTGCATGGCCTCTGGGATGCTCTTGAGGCCACCCAAGTTCCTGCAAGATCTTGTGAGAGCACCCTAGAGCCCGTGTGCTGAGCAGGACTTGCCTGGTAAGCAAGACAGACAGCTTAAAAGCGCTTTCCACATAGGGAAAACCCAGCACAAAAAGAGCTTTTAAGCTCTCTGCCTTGCATGCATTTAATTTACACAATTTTAGCCGTTTGGTTTTCAATTGTGCATAAGATGCAACTGATGTATTTACTCATTGAATTCATATCCCATCTGTAATGGTTCTAGGGGTTGCACGTGCGTAAATCGGCGCCACACCTGGCTGGGTTGCCTGAGTGAACCCTTTCTGTCCGGACAGCCACTCACCCGTGGCTGTCTCAATCGCTGGCAGAATCCGTCAGTGGGCGTTTCTTGAACTTCTTCCAGCAAAGAAGCTCTTTGACGCCTAGTCTCCGCCTACTCTCCCTGCGCGGAAGCCTTCTGCGCAGGGAGGGTGTGGGCAGCGGAGGACCCGTGCTCTCCCCGCTGGTCCCCGGCGAGGAGTCATGGAGCCACCTCGCCGATTCCCCATCTGCCCCCTTCTCCACTGGTGCTACGCTGATTTCCTTCCCCAGAAGATGTGCTGCTTCTCTCCCTCCCGGGACGCTCTCCGGAATCCCTCTGGAGCCCTCCCTCTCCCCCTGGCTCCGATGGCAGTTCCCTGACACCACCCTTCCTCTGGAAAGGAGCCTACGGTAGCAAACAGATACACAGTTTGAAAAGGAAAATAAAAACAGTTATGACATTCTAAAAGCAGTTACAGTTAAGAACATTCTTCCACTCAGTGATCTTGGGTTTGCCAGGAGCAGTCTTCCTCAGCCACCCAAATCCTGGGTGAACAGGAATGCTTCCAAACTCCTGAAAGTGAATAATTATGGAGACAGGTGCACCTCACTGGGGAGGGCATTCCACAACTGGGAAGCCACCACTGAAAAGGCCCTGTCATAAGTCAGCACTAATCGGGTATTCCTACCCCTTACGTAAAACAAATTTACTGCCATAAAATACGGTGCTAGTCACTAACTGATGGCTTTAAAAGGGCATTAAATTCATGGAGCATAAGACTATCAGTGTTGCTTGCAGTTATTCTTCCTATGGTGTTGGAGGCAGTAAGCTGAATATATGCAAGAGAGTGCTGTTGTGCTCAGGTCCAGCTTTTGGGCTTCCCAGGGGCATCAGGATGCTGGGCTTTTGTTTGATCCAGCAAGAGCCGCTCTTGGGATTTACCCCATGACCAAGGCAGAGGAAGAAATGATGAGATTTTCCTTTCCTGCTTCCTCTAACCTCTCAACCCTTGCTGGTCCTATTTGCATTTTTTAAAAAATTGCAAAAACATATTTCACTTCATGCCTAGTTTAGGTTCCTCTGCCGCCTTCTGAATAATAATATCCTAAAGTAGGTTGGAGATGCTACCTAATGAATTGAGCAGAAGAGGCCGTATAAGCTTGCCTGGTAGATTCCACTAGAGGACAGCATCCACCTAAAAATGAATAAAGCTGGGTTGGTTTCCTGCTTTGGGTGGTGTATGTCGCATGTATTTTTAGGCAAGGTGCTTTCAGATCTCGGCATCTGAAGGCTCTCTTAACTCTTAACTGTGTTACTCTTAACACAGGCTACACCAACCTGGTGCCCTCCAGATGTTTTGGACTAAACCTCCCATTAGCCCAAATAAGCTGGCTTGGGCTGATGGGAAGTGTACACCAAAACATCTGTATTTTTTGGTTTTTGGAAAATAAAATAATTTAAGACAAAACATCTGGAGGGTGCCAGTTGGCGAAGGCTGAATTGGCATATGCAGATTGGTGTCTGTTTCTTCACCTGAAAAAAGGATATTGCGGAGTTTCAGAAAAGGGCAAACAAGATGATTAAGGGGAGGGATCAAGTCCCTTTTGAAGAAAAGTTGCAGTGCTTCGGGCTTGTTAGTTTAGTGAAAAGGTGAGTAAGAGGCAACATGATAGAAGTTTATAAAATAAGGCATGGCATGGAGAAAATGGATTGAGAAGGGTGTTTCTACCTCCTAAAACTAGAACTTACAGACTGCTTTTTTTCTTTAAAAATGTTTAGAGGTAGTCTCATTTTCCTACTCATTGAAATACTGCCCCTCAATGAGGCCAACCTTAGATTCACAAAATGTTTAGGGGTATGAGTACTCCTGCGTCCCGTCCGTCCTCCGCCAGTGAAAAAGCACTGCTTGCAGACATCCAGTGAAGCTTGAATGCTGGAAGATTCAGGCCAAATAAAAGAAAGTGCTTCATGTAAGACATAAAACCGTGGAACTCACTCCCACAGGAGGCATAGATGACCACCAACTTGGATGGCTTTAAAAGAGGATCGGGCAAATTTATGGAGGAGGGGTGCTATTGATGGCTACTAGCAACATTGGCTATGCTCTGCCTCCAGAGCTGGAGGCAGCAATGCTTCTGAATATCAGCTGCTAGGAACCACAGGAAGGGAGAGGGCTCTTGTTCTCGAGTCCTCCTTGAAGGTTTCCCAGAGGCATCTGGGTGGTCTCTGAGAACAGGATGCTCGACTGGATGGGTCATTGGCCTGATCCAGCAGGCTCTTCTCATTTGTCTTGGACTTCCCTGTGCCCTTGTCAGTACAGTGGTACCTCGGGCTAAGTACTTAATTCGTTCTGGAGGTCCATTCTTAACCTGAAACTGTACTTAACCTGAAGCACCACTTTAGCTAATGGGGCCTCCTGCTGCTGCCACGCCGCAGGAGCACGATTTTTGTTCTTATCCTGAAGCAAAGTTCTTAACGTGAGGTACTATTTCTGGGTTAGCGGAGGCTGTAACCTGAAGTGTATGTAACCCGAGGTACCACTGTACTTAGCAACTCTCCTGCCCCCACTCTCAACATGTCCTGTCTTCCTCTTCTTTCTTTTTGAGGAATGCCGGCCAAGGTGCCTTCCACTCAATTAGAAAACAGCAAATAAAGTAAGAGCCGTTCTCTCAGCTTCCTACCTGAAAAGGCCAGAGTGCAGCCCCTGCCCCTATTGGTTGCATCACACAGCAGCCTCCTGGGTGCCTGTTCCTTTGCCTGTCTTGTTCATCCTTGCAAACAGCAGCAGCAAAAGTGTTTACCCAACAAAGATTTCTCTTAAGACACACAATTTACTCTGCTAAGAATGCTGCGCGTTGGTTATGGGAATAGATGTTTGTTATTGTCTCTGCTGACACTGGAGGGTGGGGAAAATGAAAGCCATCACCTGTGTGTGTGTTTTCTGCATGTAGTGTACTGCAGGGGTGATGCTAAGCGGTTGCATGTCCTGACCTCCCTTGGCTAGAGGGGAGCTGGGTGGATATCTGCACTTTTCCATAATTTGCTTCCTTTGCAAAAGAGGCTTCCAGTTTTTCTGTCTGATTCTCAGGGACCTTAATGTCTTTTTAATAATTTTGCTGATACCACCTGTATTTGCAGTAGCTGATATATGGGAACCAAACCTTGTGGAAATGATGGTGATTCAGCCTGATCTCTAACAATCCTGAGTTGCATTAGATGCCCAGAAGAGCCAGATGGGCCTTTTCAATGGGAGACAGTCTCTAAGTCATAAGCAGTCTGTCAGGTGGGTTCTTACGTGTAAGAGAAGGCATCTAGTGACAGAAGGGCCAGATCAGGGTTTGGGTTCAATGCCTGACCAAATAATACTAGAAGCAGCAGCAAAAATCCTTTGTCAAACCCCCATGGCCTCATCACATTCCCTTTGATTACATTGCTCTAACATGCTGCAGCCTCCCTGCCTGCTGGCACTTCCTCATCCTGATCTGAGCTACTGCATGATGTTTCCCTCCCCGCCCCCATTGGAAAGTGGGCACCTGGGCAGGCTGCAGAGTTTGGGAACTCCTTGGGTATTCTTGTAACCAATGGAAAAGCAGGGGGATCTTTTTATTAATAGTTGAGAGCATAAATGGCCGAAAGCAGCTGTGTAGGAGGTACTATTCATTGTTTTGTCCATGTGGTCAAAGCCAACAAGCTGTTTCAAGGTGGTGGTGTGATCTTTCTTCAGACATGATGCTTTTCCTCCACGGAAGTCATTGCTCTGGGTGTCTTCCATATGGGGGCTGCAGAGAGGACCACCCTGCCTTAAACCCCTTAAAGCTACAAGTGCATGGACTGCTCCCCCCCCACTTTGCTGCATTGAATATTTTTTTGCATAATATTCTGTACACACCCACACCCCAGGCAGTTAAAAAGCTTCTGCTTTTAAAACCCCAGCACGCCATTGAAGGCGAGGCAATCTCTGCTTATTAATCATTTCAACCTCCAAAGCAAACGGGATCCCAAATAATATAAGTAATTAACTTTATCTTGTTGACATGGCTGTTTATAACACAATGTCAACACTGGCTCTGCCAACATGGCGGAGTTGCTATTTACATAAACGGAGGGCTGGAGACAAGAGCCAGGCGGGGCTGGGGCAGAAGGAGACGACGGTCTGGTTTATGGATCAGGCAGACAGTGCGACTTACCTGGTGCCTTGCAGAGTCACTTAGTTCTCCTGGTGGGCAGATTCCTTCAGGATGTTATGTTTTTTTGATGCTGCTGATCTGATGGATCTCATGTATTTTTGCATGTTGGGATGCTTTTTCTGTCTAACTGCCTCAGTAGGGGATTCCCCTGCCTGCCGGGTGGGGGGGGGAGAGGACATAATTAATATTTGTGTGGTCCCTGAGGAGGAAGTTTGGCAGCCACCAGCAATGATTCTTCAGGGGACTGAAACTGGAAGTTTCTGCATGCGGTACATTTCTGAGCACAATTCAAAGTGCTGGTGCTGGCTGTTAAAGCCCTAAATGGCCTCGGCCCTGTATACCTGACATAGCTTCTCCACCCCCATCATTCAGCCCAGACACTGAGATCTAGCATTAAGGGCCTTCTGGTGGCTCCCTCACTGCGATAAATGAAGCTACAGGGAACCAGACAGAGGGCCTTCTCAGTAGCGGTGCCCACCCTGTGGAACACCCTCCTGTCAGATGTCAAGGAGATAAGTAACTACAACCTTTAAAAGACACATAAAGGCAGCCCTGTATAGGGAAGTTTTTAATGTTTGATGTTTTATTATGCTTTTATATATGTTGGAAGCTGCCCAGAGTGGCTGGAGCAACCGGGTGGGTGGAGTACAATTATTATTATTATTATTATTAATTATTTTTTTATAGTGGAATAGGAAGGACACTCTGCTTATGTACCAAGACTATCTTTTCTTTTTGCTTTCTGTGTTTGAGGCCTGTGTCCTTCAATTTTTTAAAAGCCGTATTTACAGTATGATGAGCATCTATTCCAAAGTGGATTCCTCAAATCCCCAGAACTTTCTCTTGTATACTGAGGCCTTTAGTCCTCAAGATGGCACAAGACTTTGTTGTTGTTGTTGCTACAATGGACAAACCCTTCTGGAAATCATGGACTGTATCTATTCCCCCCTCCCTCAATTTATACATTACACACAACCTGGTATTCACCCCTCCCCCTTTATAACTTGCTTAGCCAGGAAAGGCTTCCCAAGAACATCATGGTGAGAGTGGAGCTTTCCAATCAATTTTGCTTTTATTGGTGGGTGAAGGGCTCAAACCAAGCGTCATCTCCTTAAGTGATGAGGGTGTCTTCACTAAGGCCATTGCTGGAAGTCATCATCATGGTCCTCTTTCAATGGGCAGCTCCCATTACCATGGACCACTGGTCATGCTGCTGGAGTAGCTGATTGCAGTTGGGAGTCAAGCAACATGCTGCCTTTGCTCCTTCGGGAGGAAGGGCAGGATATAAATTAATGGAGGGCCACCCCCCCTTGCTTTTATGCCTGGGTGCACCCAAAAAGCTGGGTGTCATTTCCCAGAAAACAACAACTCTAAACTTGGCCTAAGCACTGTAAACTAATGCTTGAAGAGGCTTTACATTCACCAGAGCTCCCTGGACCTTTGTCCCTGCCTGTGAAAATATTGACTCTGCTAACACCTCCGTTTTGTTCTCTTGTTCATGCAGACAGCAGCTAAGTGCTTTGAAAACAAAGATTGCATGTTTCGGGGAGGCGGTAGGGAGGATTGGACAAGGCCTGAAATCAAACACTTTCCAATAACAGAGTAACTCTCCTCCACTTTGTCCTTCATGTTTGCCCTGCCAGGGGTGTGTTTGTTGGCTGCCTTGGAATTTATTAGGTTCTCGCAAGTGAGGAAGTGGTAGCAAGTCACGGAGATTGGAACACCATATTTCCTGTTAAAAGCCTTCTTTGCCTTCCTCGCCTGTCTTCCAAGGCTCTTTCTGCACCGGTGTTTTTTTGGGGGGCAGATTCACTCCTGGTTAAATTATTGCAGGTAATTTGTCATGGCTCCGGACCAGGACTCCTTGGAAGTGGGGTCCTCTGGAACCTGCAGCTCATAGAATTATGGAATTATAGAATTGTTAAACCAAAGGGTCAACTGGTCCAACCCCCTGCAGTGCTAAAGAATCCCAGACAGATGGCTATCCAACCACTGTTTCAAGACCTCCAGTGGAGAAAGTCTGTTCTACTGCTCTTACTGTCAGAAAGTTATTCCTTTTTTATTGTTAATATTTTATTGAAAAGATTTCAGTTAAACAAAATAAAGCGGGAAACAAATCAAAAGGAACAAATAGTGCATTGGAAACAAACAAACAACTGTAATTCTGTAAGTATCTAATACAATGGTATATATATGGAATTATTGTTCTAATACATATGCAATTATTTATAGCTTACGGTGCCTTTTATAAATGTTTTCCAAATATATTTGTCCATACGCAGTCTATAAGCTATCCATTCATAAATTGCAAGAGTTGCCATGTCCTCTATCCATTGACTAAAGGGGGCCATATATTTATCTTTCCAGTGGATCAATATCAGTCTTTTAGCTGTAGTGAGGACGCAAATAATACATTTATGCTTACCAGTTGTCAAGTGCCATGTTGTAGGTAGATAATTTAAAATAATATTATCCTCTGACAATATTAGCTTTCCCCCAAAGTAATATTTATACAATCTAGTACTTTCCCCCAAAGCTTCATAAACGTTGGACATTGCATAAACATATGTTGCAAAGAAGTATCCAATAACATGTTGTCATAGATAGTCCCTTTCTATACAAAGTTCAATAAATTATAAATATTATTTTGTTATTGTTTAAGATGCCATTTAAAATCCATTAACACCTTTCTTACAGAAGCGAAAACATACATTGTCTAGGTAATATGGGAACCTCCAATTCATTATATTGTAATAATAATAATATTTTATTAATTAATTAGTACCTTTCCCATCTGACTGGGTTGCCCCAGCCATTCTGGGCAACTTCCAGCATATATAAAAACATTGTAAAACATTAAACCTTAAAGAGCTTCCCTATACATGGCTGCCTTCAGATGTTTCCTAAATGTTATATTTCCACAGGGTGGACGCCACTACTGATAAGGTCCTGTGCCTGGTTATTCCTCTTGTTTAGTTGGAATCTCCTTCTTTGTCACTTGGTCAAGTCCTCCCCACGGGAGCAGCAAAACACAAGCTTGCTCCATCTCCAGATGATAGCCCTTCAGATATCTGAAGATGGCTTCCATATCTCCTCTCAACTCTTCTCTGCTGCAGGCTCAACATGCCCAACTCCCTCAGTTGTTCCTCATAAGGCTTGGTTTCCAGACCCCGTATCGTTCTGTGTGGGTCTGTGAGCACTACGAGTCTGCCTTGTGTCCCCTGAGCCCCAAGGAGACACCTCTGCTACCAGACTCTGATGGATGGTCCACGGACTCTTCAAAAGAGCTCTGAGGAGGGGTCCCCACACCTGACAACCCTGCTACACTGAACACAAGAACAGCCTGCTGGATCCAGCTAATGGCCCATCTAGACCAGCATCCAGGACCATGGATAGCACTCCTGCAGCAGAAGCCAAACATCCAAGTTGTCTCAGCAGAGTCTTGAGAAATTAATTGACTGAGTTGTATCGGAGGGCTATAAAACCAGGTGCTCATGAGAAACCCTCAAGCAAAATCAGAGCAGAAGAGCCTTCTCCCCTTCCACAATTTCCAGCAGCTGACTTCAGAAGAAGGCACTGGCCCTTTCACTGGTCAGGAGGCAGCACTCAGGGATGCGGTCTCCATGCCACCCACCTAGCCTTACATTTATTGGTTGGTTGGTTGATTTCCCACCCTTCACTCTAAGGTCCCAGGGCAGGTCACAGCATTAAAAATAATATTAAAAATAATTTAAAACAACATATAAATCTCAGCCCATTTCTCCAAGCAACTTGGACGCTTGGTCTACAGCTGCAGGAGTGCTACCCATGGTCTTGAACCTCAACCTTCTTCCCTAAAGCTGTCCTTTGCCTTGCCTTGCTGCCTGCCAGGGGGACCAGAAATTACCTGGTCCATCTAGCTCAGTATTGTCTACACTGACTGGCAGCAGCTCTCCAGCATTTCAGATTGGGTTCCCTCCCAACCCTACCTGGAAATACCAGGAACTGAACCTGGGCTCTTCTGCTTGCAAGGTAGATGCTTTTCCACTGAGCTATGGCCGTTGCCCACTACTAACTCCCCCTTGCACAGGCCATTGGCTCTCCTCTGTGGTGGCCATCCCTGTACACCCCAACACAATTTTGGTAGCCCACATTTCACCCCCTAGCCTGCCATCCACCGATGTGCTTCTGGCTCAGTGCATTCACAGAGACTCTTCTGAACCATTGCTCTTATTTGATGGAGACTATGGGAGTGGCGCTGTGGGTTAAACCACAGAGCCTAGGACTTGCCGATCAGAAGGTCGGCAGTTCGAATCCCCACGACGGGGTGAGCTCCCGTTGCTCGGTCCCTGCTCCTGCCAACCTAGCAGTTTGAAAGCACGTCAAAGTGCAAGTAGATAAATAGGTACTGCTCTGACGGGAAGGTAAACGCCGTTTCTGTGCACTGCTCTGGTTTGCCAGAAGCAGCTTAGTCATGCTGGCCACATGACCTGGAAGCTGTACGCCAGCTCCCTCGGCCAGTAAAGTGAGATGAGCGCCGCAACCCCAGAGTCGGCCACGACTGGACCTAATGGTCAGGGGTCCCTTTACCTTACTGCTCTTCCCATCTTCCCATGCTCAAAATGGCTCAGCCACCCCCACCTTCCCTCTCCTGCAGCAGTGCCAAAAGGACGCAGGGTGGCCGCTTGGCTGTGCTTGGGGTTTCCTCCGCCACCTCGGTCTCCCCGCAATCCGAGCCGTTTATAGCAAATGTGTTTGCTTTGTTGCCGAGTTGCTTGCAACGCCTGCCAGCAACCGACACACCAGCTGTTAATTAGAGCTTAGCTTTTATTGCCCGAGTCTGCTGTGTTGATACGGAAAATGGGAATAAAAAAGTCATTTTGCTCATTGTGATGTGAAAATAAACGATGCCTCGTTGCTTTGATTAAATAATCTACTTATCCGGCCTGTCAAATAGCCTGAGTGTAGGCAAGAGCGTTGGCTTCATCTCCTGGCATGAAGGGTCAGAGAGAAGAAGGAGGAATCTGGGGCAGCAACATTGGGGACTCCTAAACCCACATCCAGAAGTACTTTTTGCCTAAAGCCCCTTGCCAGGCAGGATATGTCCAGTTTACAGCAACTCCTCAACTGGATCAGAGCATCAGAAGGGCATCAGAAGACACTGGCTTCTGGATCAGACCAAAGGGGGCCCATCTAGTTCAGTACTTTATTTTCACCATGGCCAACCAGCAGGACATTATGGTGGCATCACCCTCCCTATCTATGGGACTGCCTCTCCTGGTATGCCCCGCAGAGGACCTTAAGATCCATGAATAACCATAGTTTAGAGGTCCCGGGCCCTAAGGAAGTCAGACTATCCTCCACCAGGGCCAGGGCCTTTTCAGTGATGGCTCCAACCTGGTGGAAAGCTCTGTCTCATGAGACTAGGGCCCTTCAGGATTTAACCTCCTTCGGTCTGGCCTGTAAGACAGAGCTATTCTGCCTGGCCTTTAATTTGAATTCAGCCTGATATTTTATTTCCCTTCTCTTCCCTCCCCCTCCCCTTTTATGAAGATCATCCGCTCTGAGACCCCACAGCTAATTCTCCCCTGGCCTCCTCGCTGGCCCAAGTAGGACCAATTCAGCCAGCTAGCCCTGGGGATTATCTAACTGATTTTTGAATTTTATTGTTATTCATGTTTTTATACTGTATTTTATGCTGCTTTTATAATTAAGTGTTTTAAAGTGTTGTTAGCCGCCCTGAGCCCGGTTTTTGAACTGGGAAGGGCGGGGTATAAATAAAATTTATTATTATTATTAGCAATTCCAAACAACTGCACTTCCATTGCAAGCAATGCTTACTTTGGGGAAGCTTTCAATGTTTGATGTTTTGCTGAGTTCCTTTATAGTCTGTGGGAAGCCCCCCCCCCCAGAGTGGCTAGGGCAATCCAATCTGATTGGCGGGGTACAAGAAAATTATTATTAACATTATTAACTATGGAACTCACTTCCTCATGAGGCAGTGATGACCACCACCAACCTGGATGGCTTTACAAGAGGATTAGACGAATCCATGGAGGAGAGGACTATCAATGGCTACTAGACATGATGGTTGTGCTCTGCCTCCACAGTCAGAGGTTGCAATACTTCCAAATACAGTTGTTGGAAACCAGAGAGAGGAAGATTGTTCTTGTGCTTGAATCCTGCTTGCAAGTTTCCCACAGGCCTCTGGTTAGCCACTGTGAGAACAGGATGCTGGACTAGATGGGCCTTGGGCTTGATCCAGCAGGCTCGCCTTATGTTCTTACATATACCAGCGGTAGCACTCTCCCCACTTGCAATTTCAGCTGCCTCCACCCCCACCACGGCTTAGTAGTCACTGGCAACCTTGTCCTCGGTGAATTCTTCTAAGTCACCCAAGCTGGTTGCCATCAGATATCCTTCAGGAGGGAACCAGTCCATTGAAAGGACAAGCAAACCCTGAAGCCTTGGAGAACATCTTCCAGTGCACACTGGCCCCAGATTAATCAGTCAACCTCAACCATGGCTCTGGTGGGACATCATGTGAAGGGGAGGTAGATGGATTCTGCAGAGCTACCCCAGACCCTGTTGAAGAGACCCCCTTGCTTGCCTCCCCACCCGCCCAGCAATCCCATAGCTAGCAGCTGGATCTCACCCCAATTCCACACTCTTCCCCTTTGCCCTGGAGGACCCTGAATGTTGTCTGTGCCAGCAGGTGAGGAGAAGAGAGGCTTTCATGAGGACATTCTGGGGAGGAGGAAAGTGAACAGGATGTGCCAAACTGAATTTAAAATTGGAAAACGGGGAATAGAATTAACAGATCCATCCACACCTGGTGTCCCCTCTGTGATGTTGATGATGATGATATACAATAATAATTAATAATAATAATAATCTATAATTTATACGCCACCCATCTGGCTGGGCTTCCCCAGCCACTCTGGGTGGTTCCCAACAGAATATTAAAAACACCAGGAACTGCCAGAAGGCCCTCGGCGCTGGACCTCAGTGTCCAGTCTGAACGATGGGGGTGGAGACACTCCTTCAGGTAAACTGGGCCAAGGCCATCTAGGGCTTTACACATCCTGCCTCTTTAGCTCCCTTCATGCAGTTCATACACTTCTGCACCAGAAGATGTCAGTGTGGTTTTTCAAATGTGTGTTTGTGGATAGTTCTCACAGTGGTTTCTTTTGGCCCTGCTTCCTTGAAGGCGAGGAGCAAATGAGGGCATTGATGCCTCCAGATCAGAGTTCACCAAGGGAGAGTCTGTGATTTGGCCAAGCACAAAAGTTGGCATGTCTTTGCAAGGATCCTGGCAATGTGCTGATATTTATTGTTTATTTATTTCATTGTGTGTCTATTCCACCTTTTCCTCCAAGGAGCCCAAGCTGGTATACGTGGTTCACCTCTCCTCATTTAATCCTCACAACAGCCCTGTGAGGTAGGTGAGGCTGAGCGGCAGTGACTGGCCCAAGGTCAGCCAGTGAGCTTCATGACTGAGTGGGGATTTGAACCCTGGTCTCTCAGGACCTAGCGCACACTGTTTCAGTTTGTTGTGGGTTTGTTTGTTTTTATAGTACTTTAGGTTAATTGCAAGCCACATTGGAAGGTTTCATATCTTGGAAGGCAGGCGAGAATTAATTGTAATAGGCAACAACAATAATTACTCAGTTTCCCCTTTTCCTTCCTTGTCCCTTGTTCTCATCTCACTGAGATCTTCTCCAGCTTTATTTGCATGATCACCTCCTGTTGTGGAAATGTAATTTCTTTTATCATCCATCCATTAACTAATTTTTATACTGCACATTCCTGCACAATATCTGACACAAGGAAGTTTTGTATTTTCAGCTCCAACATGGTGTGAGTGTTACACAGCCAGGAAAATGTTTTAAGAAAACCAAATGTGTTCTGGAGCTTGAATATATTTCTCTTCCTTGCTTTCTCTCAGGCATACTTGCCGGGCAAAACCTCTAATGAAGATCTCCTTACGGTGACTTTTCCATTAGTTATACTCCTGCAAGTTGGACTTGTTTAGCTGTGATTCCTGCATTGCAGGGGGTTGGACTGGATGACCCTGTGGGACCCTTCCATCTCTACAATTCTATCATTCTGTGATTGTAAAAAAAAGGTAAAGGTAAAGGTCCCCCGACAGTTAAGTCCAGTCGTAGACGACTCTGGGGTTGCGGCACTCATCTCGCTTTACAGGCCAAGGGAGCCGGCGTTTGTCCGCAGATAGTTTTTCTGGTCATGTGGCCAGCATGACTAAGCTGCTTCTGGCACAACGGAACGCCGAAACCAGAGCAGCGCACAGAAACACCGTTTACCTTCCTGCTGCAGTAGTACCTATTTATCTACTTGCACTTTTTGGTGTGCTTTTGAACTGCTAGGTTGGCAGGAGCAGGGACCAAGCAACGGCAGCTCACCCTGTCATGGGGATTCGAACTGCCAACCTTCTGATCGGCAAGCCCAAGAGGCTCAGTGGTTTAGACCACAGCGCTACCCGTGTCCCTCTGTGATTGTAGGGACCAACTAAAGGGCAGAGGCCTGGAGCCTGAGGTTTTACGGCTCCTGAGTCCTATGCAGAGCTAGAATTTCCAAGGACAGGCCAACCAGGACCAAGATTGCCCATTTTAAAAACAATACAGTGGTACCTCAGGTTAAGAACTTAATTCGTTCCGGAGGTCCGTTCTTAACCTGAAACTGTTCTTAACCTGAAGCACCACTTTAGCTAATGGGGCCTCCTGCTGCCGCCACGCTGCTGCTGCGTGATTTCTGTTCTCATCCTGAAGCAAAGTTCTTAACCTGAGATACTATTTCTGGGTTAGCGGAGTCTGTAACCTGAAGCGTCTGTAACCTGAAGCATATGTGACCCAAGGTACCACTGTATTGAGCCTTTCTTCTCAGTTTGGGGCATCTGTGAGCTCACATTGGATCCCTAGTCCACTTGGCAAGCATTCTTCCTTGGCATATCCTAGCGCTGCTCATTCAGCCCTCAATTTAAGTGAAAATTATTGTTTCCCCAAACTTGCTGCAAGGTGGGGCACCAACACCCAGTTAAACTTTTTTGCCTTCTGGTCTTGCTGATGAGAGTTTTATCTCACTGGAGATTTGAGACTTTGGCAGTTTATTATCAGGTGAAACATGCTTGATGCAACTAACAGATTAATAGAGAGGAGTTGGGGAGTGTGTGTGGGGGATGTTTAGCAACTGACTGTGCATGTCAAATATTAATTATGTTTCATTTCATATGTAGATGAAGCAATCAGCTGTATAGCGCCGAGATAATGCTTGCGTCTGGACTTGTTTTTTGACCTTGAAAAGGCTGCATGGCTCAGAAATCAGAATTCATATCTTAATTATACTATGTGCCCGGAGTTAACACGAACCCTTCCAGGAGATAACAGGGTCCGTGGTACTGTACAGACTTTGCCTTGAGATCATAGCTTTCCGCTGAGCACCCTGTAATCTGTTTGACCTCGCTGCTGACAACAGCAATGTTTTTCTCAGCCTCGTTTTTTGAATAATGGGTGGGAGGAGAGCCAGGGCAACTTCATTAAAGTTGCACTTTGCGTGCGGAAGGTCCCTGACTCCATCCCTGGCATTTCCAAGTGGGGGCTAGGAATGCCCCTTGCCTGGAACCCGGGAGAGCTAGAGCTGCTGCCAGTCAGTGTTGGAACACAGAAAGGAGATGTAGAACACAGAAAACATCTGGAGAGCACCAGGTCAAGGAAGGCTAGCCTATGGAGTAGCAAGGCTGACCCGATGAAAAGTTTAATTATAGCTGATGCCCGCCCACTAGGCAATCCCACCAACCCTTTTGGGAACCACTGGTGGTAGAGAGTAGGGGCAGGGAACCTTTTTCCAGCCCAAGGACCACATTCCAGTGGTAGGCAAGGCCAGAGGCAAAAAGGGGGTGGACATACCCTCCAACATTTCACAGACGAAAATAGGGACATTTCTCACTCCCCAAAACTGACTCCCCATTTTTGGTCCCTCCCACCCGCAGAGCATTTCCTATCAGAAGAAGGGCAAGTGGTGCCACAACCACAACACCATTTTCCAATATTACATTCCGGTTGCCACATTTGCCCATTAGTTTGCTTTTTTCAAAACGTCCTCATGATTTTCATTTTCTCATTTTGCAAATATTTTAACGAAAAAGCAAAGTCTTGACATAATCAAGCTGCATTTCCCTCGACTTCCCTCCCTTCCTTTCTGGGGTTACTTAGTTTATATCTTTTTGTTACTGCATATCCAGTTCAAGCCTATTTACTAATTTCCCCTTTGTAGTCCCTTTTAATTACCGGGTATTTCTTTCTGCACGTGTTTATGTTTTAAGTTGTTTACAGTACATCTTCAAATTGTCAATAAATTTTCCCCATTCTGTTTTAAAAAGTCTCTCTTCTTGGAGTGGATCTACAAACAGAGGAAAAACGCTATAAATAAGTCAGAAATAAAATTGTTATAACGAAAGAAAAAAATGCCATGTAAAGTTGCATATAACACATTTAAAACACTGCTTTTTTCTTACTAATGTATCTGAGTCCTTGGTTTCTTATTCTTCCAGTAAGTTTCGCCATTTCTGCATACTCCATCAGTTTTAATTGCCACTCCTCCTTCGTTGGAACTGTTTCTTCTTTCCATCTCTCGGCATAAATCATTGAAGCAGCTGTAGTAGCGTACACAAATTATTATTTTCTTTTCTTTGGGTATCTCTCCACCGATTATACCTAAAAGAAAAGCTTCTGGGTTGTTGTTTTTTAAACAAAAGTTATCTTCAACATTTTTTTCCCCCAACTCATTATAAATCATTTCCCAGAAAGCTTTTGCTATCTTACATGACCATCAAAATGTCCTCATGAAAGCCTCTCTTCTTTTTATAGGGTAGGTAGGAGATGAGCTTATGGAACCCAGGCAGGAGGCAGGGCTCAAAAAAAATTGCAAATCTAGCCCAACGCTCTAACCATGATACCTCACTGGCTTAAAAGGGCGATGCTGTATGTGGCAAGGTTAAAGTCTGGCAGTCCTCCTTGCAGTTTAAAATAAAATATGAGGCCGAGGGTTTGTGCATGTGCTTCCATCCTCACATGGTGCGACCAGGTAATGCTTGCAAGAAGTCTGGGAGGTAACTTTACCCAGCAGGTCACGGGGATGGCTGCAATTCCAAGGCATAAGCTAAGCCTGCCTTTAATTACCTTGGAGAAAGCATCTTGATCCATGCACGATTAAATATTCATTCTGTATAACTAGACGGTTTCGTTGGATGCAAAGCCATATGAAATTTAGCTGGCACAAAGCCCTACCACCCAACACATCTAATAAATTCTTTGCGAGGCCTTGTGGCTTCAAACCAATCTTCTTTCCCTCTCCACCCCACCCGCTTCCAACCTACTTTCTCCATCTTATTTAATTTTGATAAATTTGTCCCTCTCTCTCTCTCTCTCTCTCTCTCTCTCTCTCTCTCTCTGCCTCCTTCACCTTTATGTCTGAACAATCAGGGCACATATGGGATTTTTTAGACAGGAGGAAATGACGGAATCTGGGCTAGGCCTGGGAAAAATAAACAACCAAATTGTTCAGCGAGGAATAGAGGCAAGAGGAAAATGTGATTCTCTCTCTTTCTCTCGTTTTCACAAGCGTTGCCAGCTAACTACTTTGGCAGCCAGAGCCACGGATAATAATAATCAAACCTCTTTTTAAAGTCAAGGCAGAGCTGAGGTAAATATTTGTATAATATTTTATTACAATCTGAATTTGTTCCTTGATTGAGAACATTTCCTACGGACGGGCCCACTGGAAAATCAAATTGATATGTAATTGAAGTTGCTGGGATTTGTATTTGTTTTTTAACAAGGGATTCTAGCTGGGCTGCCTACAGAATACCGGCCGAGCCTCTGCGAGTATCAGGGCAGATTTCAAATTGCACTGCTCTTGGAATGAGAGGCAAAGAGGTGGGGGAAAGCCCAGGTAGCTCAGTAGATGAAAATCTCATTTTATACTGTTGTGGGTTTGAGGGGTCAGTCTGGATGATGCCCCAAGCCCCCTTCCAATTCTTGGGGTCCTGTACCCAGTACTCTGTACTTGGGGTCCTGTACTTCAGTTAGAAGAAGAAGAAGAAGAGTTTGGATTTGATATCCCGCCTTTCACTCACTTTAAGGAGTCTCAAAGCGGCTAACATTCTCCTTTCCCTTCCTCCCCCACAACAAACACTCTGTGAGGTGAGTGGGGCTGAGAGACTTCAAAGAAGTGTGACTGGCCCAAGGTCACCCAGCAGCTGCATGTGGAGGAGCGGAGACGCGAACCCGGTTCCCCAGATTACGAGACTACCGCTCTTAACCACTACACCACACTGGCTCTTCAGTTAGAATTTAACTGAAGATTCTGTTGTTTGAACTAGTCAGTTTCTTTGTAAGACAGCGACCTGAGCTGGCCACATAAGTGTCCTCATCAACATCCCAAAAGAATTAGCTAGGCTGTGAGAGCTGTAACTGAGTGATGATGCCCTTCATGCTAAAGGGTGGGCCTTTCCTCTACCTCCCTCACCTAGCTACTAGGTAGAAGAACAAGAGCCAGAGTAGATGCGTGTGAGCTGGAAGACGGCTTGGAAGCTGGAGCCATAGAGACCTGCTTGCTCTGTGCTCCTATGCCGCAACTAATGGAGAAGCAAGTTCTGCGGGGGGGGGGGGGTGTTAGTGCTATGAGCCCTTCCAGCTTATTCTCAAGTTGTATATATGAGTAAGTAAAATCATATATCCTAAAGACACCACAGTCTCTGTTAAGTTGTGGGTGAACATATCAGACGACACAGGGATTCTTCAAACAGCTCTTGTTTATTCACAGGCCAGAACAGAACTGAACTGAAGGGTTGAGCCAGCCTGCTTATATAGAGCTCCACTACAATGCAACAGTAACCACTTTCTGTAACTATCCAATCACTGAACGTCACTTTCAATCCCTTATTTGCATATGTGGACCTGAGTGAAAACTATCTACAGTATCCCCCTGCTGGCCCAGGGTGGGAACTTCAGTACATAACAGTCTCCTCATTCCAAGGAAACTGAACCTGCGTAAGTGCCTGGAGGCCCTGGGTTCTCTCGCCACTCAGAGATTGGGATGGCATGTACCAGTATAAGAAGGTCCCAGGGTGAATCTCCGATGGCATCACCAGGTAGGACTAGGGAGGACCCATTGGAGAGCTACTGCCCAGTCAGTGTGGAACAGTACTGACCAATGGTCTGGCTCAGTATGCGGCAGCTTGTTCCTGAAGAGCCAGTGAGGAAAGACTGTGACAACCCACTTGTTTTTCTTCTCTGTAGGAAATTATGTTCATGTAGGCTTTTCCTGACGTGACCTGGGTTTGGGGTGTAAAAAATGGCGTCGGGAATTTTGCTGAATCAGCAAAATGTCAGGGAAAACCCGGATGTATGGCAATGTGATGGAAAAAGCAGCGGAAACAGCTCAAAAAGCTTTGAATCACTATTTTTGGGGTTAGGTTTTCCCAAGAAAGCCCAACAATTTTGGGGGCTTCTTAAAAAAAAGTCCAGGAATTTTACTTTTTGAAATATGGCAACCCTAGTTCATGGCAAAGCAAGCCTCTCTCTTTTTGCAAAATTCTGCACAGGCAGAGACCCTGGGAGATGAAAGCTCAGTGGAATATCTCCATGTGACCTTGATCCTCTAAGGCAATGAAGACAACTTCTTCTTCTTCTTCTTCTTCTTCTTCTTCTTCTTCTTCTTCTTCTTCACATTTCTACCCCACCTCTGGTTCTTCCCCTCCTCATTCAATCCCCACAGCAACCCTGTGAGGTAGGTTAGGCTGAGAGGCAGTGACTGGCCCAAGGGTCACCCAAAGAGCTTCAGGGCCAAGTGGGGATTTGAATCCTGGTCTCCGAGGTCCCCGTTCGACTCTCTAACCACTACGCAACACTGGCTCTCATCAATTCTGCCAGGACGCTGCAGCGAGAATGATGGGCAGATTTCGGAGACCTGACCCACAGAGCCTAGGCAGAATTCAGCCTTGGCAGATTAACTGTTGGGCCTGGGCTCTAGGCGTTATAGGTAGGGCTGCCTTTGAAGATGGTTCTGAAACTGCAGAGGACCAAAGTGTTGTGATACCACCTCTAATGGTCTGCCTCTCCCCCATTTCATACTAACCAATCTAACCACTACACCACCACTGGCTATCCTATGGCCTCTGGTTGGGTTTCTAGTGTGTGTTAATGAGTCTGCTTCACTTACATCTTCTGGTTGGCAGTGAGAGGTTCCTGTGAGCTCCTTCAAAAATAATTTGCTTTTCAGAGGGGTGGGAAGTGCTTGGGAAGCATTATATTTTTACTGGTGTGTGTGTGTGTGTCCGTCCCTTGGAAGTGAGCACACACACATCCACCTGAAGCAAAGAAGCTTCCTTTTGAATTTGCTTACGTGCAAATTGAGGCGCCCTTAATGAGGCAGCCAAGGCTGGCGGATAAAGCACAAAGCCAATTAGCTGTCTTGGAAAAAAAAGAAAAAGAAGAAAAAACCCGACGTGTTCATTAGCATGAAAATAAAGCCAAACTTTTAGAAGATAATTGCATCTCCCTTAAAAAAAAAAAAAAGTATTCTTGATCTATGACAGTCTCATAAATATGCATTCTTATATAAATACTCTTCCCGAAGGCAGGAATGTGTGCCCCAGAAATATTTGAACCATTTCAGACAGTGACAAAACCAAACCAAAAGAAATTCTTCTTCCTTTCCTAAGCCTCCCTCCCAATATGCCAAAATCATCGGCAACACAGCCCTGTCCTTGAGTACCAAGCAGGGGGAAGGGCTGCAGTTTGGTGGGAGAGCATTTGCTTGGTATGCAGAAGGTTCAATCCCTGATGCCATTTCTAGGTGGGGTTGGCAGAGATCCCTCGCCTGAAACCCTGGAGAGCCTCTGCCAGTCAGTGCAGGCAATACTGAGCTAGATAGGCCTGACTCTGGAGAACTCAGCAGCTTCCTATATACAGTGGTACCTCGGGTTACATACGCTTCAGGTTACATACGCTTCAGGTTACAGCCTCCGCTAACCCAGAAATATTACCTCAGGTTAAGAACTTTGCTTCAGGATGAGAACAGAAATCGTGCTCCGGCGGCGTGGCAGAAGCAGGAGGCCCCATTAGCTAAAGTGGGGCTTCAGGTTAAGAACGGACCTCTGGAACGAATTAAGTACTTAACCCGAGGTACCACTGTATGCCCATTTTAGACTTCATACAGCACCCTCCAGCCTCTGCAGGAGAACCTGTGTGGTGGGCCTGGGAGACCTGGGTTCAAATTCCCCACGCAGCCACAAAGCCCACACTGGGTTTCATGCTGTCTCTAGCCCAGTTGGTAGAGTATGAGACTTTTAATCCCAGGTGTCATGAGTTCGAGCCACACATTGGGTGAAACATTCCTGCATTGCAGAGGGTCAGACTAGATGGACCCTCAAGGCCCCTTACAACTCTACGGTTCTATGATTCTATTCTGTGCCTAATTTACCTCATAAAGTTGTTGTGCAGATAAATGGGTGAAGTGTGTACACACTGCCTTGGAGAAAAGGTGGGATATAAATATAATAGTAAATAAAACCTTGCGCCTTCTATAGAGTTCCGTGGGCGGGCTGGCGTCTCACCCTGAGCCAAATTGGGCTGACCGTTTCCTCGACTCCCTCATGAAGCTGCGCTGCATCAGGAAGGTCTTGAAAAAAGAGAGGCAGTGTGTCTGGAGTGTTGGAGACCAGGGTTCAAATCTTCCCACTGGGCCATGAAGCTCTCTGGGTGAGCTTGGGCCTCTCAGCCTGACCTACTTCACAGGGTTGTTGTGGGGATTAAATGAGGAGAGTTGAACTGTGGATGCCACCTTGAGCTCCTTGGAGGAGTAAGGTAAAGGGACCCCTGACCATTAGGTCCAGTCGTGGCTGACTCTGGGGTTGCGGCGCTCATCTCGCTTTATTGGCCAAGGGAGCTGGCCTACAGCTTCCGGGTCATGTGGCCAGCATGAGTAAGCTGCTTCTGGAGAAACAGATCAGCGCACGGAAACACCGTTTACCTTCCCACCGGAGCGGTACCTATTTATCTACTTGTATTTTGACGTGCTATCGAACTGCTAGGTTGGCAGGAGCAGGGACCGAGCAACGGGAGCTCACCCCATCACAGGGATTCGAACTGCGACCTTTTGATCGGCAAGTCCTAGGCTCTGTGGTTTAACCCACATCGCCACCCGTGTCCCTCCTTGGAGGAGTAGGTGGGATATAAATGCTAAAAATGATTATGACGGTGATGTCAATAGAAGGGGGCTGATGAGAAATGAAGTCCAAAACATCTGTAAGATGCCAGGTGGGCAAATGTTAAGTAGCTGTTAAGATGTCTGGCTTGGTAGCCCATAGTAAGACCCTCTTTCCAGCTTGTTTCCATGTATTTCCCAGCCTCAATCTCATCTTTCAGCTGTGGGTGTCAACACCTACACAGATGCCAAACCAGAAGTGCTTAAATAGACTTTCCAAGCGAGGGGACGGAAAGCCATCCTGCAGTTCTCTTTCCTCTTAAGGTGTTAAGTGCTGAATTCTCCAACTCCTTTGCAGAACCCAAACACTTAAAAGATTAAGCCGGGAGAAGATCTGGGCATGAGCAATTGATGGCTTCTGTTGTGAGTAGAACCACCAAGAAAAGAAATATAACTTAGCTTTCCCCTGGGGCTTTGGGCATGACGTGTGAGAGAATTGGCCTGTCAGGCACAGAGTGGGAGTGGGGTGAATATACCAACAGCAGGAAGAACCCTAGATGGATATTGGAATGGCTGCTTAGGAAATGCTAGAAGATGGGCATTCGCTTGCTGAAAACTGTGGCATAGGGCAGGATGGGAAGGGAAGAAGTAAATCATGGACTTGTAAAAAGGTAGGGTTGGGAGAGAACTGAGGGGTCATCTAGCCTGACCCCCTGAAATGCAGGAAGTCCCTTGTCTTAGATCTCATTGAAGAGCATATTTTCACCCCCTTGCTGTTAGTTTGCTCACTCCCCCCAAGTATTGTAGGGGGCGAAGTAGATGACCCTTTGAGCCCCTTCCAGCTCTACAATTCTATGATTGAGGACTGAGTCACAACATGTACATGTCTGCAGACAGGCGGTGCCTTCTTCGCTCAGGCCCCTTGCCACTTGGAAAGCATATGCCAACATTATCTCAGAAGCAGAGGTGAGAATACGCTGCCTGGCACTCAAAACACAGCTGATCAACAGCCATATGTATGAACTGAGTAACCGTTTCTTGCAAGGATCCCAGGCTGTGCACACACCATATGTCTGAAGTCCACACACCCAAGGATCCTGGGGACTGTAGTTTACCCCTCTCAGAGCTACAATTCCCAGCACCCTTAAACTACAGTTTCCAGGATTCTCTGCAGGGCAGTGGGAGTCTTTATTCCCTGCTTCTTTGGTGTTCAGGGTGCTGCCTCTCTCTTCACAGACATAATTGGGTTTGGCAGCTAAATATAATAGCCAAGCACCTGTTCCCTGCAGCTGTCATGAAAGCCGCTGCTAATGGCACCAGAGAGAGGCCTGAGGGATTGGTTGCAAATACACTTTGGGCAGCAGGTGCCGGGAGCAATGGCCGGCCTGCTTGAGCACTCTGAAATACAAGCAGCTAATGGGTAACCCAGGACGAGGGAGATTGGAGGGCCTAATGGAGGGGATTAGCAAGGACCCGCGCTGGGAAAGGCCACAGTCAGGCCTTCTTCTGAGGCTGTGACGGCCATTTTGGAAAGTGATCAAAGGCCGGTCTCTCTCTGACAAGGGTCTGTCATCAGGAAATCACTGTCCACAGCCAGCCAGCTGGGTGTTAGGGACTGTTCTGTATGGGTTAGGGATGGCAAGAGCTACTCAGAGCTCCTCTCTCTCTCTCTCATGCACACATCTCTTGTCTCACAAATACATTATCTTTAAGCAGATTTATAGCAGAATTCCTTGAGTTTATGCATCTGAGCACAGAACGAACCTTTAACTGACAGCACTCTCCCACCCTGGCCCTGCTATCACAGTGGAGACTACCTCCATACAGTGGTACCTTGGGTTAAGTACTTAATTTGTTCTGGAGGTCTGTTCTTAACCTGAAACTGTTCTTAACCTGAAGCACCACTTTAGCTAATGGAGCCTCCCGCTGCCACTGCACGTCTACTGCGCGATTTCTGTTCTCATCCTGAAGCAAAGTTCTTAACCTGAGGTAATATTTCTGGTTTAGTGGAGTCTCTAACCTGAAGTGTATGTAACCCAAGGTACCACTGTATTATTATTGGGCATTTGAGAAATGGTACATATCAAGCTCTATGCTTGGTGCTTCCCCATCATAATAACATAAGCATAGCCTGCTGGATCAGGCCAATGGCTCACCTAGTCCAGCATCCTGTTCCCACCGAGATGCCTGTGGGAAATGAGCAATGGTGGAAGCAGAGGATAGTATAGCCAATAGCCCTCTCCTCCATGAATTTCTCTCATCCTCTTTTGAAGCCATCCAGATTGGTGGCCAGCACTGCCTCCTGAGGCAGCGAGTTCCATAGTTCAATTTTGCACTGTGTGAAGAAGATTTTTTTTAAAAGAAAAAATCTGTATTGAATCTTCCACAGGTCATCTTCATGAGATGCCCACAAATCCTGGTGATATGAGAGATGAAAACTTTTCTCCATCTGCTTTCCCCATGCCATGCATAATTTTAAAAACTTCTATCATGTTGTCTTCTTCTCACCTTTTCTCTAAACTGAAAAGACCCAATTGCTGAAACCTTTAGTCATAGGGAAGTTATTCCACCCCCTTGATCATGACTCTGGAGGAGCCAATTTTGCCCAACTCGCTGGCTATTCAGGGCTCCACCACAACATGGAGGATGTTCCCTAGGGAGGGCAGTGTGGGGAGGAGTCCCAAGCACTGTTTAGAATAATATAATTGTAGAATTGGAAGGTCAATGAGTCCACCCTTCATCCCATCTTCCCTGCCTTGAAAAAACAACTTGGCAGAGGAGTTGGGATATGTCAAGTTTGATTTCTCTCTGTTTTCTATTTCTCCTATTTCTAGTCTTAGGTTCTACACTTCAGCTTGTTATTTATTTATTTTTTAAAATAAATTCTCATGGAAGTTATTCATCATTTTATCACGAATTTCTCCTGATTTGTATGCAATTTTGTTTACAGCGTGCATTTTTGCAAAACAATTTCTCCTGGTATAGTGCATGTTGATATTTTCACTAATACGTATATGCATTTTAATGCACACTTTATTCTGGTAGGTGCATTTTCCTGCACATTGTTTGGCCGAAGAACTGCATTGCAAAAATCAAAGAATTGTGAATTTTGAAGGAAGCCGTTTTGATTTGTATAATTAGACAGATTAGATCACCTCCTGTTTAAACGCAGACTTCTTCAAACTTTTGTCCCACCCACCCTCACAACTCCTTCCTTGGCCACCTCAAAAGTAAGGTAAGCATTAGGCACCCCACCGATGAGAATTTCCCTGGAATGTTCTTTCCCTTTTGATCATTTTGGAAAGCAGTTTCTTTTCCCATTAATTGATGGAGAACAGTTTTTTAAAAAACCAACAAGAGGGACTTTTCAGAATGTGGTGCTTCTAAAGACAATTTTCATAATAATATGTTAATGATAAAATGCAAATGTTTATGTATTGGCAACTCCTGGAAGATTAATACGAAACTCCGAGGTAATCGTGCAGGTATTTCTGTAACGAATTTCTCAAGCGTCGTCCTCTTTTGCATGAATACTCCCAGTCCCTGTTGCATCCTGCATTTATCTCTGTGCCTTTGAAAAGGAGATGGGCGGCTGGGAAACTGAGCTCGGGGAACACAGGGTGAACTCTGTTGCTCCGATATAAAGTGCCCTGTAATTCTATATGTGGACAGGATGTTGGCTTAACATCGTATCGGCAAGACAAGCCTTCCGGGGGGGCCGTGGCTTTTAACATGCTGCTGACAGAGAGCAAACAGGCTGCCCTCTTGATCCAGGAGGGCTTGGGTTTCTCCCCCATCCATCACTCCCATAATAGCCCCGAGGACAAAAAGGGTTCAAAGACACCCAATCCCCAAATCTTGGGATAAACTGCAAGCACAGGGGGATGAATTCCAAGATTTAAATGTCCCTTAAAAATGAGTGAAAGTGATCTCAAATCTGGAATTATAATGAATTCTGGTGACATTTAAGGGCTGGGGAATGAGTATTTACACCGTTGTTCCCTGAGGGTCTTCATCAGTTACCACAGCCTTAAAAAGATTCATAGGATATATTATGTAGCTTATTAAGAATCAGTGCCTGAATTTGTTTGTTTTGCTGTTCTTGGCATCTGTGAATTTCAGTTTCAACCAGTTTCCCATTTTTTTCCCATTGGAAAAAAAAGAAAAAGGAATATTGTGCAGATAAACAAACAAACCAAAGAGCGTTGCAGGCGGGGGGAGGGAGTCTTTGCCAGCCATATCAGCAAAATCCAAAGGCTCCTTTGCACAGTAGCTGTAGTCAAGAGGTAAAGTGCCCAAGGCTGGACACAATGTGCTTAAAATGTCATTATCCCTCTTAACAGGAGTAACGGTGTTCTGTTGAGTAAACCGTCTGTTTGCTTTGGAGTCAATACAATGGCTGGCCGGCGGGTTTGATGAATGGTTCAACGTACGTATAAGTCACTTATTAATCCACTGTGACAATGCAGACCGTGCTTTTCCCATGTTCATTGTCTAGGGGGCATCCTGCTACCATGGAGCCTCTGTTTCCACAGATTACACTTACACACACATCTCCCACGGCATGTTTCATAAACAGATCCCTCGGATTACGATCAGATAATTTCGATTTGAATGCTGTTTGGACAATGGGACCATGTGATGATATTGAATGCCCTCATCCACCTCGACTGGCTGCGACGGCACCTGAACCTGTCTGGCTTGTGCCTCCTAAGTAGGAGGAGCTTCGGGGCAGCGTGGGAGGGGTTGGTTAAGGAAGATCTCGCCCCACCCCCAAAAAACACTCTGGAGTGGTTGCTGGCACATGAGACCACATGGCACAATAAGTTTGTCAGTCTTTAAGATCCAAGAACCGTAGTTGAGTTGGAAGGAACCCCAAGGCTCATCCAGTCCAATCTCCTCTACAATGCAATGAATTGCAGCTAAAGAATCCTTGACAGATAACTGTCCAACATTTGTTTAAAATCCTCCAATGCCATCATCGCATTCTTGGTTCTTCAAACATTATCTTGACCCGTTGTAATCTGTCCTTGTTTTAGCACCAAAACAAGAGCAATCTACCTGCGTTCCCATGAACCAGACCTCTGGATTTAGTAAGTTAAGCATTTAAAGCTTACTTAGCAGTGTGTGGTCTGGTCATTACGAGAGGGGTAAAGAGAGGGAGACCAAGAGCTTTAAAGCAGACTAAGTGGGATATGCAAACCTATTTTCCACTCTGAAAGTGATTTTTACTCTGCTGGAGGCTCTCTCACCCTAGAGAGTGTGCAGAGCCCTGCCTTTTGAATCCAGGCACCTACATTTTCTTATGTTAATTACACACATGTGGGTCAGATCTATTTTCCACCTCCAGGGACCCCGCACCACTTTCCTAACAACACTCCTGCAAGCTATTGAGTTTGTGTAATGCTGCTGTTGTTCTTGTTGTTGTTTGAAGGGTGGGATTTGGCTGAAATCCGAAATTAGTTTAGTAGATGTCAATAAGGGACCACCTTCCTTCCTCCCCTCCTCATTTCAGAAACTCTTTGAGAGGTGAAAAGCACATAGTTATACTATGGAACTCACTGCCACAGGAAGCAGTGATGGCCGCCAACTTAGATGGCTTTAAAAGAGGATTAGACAAATTCATGGAAGAGAGGGCTATTGATGGCTACTCACCACAATGGCTATGCTCAGCCTCTACAGTAGGAGGCAGCAATGCTCCTGAATCACAGGAGGGGAGAGGGTTCTTGAGCACAGATCCTGCTTGCAGGCTTCCCACAGGCATCTGGTCACGCCCCTCCCCCACTAGATGGGCCATTGGCCTGATCCGGCAGGCTCTTTTTGTACTAGCTCCTAGCCCTGGAAAAAAAGGAGACCTCTCCACTATCTCAACGATTATTCATTTAAATGTTAACCTCTTGACTAATCTGCCTCATTCTCACTGGAGACCTCTTTTGCTATCTGCATTGCAATGTTTATCCCCTGCAATTTCTGAAAGGATAAGAGGACCATCAAGCTTTTCCTAGTTAAACGCAACCCTGACATTTCAGGTAATCCAGGCGCTGGCCTCAAGCTGCTCTTTGCCCGCTCTCCTCTCTTCCTCCCTCACAATGATTAACTTTGCTATCCACACAACAAGGCCCGGCTAATCTCTGCACTGCAAATACGGCTGTTAGCAAGAGCAAGCTATAATGAGCGCAAAATGCAACCCTTCCATTTAAAACACAGCCTATCTGTAAGCTCAGGATGAAGACCAAGAATGTACGATGCCTTAAGAGGTCTTCTGAGAATGGAGATGCCAGCGATTGAAACTGCAGCCTTCCGCATGCAGGGCAGATAGATGCTCTACCCCTGAGCCATTCTCTTCCCAGAAAATGGGACTTTAAGCTTACAGCCCCTGGCAATTTTCCTGCACGTGTGAGCTAATCCTAATGTCTGCTGTGCTGCATCCCCTGCTGGACTCGCTTCCCTTGGGTTGGGACCGCTGGGGCAGATCTGCAGGGCCTGCTCAAATTTGGGTGGGTGGCATTTGGAAAGTAGCTTTTCTTAAGGACGTAAGAAGAACCTGATGTTTGTGGGGGGTGGTCTTGGGCTACTTCTGTGATGTATGTATGATGTTTTGTGGGGTGGTCTTGGGCTACAGGGCGGGCAATTTAAAATGTCTATATAGGGGCAGGCATACCTTTGTTCTGGGTCCTCCTTTCTCCTGCGTGTTGCAACAGTTCAATAAAGATCAGGCTTACTAGCTGCTTTGCTTCTCAATATTCTCTGGTTGGCCTCTGTTATTTTCTCCTGCCGATGGAGAACCTACAAAGGACTCTATAAGGACTCTTGTGTCCCCGAGAAGGGAATAAGGGTAGATTTTGTTTACAACAGACACCTGGTTGGCCAACGTGAGAACATGATGCTGGACTAGATGGGGCACTGGCCTGATCCAGCAGGCTCTTCTCATGTGGCTATGTTAACACCGAGATGACTCAGGGTGGTGGGAAGCCTCTCAGGAAGCCTCAGTTAATTTTTATTGCTTCATGGATTTAAGGATTTGGAGGAAGATAAATTCCACGGAGCCCTCCACTGCCAGCTCACCCGGATAACATTTGCATGCTCTGGGTGTTTGCTGCCTTGCTGATCCCTCTCAAATTCTGCTCCCTGTTCAAACTTTTTCCCCCTCCACCTTGCGAAGGATCAGTGGCTACATCAAAGGTTACGTGAAGGTTGTCCACATTCCTTCCGAGCTGTTTGCACAGCCCTCCAGTTTGCTCTGCTAACACCCCAGGCAGCTCTCCTTGCAATCGCTCTGTTTGCCCAGCATTAGGCCCCTGTTTGCCCAAACACCTCAGAGAATCCGAGGGGGGCGGGGCGGCGGGCTTTCTAAACATTGGGTCCCATCTGTCAATCAATAACACCAATCAGTTTCCTGATACAAACAGCAAACTCTGCCAAAGCCAATATTTGCCCAACTTTTACTAACTCTTTGTGTGTCATTGGGTTTGGCTTTTTTTTTTAAGCGTAAAATGCATCTGAGCAGACGTTTTGTACACAGAATTGTCCTTGCTTAATGGTTAACTCTGGGCAAACAGAATGTATGATTTCAGTTAACGGAAGGGGCAAAAAAAACGAGAAGGGGGGAAAAACAACCGGGATTTTTATTGCCACCTTTTAAAGAGGAGAAGAAAGGACTGGGGGAGGCGATTTGCATAAATACAGGGGTTGTTATCTGTTACCATAGGCAGCTATGAAAAAGGGCAAGAAAAAGGACTCCGTTGAGTCAGCCGTGTACACACCCAGCCCCACAGGCTCACCTTTGACTGGTGTGTGTTTCAGGTGATGTTTATGCAGGCTACAGACCCATAAACCCACTGATGTCATTACTGTGGAATGGGAACAGCACAACACTACAAGATCCATGCACACATTCTGCAAGGGACAAAGTTCTCCACGGTCTGCCTTGGGAGTCCAGGGGTGCCAACTTGAATAAAATATTGGGGGGGGGGGGGAGAGTTCCAGGTAAGCCTTGCCCCACATAATCAATCACAAGACTATTCATTGGAGGTTTTAAGCTGAGGTTCCGTGGCCACCTGTCAGGAATTCTTGAGCTGTGATTCCTCCATTGCAGGGGGTTGGACTAGATGACTCCAGGATGTCCCTTTCAACTCCACAGTTCTATGATTCCATGACTTGTTTACAGGCTGTGCTTCAGTCTTTGGCTTTCTTCCTCCTTGCCCCCTTTTAAGTTCTTAACATTTCTTCCGTGCCTTTTCAATATCCCTCCTGGAGCTCGGCTTGCGTCAAAGCGATTAGATCTCACAGCCCCCCTAAGGATGACAATACTGCTTGTCTTGTAAAGGTATTTCTTTATTATATCATTTCTTTATTTTTGCTGGAGGTTTGTTCAGAGAGAGAGAGTGTGCTTCTAGCAGCTCAGTTCATGTTTAATTCATTATGTTTTGCCAAGAAAAGGAAAACCCAGGAAGAACTGGGCCAGATAATGATCTGCCAAGAGGTGTGTGTGTGTGTGTGTTTAATATATCACGTTTTGGTAATCAAATAAATCTCCTTTTGAGATAAATGTCAGAAGTATTTTAAAAGCTTTTCTTCACAGGGAAGGAGCCTTTCGCTGAAAGGGGCATCAAACAGTCATTTTCACAAGGAAAAGATCCCTTAATTGGGTCTGACAAGGATGGAGAGAGGAAAGAAGAGATACCTGAACAGCAGCCACCCCCAAGCTGGTGCTTGCCAGATGTTTTGGGCTGTGGTTTCCATCAGCCCCAGCCAGCTGTTTTCTTCCCCTCTTGTCTAAATGCCAGAACTTGAACTGCCCTGTGATCACCCTCTTAAATTTTGTAGGGAAGGTAAAATCAGCAGGAGGCAAACAGGTTGAATCATAGAACTGCAGAGACAGCAGGGGTTGTTTAACGCACCGCAATGCAGGGGTCTTAACTAAAGCATCCATGACAGAACAGCCATCCAACCTCCAGCTTAAAAACCTCCAGTGAAGGAGAGTCCGCCACCTTCTGAGGGAGTCCGCGCCACTGCCAAGCAGCTCTTACCATCATAAAGTTATTTAGTTCAGTGTTAACTAAACTTAGGTCTCCAGCTACTTTTGGACTACAACTCCCATCATCCCTAGCTAGCAGGACCAGTGGTCAGGGATGATGGGAACTGTAGTCCAAAAACATCTATATTATACAGTGGTACCTTGGGTTACATACGCTTCAGGTTACAGACTCCGCTAACCCAGAAATAGTACCTCGGGTTAAGGACTTTGCTACAGGAGGAGAACAGCAGCGGCACAATGGCAGCAGGAGGCCCCATTAGCTAAAGTGGTGCTTCAGATTAAGAACAATTTCAGATTAAGAACGGACCACCAGAACGAATTAAGTTCTTAAGGTACCACTGTATTACATTTATATTCAACCTTCTCTTCAAAGAGCCCAAGGTGGCATACATAACTTCCCCTCCTCCTCATTTTATCCTTACAACAGCCATGTGAGGTAGGTTAGGCTAAGAGACAGCAACTGGCCCAAGTTCACACAATGAGCTTCACAGCTCATTCAATGGTCCCAGGGTGGGGGTTATAACCATTTTAGAACACAATGGGCAGTATCCAGCTAGTGTATCCCATCCTTTCAAGGATTTCCGCTTGTGCAATGGAACTTCCCCCTCTCCTCCCCCTGTGCCCTCCCCAGATCTGCTCTGGAGGTTTGGGGGAACCCCTAGAATAAATTTAGTCGGTGCATGGGAGGAGGGGCGGGAAGAATATGTGCAAGTTCTTGTGTTGATGAGACATGATAGTTGTTCAATATTCTATTAGAATGGGACTCAGTGCTGCCGCTGCGACCAAAAATTGGCCAGGAGGGGACCAGCAGGCGCTCACACCTCACTGGTAAAACTGTGGAGATTCTCTCTGTCCCCCAAAAAGCCAATACTTAAATTCAAACAGAAGGTGGCGCTAGATGAAAAATGATGGCTTTTTGCCCTCCCCACCCCCAGCTTCATGCTCCTTCTTTATTGGAAGAAAAGATTGTTGTCCTTCTCATAGCATCAGAATGGTTCGCGTGGAGGGGGTTGGGGATCTGCAGTGATAGGAAGAAGAATATGTGTACAGTGAACATCTCCCCACCTTAGAGTGGTGGGCCATTATTTATTCCAGCCTTGCCCTTTCCAAATGCTGGCAAGCACATTTATTTATTAGAATCGTAGAGTTGAGAGGCGCCCCAAGGGCCATTTAGTCCAGCCCCCTGCAATGCAGGAATCCCGGCTATCTGTTTACTCGACCTATTTATTAGCAATGCCCCTCATTCCCCTTGAAGCCAGGAACTGTTGCCACTGCTGGCGATCAAAATAAATAAGGAAGCCCAGAGGCTCCCAAAATCTTACTAGGTTTTATGGCAGTCCAAATGTATTGCTTATTTATTCAGAAGTGAACCCTGTTTAAATCAGCGGGGCTTTCAGCCATGAAATATTGAAATGCACAAACATTATTGACAGGCCCAGTGCCGTCAAATGAATCCAAATAGAGTAATGCAGTGATTGCCACTTTGCCGCTAAATAACCTACAAATATGTGGTCTCTAATCTACTGAGCTTGGGAAGGGAGATTCTCTTCTCTCCATTCATGGAGCCTCTGCTTTGCATGGAGAATGTCCCAGATTTGGTTCCTGGCATCTCCAGGAAAAGTGGCTGGGAAAAGCTTCCACTGGAAATCCTGGAAAGCCACTCCCAGCTGGTGTCAACATTGCTGGTTGACATCCATCTGTCTCGGGAGACAGCGGAGGAGCGAGCCTTTGGAACTGTATATATTTTGCTAAGAATTACATAACATACCCTCTAGATGGAAACCCAGGCAGATGGGCGGCGTACAAATAAAGTATTATTATTATTATTATTATTATTAATTATTATTACATTTCTCTGATGAAAATAGAGATGATGATGATGATACTATTTATACCCCCCATGTGACTGTATTGGCCCAGCCACTCTGGGTGGCTTCCAACATGTATAAAAACACAATAAAACATTAAATGTTAAAAAAAACTTCCCCATATAGGGCTGCCTTCAGATGGATCAGGAGTCAGATAACTCCATACCCTCCAACATTTCTCAGATAAAAATAGGACGCACTAAGGGAATGTGGGACATTCCGGGATCAAATCAGAAACTGGGATGGCTTCTGTAAATCTGGGGCTGTTCCTGGAAAATAGGGATACTTGGAAGGTCTGAAAACATATACAGTGGTATCTCTGGTTAAGAACTTAATTCGTTCTTAACCTGAAACTGTTCTTAACCTGAAGAACCACTTTAGCTAATGGGGCCTCCTGCTGCCGCGGTGCTATTTCTGTTCTCATCCTGAAGCAAAGTTCTTAACCCGTCTCTAACCTGAAGCGTATGTAACCCGAGGTGCCATTGTAGAAGGTTTTGGGGCTCAAAGCCTCCTTCTGGACTGCTTGTTCCCAGTAATCTGAACTGTCTGTCTCCCCACCCACACCCTCCCAGTCATCGGCCCTGAGGATAGATATTGGTTGTGGCTAATATTGTGCGTTGATTTCTGGCTGTTTGTGTTGCATGGGTACGCAGGGTGCCACCACAACCTGTGGTTGTTTGAACTAGCGGGGAGCGTCCATGCCAGCATGAAACCCAACAGCTGTACTTGAGCAAGTCCCACCCCCATGCTGCACCGCTCTCACCCCCTCCCCATCCTAGGGACCATTATGGCACCATATCCTACATGGGCCTGATGGATTGGTTTCCCTGTTGTGCTCTGTGTTATCGCAGCCCTGTTCTAATGCTAGTCAAACATCATGGTGAATAGCCCAACTCAATGGCAGCCCTGTCGGGCTGGAGAGTCAATATTAGCTGAGCAAACAGCGCAAACAAAGAGTTGCTATTTGCGTAGCTATGAGGAGCTGTGTGCTTTTGTCACCAAACAGGCCACTTGGAAATTTCGTGAAAAGGAAAGCTCAGAATTCTCTTGCTCAGCAAATGCTCTCTGTCAGGGTTAAAAACAGGCTGGGTTTTGTTGTTGTGTTAAGCAAGTATATTTAAGATCAAGACTGGTTCCCATGCTTTCATAAGAGCCTGCAGGATCAGGCCAACGGGCATCTTGTCCAGCATCCTGTTCTCACAGTGGCCAACAAGATGCCTGTGGGGAACCCGCAACCAGGATTCGAACACAAGAACCCTCTCCCCTGCTGCGGTTTCCAGCAACTGTTAATCAGGAGCATTGCTTGCTTGGTAGAAGGCGAGACTCTGAATCTCAGGGTTGTGGGTTCGAGCCCCACATCAGGCAAAAGATTCCTACATTGCAGGGGGTTGGACTAGATGACCCTCGTGGTCCCTTCCAACTCTAAAATTCTATGATTCCATGATTCCAACTGTGGAGGAAGAGCCTAGGCATCATGGCCAGTACCAACAGAAACAAATGACAAGCACTAGGAAAAGCTTGTCATTTGGAGTCACCAAATGGAGTCACCTCTTCATTGGAAGTTTTTAAACAGAGTTTAGATGGGGATTCTTGAGCTGTGATTCCTGCATTGCAGGGGTTAGACTAGATGTCCTTTGGGGGTCCCTTCCAACTCCACATTTCTATGATTCTATGCCCATCTGACACATTGTTCCCTGGGTCCCCATATGGGTGGCAGAAGGGCTGTCAGGCTTCCTGATATTCAGTCTTACACACATGTGTGTGAATCAGCAGCTCTACAAATGTGCACATTTCAGCTTCAGAATTCCAGCGCGGTGGCCTTGTCACCGAGGAAGCTCATTTACGGTGCAATTATGGCAGGAGTCGGAGGCTGTTTGGAATAACGAAGCCCCCGTGGCAGACGCCTTTGCATTAATTTTATTTATCTCGAGTGGGTGAGTGGGAACGAGTGGCAGAGGCAGAAAAATAATTGTTTTGCTTCTAGGTCACTGGGATTGCTTATCAGGAGGGATCTCGGAGGCGCTGCTTTCCCCGGCAGAGAAGAACGCGATATGAAATGCAGGAGGCACAGCCGCGGTGCATAAATAGGAACATAATTTCTGAAAAATGGAATTAATGAGGCAATGAGGTTGTCTTAATGAGTGCAAGGTCTGCTGTAAATGTCACCGCGCCAATGTCTTCATTGTAAATTACCGTATGAATTTCTGAACACCATTTTGAGAGGCAGAAATGAGTCGTGGGGTGGGGAAGAGGAAGGAGAGGCTGCGAGCGCATTGGGGGGTCAGTTTCCAGGAGAGGGACAGGCAAATGTGCTGTGAAATTGGGCTCGCTCCCCAGCCCAGCAGGATGGCAGGTACAGGGCGGCTGTGTGTGCTGTGTGTAGTTAAAGGTAAAGGGACCCCTGACCATTAGGTCCAGTCGTGGCTGACTCTGGGGTTGCGGCGCTCATCTCGCTTTATTGGCCAAGGGAGCCAGCGTACAGTTTCTGGGTCATGTGGCCAGCATGACTAAGCCCCTTCTGGCGAACCAGAGCAGCGCACGGAAACACCATTTACCTTCCTGCCGGAGCGGTACCTATTTATCTACTTGCACTTTGTGCTTTCAAACTGCTAGGTTGGCAGGAGCAGGGACCGAGCAATGGGAGCTCACCCCATCGCAGGGATTCGAACCGCCGACCTTCTGACTGGCAAGTCCTAGGCTCCGTGGTTTAACCCACAGCGCCCCAAACAAACATGACACATAAGGGAAAAGGGATGGGGAGGGAGAAGGGGGGAAATGCAAGCTTAGGCACTGGTTCTTAAAAGTTACAGTTCTTCTTAGGAGCAGCTGGGATGGAAATGGTTTGTGTAACCTATGTTTCCACTGCTTTTCATTCCGAATTTTAAATTTTAACCTGTCCTGGGACCTGCTGGTGAAGGGCGAGTAATAAATTTAAGGATGATGATAATGCTGCCAGATGGGGTGACAGGCAGTCAGGAGATCCATGCAGAGCTTCGGTGGGCTTGCGCTTTCCATCCAAACATCGGGGATGGAGGATGCAGGATCAGGGCGAGGCGAGGCGGAGTCTACGGCTAGGAAGTGCACACCTTCCACTTGTTCAGTGGTAGCTCATTTCCTTGCATGGGAACTGTTGGATAGGGGCCAAGGGGTATCACCTGGTTTGCTGTGACCTATTGGGATAAAGAGGAATACCTAGGTGCATAGTCTACATTGGGCCAGAACCATGAGGTACCAGATTGAGAGCGGTTGCAGGCATTTTCCCCATTTCATTTATTTCATTTGCTATATTAATATCCCACCTTTCCTTCAAGTAGCTCAAGGTGGTTGCGTGGTTCTCCCTTGCCCCATTTTATCATCACAACCACCCAGCGAGGTAGGCTAGGCTGAGAGTTACTGGCCATTTATCTCATAGCTCACTGCAGCAAAATCAGGCCACTAACATAAGGTGGTGGACTCTCCTTCATTGGAGGTTTTTCTATCAGGGATTCTTTCACTGTGATTCCTGTGTTGCAGGGGGTTGGACTAGATGACCCTTGGGGATCCCTTCTAACTCTACAATTCTATGATCTTATGATAATTTAGGCATAAATTACATTATCCCACCCCAATCCTTTTAGTGCAAGGGAAACGGAATGCAAAAGAATGAGTGGGCAGGGGGAACATAATATATTTTATATTGTTTGTGGATTGGAAGCAACAACCATCCAGTCTTTACTGGGCTGATTTCCGTTCTGGATGGGGGATGAATAAGCAAATATTGACAATTTCTGCTCCCATTTCTGTTTTCACTGAATTCTCCGGCACTTCTCCTTGAGGAGTCTCATGGGGAGAGAGGGCATTCTGCAAAGCAGCATAGATTAAGTTTGCTCGCCCTATTGATCTGAACTGAAACTCCCATTTTCCAAAGCCAGTCCCATGCCTATTCAAGGACCCGATACAATTTGACTTGGAGGAGGACAGCGCCAGTTGCTGCGTCTGGATTCGCACTCGCCTCTTCAGTTAGCATTCCAAAGGAGCATGTGCTCATTTGACTGATGCTCTCTATCTCTGGAGCTGCTCCTGTGAAAAGTGGCTGTGCTTCTAAGGAAGTCAAAACCTTCCTTTGGGTGCCAAAACCTTCTTTGATGCAGCTATAAAACAAACAAGACTCCTTGGGCTCTCTCCTCCTCTTACCCTTTCAACAAACAGCCTGAGTCAATGTTGGCGCTTTTGCCACCTTCAGATGCATAAAATGGCTGTAGCTTCCTTTTTGGATAGAAAGGGCGCCCGTCAACGCCCTGAAAACGAGCCAGGAAGATGACGATTCTTTTCTTTTTTCCAGGCAGGTGTGGTCTAATCAAAACATGTAAGTGTTTAATTCCTCTCATTCAGTTGAAGAAGGCAAATGGCAGGCCTGGCACACTGCTCCTCCTCTGCTCCGACAAGCCCAGTGAATTCCCCCTGTGCTTCCGGTGAGTGACTGGCCATTTCTGGGTTCCCTAAGCAGAAGGAGGGGCTGATGGCTCTGGGCAGCTAAAGCACTGCCCTGTATCCAATTGACGTGCTTCTATTATTATTATTATTATTATTATTATTATTATTATTATTATATACACCGCCCATCTGGCTGGGTTTCCCCAGCGACTCTGGGCGGCTCACAGAATATATAGATGTTACATACTAAAACATCAAACATTAAAAACTTCCCAATACAGGGCTGCCTTCAAATGTCTGATCCCTATGGATTAGGGATGCCGGAATCTGTCCAATTTGAGTTTTCTCCATTTCTCGTTTTTCTGACTTCAAATTCAGGTCTTTACATTGCCAAATAGTTAAAAATTTAAAAAAGATCCCCATTAAAAACCAGTATTTCAGTGCAAATTTCATAAAATCATAAAGTTGTAGAGTTGGAAGGGACCTCAGGGGTAATCTAGACCAACCCCTGCAATATTTGAATGTACATGTTATTCTGCCTAATAGATACATTTATTATTATTTTTGCAAAGCATATTGGGTGGAATTCAACTCAGTTTTACTCAGAGCAGACTCATTGAAATTAATGGACCTAACTTATTTAAGACCTTAATTAAGTCTATGCTAAGTAAAGCTTAGTTGAATATCACCCAATTTCTCCTAAAATAATGCATTTTTGTATATTCACAATTATATGTATTTTTATGCACACTTTAAGTAAGGGTATGCATTTCTGCACACATTACTTGACTAGAGAAATGCATTGCAAAACAGCCCTGGGGCTGTTAAAGGATAGCTGTGTTTCAATTTTCATATTGCGTACATGCAAATTAGATAGCTTCCTCTTCACAAGCAAACTGAATCGAATTTCTCCCCCATCCAGGTGTTGCTGGACTACAACTCCCATCATCCATGGAGACTGGCCATGCTGGCTGAGGCTGATGGGAATTGGAGTCCAACAATATGGGCGGGCACTAGAAGCCTGAAATGGCATCATGGGGTGGTGGGGATTTCCTTCACCACATTCATCGTCATAAAAATAAATGCTTCTTTCACATTTATTCATTCCTTTTATCTAACAGAATTTGCATGCTGCTTAATTGTAAAAACCTCTGAGCAGTTGACATAAAATACAACCGAAACCTATAGATAAAAGTCAGAAATTAAAAACAAGATAAAATCAGCCTTGAGGTTTTAAAACTGCTTTGAGGTTAAAGTTATCGTTGTTATTTAATAAACAAATCATGCATATGAGGTTTCACTTTTCCTGAAGATGTTTTTTTTAAAAAACAACAACAAACCACCAGCAAGGAACTTCTGTTGCTTGCAAACAAAGGTTTTGCAACTTCCAGACATCCCTCTGTGGCCTCCCTTCTCTTAGGCCAATTAGGAGGTGCCATCTGCCCAGCGTCTGTTTGCTTTCTGAAGAAGGAAATGGGGTAAAAAATCGACAAAGGGCTCTCTCTCCCCCATCAAGAAGTGTCAGCCTTTTGTGAAGATGTTTGCACTCAGCTTACATGTCAACAAACTCTTAATCTGCCTGGTCTGGCAGAGGGAAAGACAAATATTGATTCTCCAGGCTCACAAGATGGCCTTGCCATTGTTTTCATGTCAGCGTGATCTCAGGAGGTTAAGGAATGATTTTGGAGGTTCTCTGGTTTGGGCTTGTAGCCAACCAACCAAGTTCTACTCAGAGAAGACTCATAGGGTAGAATCATAAAATCACTAGGGTCCACTAGGGTCATCTTGTCCTGTCTCATGCAATGTAATAATCTTTTTGCAAAAGAAGACAAAGTTCCACCCAGAGAGGAATGGCTGGTGAAGATGACGGACTATGCCGAAATGGCGAAACTGACTTGGAAAATCAGAAACCAGGAAGAGAAGAATTTTAAGAAGGACGTTGTGCATCTCTACACATCTTCCAGTGCCTGAACTCCAGGGATGGTGGCTGCAAGCGCAGCTCACCCTGGCATCATCTCGCCTCGCAGAACTGGCTTGGCAATGATGCCAACCCCACAGCTGCCAAGTTGGGACTTGATGGGCAGGAGTAGCACGAGTGGCTGCTGAGAGAGAAACTTGGCAGCGGGCGAGAGGCCTTCTGAGTGGCGTCTCTCGGGTATGTTTAGCCTCCCTGCCTGAGAAAGTGAAGAAGCCCCAAGTCGGCAAATGTGCAATCTTTCCTGGAGCTATTTATAGAAGGAGATGATGAGAGACAAGCATCATTCAAGGAGTGAGGGTGCCGGGAGGCGGGGGGGGGGGGGGAGGAGAGAGAAAGAGAAACAGAAGGGGAGGGAGGAGTGCGAAAGGCTGGCAGCTTCCTTATGGCTCAGCCCAAGTTGCCATCAGCCATTGAGGCACCTCAGCTGTCAATCTGCATCTGCAATCTGGCTGCATGTGGGCCCCATCCACAGGAAGCAGGGTGGGGCTTCTGAGATTGGCATGGAATGAATTTAAATATAAGTATTTATATGAATTTAAATTTATTTATTTATTTATTTATTTATTTTGGAAAGGGCATGTGCTTCAATGGCACACATGAAAGGAAGGAAGGAAGGAAGGAAGGAAGGAAGGAAGGAAGAGAAAATGCAGATTTGGGTTGTTTTGGTCACAATTCCTGAAAGAATTATGATTATTGGTATTGGGAGCAGGGGTAGCATACCCTCCAAGTGTCCCAATTTTCCAGAGACAATACCGGAATTACGAAAGCCATCCCAACTTCTGATTTGATCCTGGGATGTCCCTGTTTCCTCTGCCAGCGCCATAAGTGCTGAGCTCAGGGAGGAGGATGAGCCAACGCTTGTCCCAAGTGACGATGACAGCAGTGGCAGAGGCTGCCAGGAAGCATCCCGTTGTCTCTCTCAAATGACAAGTAAGGAGATCCCAGCAAAATCTCAGGAAGAACTTTCTGGTGGCAAGAGCCATTCGACAGTGGAACAGACTACATCAGAAGGTGGTGGACTTTGCCACCTTGGAGGTTTTTCAACAGAGGTTGGGTGCTCATCTGTCAGGGATTCTTTAGATGTGATTCCTGTGTTGTTGTGGGGGTTGGACTAGATTGGGGTCCCTTCAAAATCTATGATTCTATGAAAGCTGGCTTTTGCTTACGAAATGCCCTCTCTGATGTCACAGCCTGGCTTGCAAGACAAACAACTCACATTCCATGGTGGGAAAAGACTTCAGATGTAATAATTGTGGCCTAGAGTTGGCTGTTGAAATGTGGAGTTTGGGAGGGGAAGATAGGCAGAACATGTGAAAGCTATTGATCTCAGAGCATCCGTGAACACGCTCTTATTAACCAACAGTAAATCTCAGCTGCTTTATAATTAGGTTGCTTCCTTCCCTTTGAACTCTCATCGCAAAGAGCCATTACTTAATTTGGCTGCCGTGATTTATATCTGAGAGGAAATACTAGGTTTGCTGGCATCACCGCTTACGCTTGAAAGGGTGTTCACATTTGCTGGGGTTTTCTTCCCCAGGGAATTGTGTTTCTCTCTGAAGCTTTTGTTGTGTAACCTGTGTGGGATCACACAAACATACCCATCGCTGCCCCGGGGGCTATATATTGTCAGTGGTGGTTGCCTTTGGTGGAACAGAAGACTGTCTCCCAGGATCAGAGCTGTGATCCAGGGCACGTCTACTCTGCAAATACGAACCGGTTTCAGATGTGTATCACTATCATATCAGTGCCATCGGAACAAACTGCAATCATGTTAATGTTTGCATTGCAGTAAGATGCAGATCACTCCTTTCTGCCTATGTTGGATTTCTGGAAATATGGCTGAAATCAGGGGTTGCCAGAATTGGATGTGGTGGTGAGGAAGCTGAGGCTCATTTGGGTAAAAGGGTTGCAAAGGTATATGAGGGTAGGATGGAAAGGCAGTGTGGTGTAGTGGTTAGAGTCTTGGCGTTGTAAGTGGGAGAGCCAGGGTGACTTTGGACCAGACACTCCCTCTCTCAACCTAACTTACTTCACAGGGCCATTGTGGAGATGAACTGAGGAGGAGAAGACTCAGGTGGTTACCTTGAGCTCCTTGGAGGAAAAAGTGGGATATAAATACATAAATAAGGTGGGGAAAGAAGCCTTCTTCTTCACACCAGAATGGTCAAAGGGCTGAAGCAATTCCCCTATGAGGAAAGAGCACAACCTTTGGGCCTTTGTAGCTTGGGCAGGGGAAGTCAACAGCAGCAGCAGCAGCAGCAGCAGCAGCAACAACAACAACAACAACATTAATAATAATTTCTATGACGGCCATCTGACTGGGTTGCCCCAGCCAGTCCAGGCAGCTTCCAGACAAGTAAGGAGGGGACATGATAAAGATGTCTAAAATTATGTGGAGACTTCCTGTGGGCATCTGACCAGCCACTGTGGCTACATTCACACTACACACTTAAAGCATCACTTTGAACTGACATGGCTTCCAACCAAGGAATTCTGGGAACTGCAGTTAAGTCATTAGGAGGCCTCCTATTCTTCCTCCCAGTGCTACAATTCCCAGAGTTCCCAGTGAAGAGGAATCAAATGTTGAACCACTCTGCACTCTTTATTTTATTTTATTTATTATTTATACCCCACTTCTCTCCCCACACACACCCCAAGGAGCTGAAGGTGATGTACACGAATCTTTCCCTCATTTAATCCCCTCAACAACCCTGTGAGGTAGGCTAGGCTGAGAGTAAATGACTGGCCCAAGGGGAGCTCCATGCTTGAGTGGGGTTTGAACCCTTGACTGTCCCAGGTCCTAGTCTGAAAGGCAGGAGGCACTTCTTTTGGTGCCACACTCTCACAGGAGGCCGTTGACTCGTGTGAGAGCATGGCACCACAGCAAACTCCAGTGCCAGCTGCTCCTCTTCCCCAAGTTTGGCAGTGAAGGCGGTGCTGGAGGGGGGGGCCGGAATGGGACATTCTGGGATCCAATCAGAAGCCAGAATGGCTTCTGTAATTCCTGGGTGTGCCAGGGAAATCAGGATGGTTGAGGAGTATGCACTACACTAGCCCTGACAGTTCCCAGAATCCTTTGGGGGAAAGCCATGACTGTTCAAAGTGGTACAATAGTCCTTTAAATGTATGGTGCGAATGGGGCCACTGTGAGACTAGGATGCTTGACTAAAAGGGGGTTCTGTTTAGATCTTGCAGCCAGATTTCTCTCCTCTTCTTAGCCATGCACTTGCAAACAGAACTGATATGAGTTTAGGGAGGGTTTGAGATCACGGGCTTGCTGGGGAAAAGTTCAAATGGATCATCTCTCGAGCCAGGCATGACTGGGTGGGGGCCTCCCGCAGCTCTTCACACGTTGAAGAAGAGAGCCTCAGGCATGGCTGGCTCCAGGAGTCTCTCAGATGTTTGTTTTAAAATTTCAACGCTGCCTTTTCCACTTCAGTCGAGATGCTCATGGAAAGTAAGGGATGGGATTAGAACAAAATTCAGAGTAAAAAAAAAAGTGACATAAACAATAAAACAGCTGGTGCAGTGTAGGAGTTAAAGTGTCGAACTAGGGCCTAGGAAAGACCAGCGTTCAAATTCCCACTTGGCCAGGAAACTCACTGCATGACTTTGGGTCAGTCACTGTCCTTTGCAGCCTAACCTACCTTGCAGGGCTGTTGTGGAGATAAAATAAAGCATACCCTCCAACATTTCTCCCTTGAAAATAGGGACGTCCCCTTCCATCATGATAATTTTACTATTTATACCCCACACGTATAGCATAGCCACTCTGGGCAGCTTCCAACATATAGAAAAACATAATAAAACATTAAACGTTTAGAAACTTCCCTATACAGGATTGCCCTCAGATGACTCAGGGGTCAGATAACTCCATACCCTCCAACATTTCTCCAATGAAAATAGGGACATCCTGAGGAAAAGCGGGACATTCCGGAATCAAATCAGAAACCGAGACGTTCCTGGAAAATAGGGACACTGGGAGAGTCTGATAAAGGAGGCAGGAGAGGACTATGTCCGCCACCTTGAGCTCCTTGGAAGAAAGGGGGAATATACTGTAGGTGAGAAATAAATGCAATAAAATAAAAAAGTAAATAAATTATGACTCTACCCAGACTACCCAAGCCTCTTGACACCCTAATCTTTCCTCCATCTTAACCAGGATTATTTTTTCTTCCTTGTGAGAATTAATAGTGTGTGTGTGTGTGGTTGTAATAGACCTTGGTTGCCCTTGGCAACTTTGTCGGAGTTCACTTGTCTGTTCACTTCTCTCTAAATCTTCCTTTTTCTCCCCTTCGGGCTCTTTCCTGTCAGGTCGCAGCCCAGGAAAAAGTCAACAGAAAAGAGAAAGAACAACAACCCTGTAGCTGACACAAGAAGGGCTTGGTTTCCCCAGCTGCCCCTGAGGATTCTCGCATCACCTCTGCTGTTGACAGATGGCTTTTGCTTTTCGCTTTTGAATTTTGTGTCAATGACTTTCCAGTGACTGGAATACATTATGTTCTCGGGTCCCGCCCTGGCTCTCGAGATGCTTTTAATTTGTAGGTTTAAGCTTAAATTCCTCGACGGGTGCCAACTTTTCTGTTTGTTTTCCTCGGGAGCGCTTTGCACTATGGGTTTCGGTAACTGTTAACCGTTGGGGGGCAGCTCCCGAGGTCATCTTTCAGAGCTGACTTATATTTCTGTCGACACCAGAGTTGCTCCTCGACGACCTGCCTTTCTGCTGCGGCGCAGCTTTTTTTTGACTCCTGTAATTACCCTCTGAATTTAAGCTGATTATGTCGACTTTGGAGGCTGCGTGTTTGTTTAATTCATCCATTGCTGGGTGTTTGCACAGCAGCTCCACGAGTAAACACAAAACTGATTGCGCATCTCTCAGAAAAAAACGGGTTTGCCCGATGGCTGTTTCCCCAAAGATACAGTCAAGTAAACAAGATGAGTTTCTCCAGAGCTGGCTGGTATCTGCTCTCTTTCACAGCCGTGTGAAATGTCAAATCATGCAGGCTTTCTGCAAATGTTTCCAAATGGAATCACCTAAAAACCAGCTACTGCCTCCAATGAGCCACCTCCTGCTGTTGACCAAACCGCTTTTGATGCCAAGGAATATTGTTTGATGGAGGAAGGAGCCGGGCTCGGAATGTTGGCAAACAGTTCGGCTTCTGTGTGTGAAGTGAAAGGTCCATTGGGGAAAAAATGCCTTCAAGCAGGGCTGTGCTGAAACAGGACCTCTCATTTCTCGATATTTTTGCTCCCCTGAGAAAGAAGCTTCTGCTTTTTCTCCTCGTTCTCAGAGACTTTGAAAATTTCTCATACCCTCCAACATTTATCTGATGAAAATAGGGACATCCTGCTTAATAATAATGATAATGATAATGATAAATTTTATTATTTATGCCCCACCCATCTGTCTAGGTTGCCCCAGCCAACATATATAACATGCAGCTTCCAACATATATAAAACATAACAAAACATTAAACATTTTAAAACTTCCCTATACAGGACTGCCTTCATATATATTCTAAAGTTTGTGTGGTTCCTTATCTCCTTGGCTTGGGGGTCGCATAAAAGCTCTTTACATGCAGGGTAACCCCAAGCAGACCTGGCACAAGAAGAGCTTTTGTCTCCACCTTGCTTGGATTTACCTTACTCAATTTCAACCTGCCTGCTTTCAACCACGTATGGTTGAAATCACACAAATTAAGTCGCACATAAGCTGTAACCATACTGGATATTATTTAAGACTATCAAATACTCAAAAAGTAATCATCAGTTTGGTCCAATGATCATCAGTTGGGAAATGCCTGGGCCAAGAAGGAGATGTGTTTAGTAAGTTTCTGAAACATGCTGTAGATAGAACCTCCTAAATGCCAGAGCAGAGAACATTCCAGAGATAGGAGCCACCACAGAGAAAGCCCTGCTTCCATATTGCCTGTAGGGAGCAGCCTGCATGCCATAGCAAGGTCGGCAGAGCCTCCTCGGATTATCTCGGTGATTGCACAGGTATGTATCGGGGAAGGGAATCCACTAGAAGGTATTCTGTGCAATTGGTATCTCTCTGTGTGCGGGGGATATGATTTTGCCCCTTCCTCTGGGTTGATGTCTGACTCCCTGGAGGGGGTTATGGCACACTGGCAGTGCATCATAAGGACGCCACAGGTTTGAAGTCCTGTAATAGCACCTCTGCAAGCAAACTCAACAAAGCTTTGATGTATTGCGATGATGCATTATTGGGACAATGGCAGTTTGATGCATTGCATTAAAGCATCATCAGAACAAAGGCACTTTGATATATTGTGGAAGCGTCTTGGCGTATTATCTTCCTCTGCTGCCGACGGGATGGCCTCTTAATGTATTTTCAATAATACATCATTATAGAGACAGACAGTGCTTAATTTCTAGGAGAGCGGCTGGAATTGAGTATCCTGGAACAGAGTCGAATAGTGTTCTCCAAAATAATGCTCCTCTGATTCATTTCAGAGACACTTGTGCAAGAGGACTTCGTGATGGTTTTGCCCCCTTAATAAAGGGGTAGGGGTCCTTTTGGCTATGGGGGCCAGTTCTTTATCTGCCCCCACCCCGTGCACCAACTGTGACCTATATTACCTATAAAGTCCTAAATGGCTTGCACCAAGGCTCCCTGAAATTTCGTATCTTCCTATAAGAACCTGGCCAGGTGTTAAGAGCCCAGGTGAGCACCTTCTCTTGGTCCCATCACCATCAGAGGCATGGTTGGTGCTGACATGAGAGAGAGCCTTTTCTGTGTCTGCGCCTATGTTATGGAACTGTAGAGTTGGAAGGGACCTTGGGGGACACCTAGTCCAACCCCCTGCATGGCAGAAATCAAAGCTAAACAATCCTTGCCCATCCAACCTTCAGTGAAGGAGAGTCCTTCCTAAGTCGCCCTTTCCACAGCTGAGCAGCTCTTACACCAGAAAGTTCTTCCTAATGTTTAGGCTTCAGGCACAGCCCTCTGGAACATGAAGCACAGATAATTTGTGTGTTGTGGGTCTCTCTCTGAAAAGGTCTAGCGTGGCCTGGGAAGTTGTCATAATTGATGGGACCTGTCAAGGAGGTTCCAGGGAGCCCCTGCTCCTGAAAGTGGCAAAATGCAAAGTCACTGCTGCAATCCAGTTCAAACTGGACCTATCTGACTGGGATCTGCTGCTGTAGAGTGTAGATGTTAAGTTGTGGGTGAACATATCAGACGACACAGCAATTCTCCAAACAGCTCTTGTTTATTCACAGGTCAGAACAGAAGTGAACTGAAGGGTTCAGCCAGCCTGCTTATATAGAGCTCCAGTACAACGTAACTGTAACAACTTTCTGTAACTATCCAATCACTGAACGTCACTTTCGATCCCATGTTTGCATATGTGGACCTGAACTATCTACAGTATCCCCCTGCTGGCCCAGGGTGAGAACTTCAGTACATAACAGTAGACACTCCAAGCTCTTTTGGACACCCTTTGCCAGCTTGGTACCCTTGAGATGACTTTGTAGGGTTTTGCCAAAAGTTGTCAAACTTTTCTGGGCAAAATTGCAAGAAATGGAAGTTTTGGGGCTTTATGAGTTCAATTAAAAGTGTTGGTGCTGACCTTTAAAGCCCTAAACGGCCTTGGTCCAGTATACCTGAAGGAGCATCTCCACCCCCATCGTTCAGCCCAGACACTGAGGTCCAGCTCCAAGGGCCTTCTAGGGTTCCTTCACTACGAAAAGTGAGGTTGCAGGGAACCAGGGAGAGGGCCTTCTCGGTACTGGCACCCGCCCTGTGGAACGCCCTCCCATCAGATGTCAAGACAATAAACAACTATGGTATTTTTCGCTCTATAAGACACACTCTTTCCCTCCTAAAAAGTAAGGGGAAATGTGTGTGTGTCTTATGGAGCGAATGCAGGCTGTGCAGCTATCCCAGAAGCCAGAACAGTAAGAGGGATTGTTGCTTTCGCTGCGCAACGATCCCTCTTTCTGTTCTGGCTTCTGGGATTCAGAATATTTTTTTTCTTGTTTTCCTCCTCCAAAAACTAGGTGCGTCTTATGGTCTGCTGCGTCTCATAGAGCGAAAAATACAGTATCTGACTTTTAGAAGACATCTGAAGGCATCCCTGTTTAGGGAAGTTCTTAATGTTTGATGTTTTATCCTGTTTTTAATATTCTGTTGGTAGCCGCCCAGAGTGGCTGGGCAAACCCAGCCAGATGGGTGGGGAATGAATATTATTAAATCACCAAAAACGGCACTGCCGACATGGGTTGCCATGTGTCCGGGTTTTCCTGGACGTATTTTTGGGGAGGCCAATTTCCACCCGGACACGGTTTCCGACAGCAGTATACTGGGTATGTCCGGGAAAATCCGGGCCTATGGCAACCTTCATTTTTGACTACAATTCCCATCAGCCCCTGTCTCCAAAAACACTTGGAGGGCACCAGGCTGGCCACTTCTGCTCCTGCAGAGCTCATGCCAAGCCCATAAATTTATGCCTGATTTTCTCCAAACAAATTCAGAGACCGAGAGTGAGGCAAAGCTGCTACGGAGGGCTGCCAAGAGGAATCTATCTCAGAAGAGGCGCTGTGGGAGCGGCGCTAATACTTTTGGAGATTGAAATGCCGCCCATGAAATTACAGATCATTTATCATCGCCAAGCGCTTTATGGAGAAAAATGGTTATTGCTTTTTAAACACTGGTGATTGCAGAGAAATTCTATCTAATCTTGCCTCTTTAATATGCATCTTATGAAAATGTCCGCAAGAGTGAGAGTGGGGTAGCAGCAGCAGAGGCTTTCAATGTGTGTTTAAATGCAAATATTTGCTTTATACAGTTTATTCCACTGAAACCTTGAAACCGTCCGGTGTCAGAATTTAATCCAAACTCCATTCTTGCTGCTGAAATAGTTTTCTGTTGTTCTGTTGGGAGGAGGTGTGATGTGCTTAGAGTGCCAAAACTAGCACTTGAAACGTTCATGGTATTTTTTTCAGGTCAACGGCCACACTTCCTTGTGGCCAAGCTTCTGGCAGCCATGGAATCATGGAGATGGAAGGGACCCTGAGGGTCATCTGGTCCAACCCCCTGCAATGCAGGAATTTATTGCCCAACAGGGGCTTGAACCCATGACCTTGAGATTAAGAGTCTCATGTTTTGCCAACTGAGCCATCTCAGCCAGCCAGGTGCCAGCAGTGGGTGGAGCCAGAGCCTAAAGTGGGTGGAGCCAGATATGAATTTCTCCACCTCCAATGCAAAGAAGCAAGTCCAGGGACTTATTCAAGCAAAGACAAAAGGTGTTGATGATGGGGTGGAGCAGTGTTGGTGAGGGGTGTGGCCATGGAAGGGTTCATGGCCCAGGGAGAGTCCTGAGGGCCAGATTGAGGTCTGGAGAGACATTTGTCTCCCAGGCCTAGTTTCCTACCCTGGTGCAAAAGACTCGTGGGGAAAAAAATCTATTGAACATGTCCAGAGTTCTTTTCTCTCATCACTCCCTGTCCCAGGGTCTGCACATCTAGGAGTTCAGGAGGTTGGGGCCTTCCAAAGTACAAGGGGGGGGCATATAATAGACTTCTATCTAGAAACTTTTCTTAGGTCAAACTCAGCTAATTCCCACCTTGTTGGGAAAAAACACAACCATCCATCAGATTTCAATCTTCGCTGAAATTTGCAATATACTTTTTGACTCAAAAATGAACCCAAAGTATGCGTTTCAGGACATTTAGAAATACATACGTTGAGATAAAATATGTATTTGTCAGCTGTCCTGCCATGTCCTAACACCCCCATGGAACTCCAGAACACCAGGAAGTCTCCCTTATCTTCAGAGCCCCTCCCTCCCACTGAGTTTGGGACTCTGGTGGGCTCCAGTTTGGGGAAGCGGGGGCTTAGATTAATCTGGGGGCAAATGGGCTGGAGAGAGGAGGACCTGATTTATCACCTGATACCCCAAAGTGCCTTCGGCTGGTGCTAAAGTGTGTTCCTCTGGGCTGCAAAAAGAAACATGAGAAATTCCTTCCACTGCAGAGATCTCCCCATCAGTTTATTTCCTGTACAGTAGTGATGTATGGAAGTGAGAGCTGGACCATAAAGAAGGCGGATCGCCGAAGAATTGATGCTTTTGAATTATGGTGCTGGAGGAGACTCTTGAGAGTCCCATGGACTGCAAGAAGATCAAACCTCTCCATTCTTAAGGAAATCAGCCCTGAGTGCTCACTGGAAGGACAGATCCTGAAGCTGAGGCTCCAAGACTTTGGCCACCTCATGAGAAGAGAAGACTCCCTGGAAAAGACCCTGATGCTGGGAAAGATGGAGGGCACAAGGAGAAGGGGACGACGGAGAACGAGATGGTTGGACAGTGTTCTCGAAGCTACCAGCATGAGTTTGACCAAACTGCGGGAGGCAGTGGAAGACAGGAGTCCCTGGCATGCTCTGGTCCATGGGGTCACGAAGAGTCGGACACGACTAAACGACTAAACAACAACAACAGTCTTGGCAAATCCTGCTACAGGTGTTAGAGGCCAACTGCTGGCTGGGAAGGATCCCTACCGCCCCCTCCCATCGTCTGCCACCCCAAAGAAACAACATTTGTTGCTCTCTTCTCTCCACAGCGCCACCCCCACCCCTCGCTGTGTTCCCTGGCACATCATGCAATGCGACAATGAATATATATTGACCTTATTATAGCAGCCGGCTGCTGGTGCCAGAAGCAGGCAGGCATACTTTGCTCAAATTAAAGCTGTCAGCCTGTAATTTATGGTTCGTTGCAGGAGAGGAGCTCTGAGGGGAGAGCTGTGGAGCTGGGGAACAGGCAGGCAGGTAGGAAGATGAACCCTGGGGGGAGGTGGGGGAAAGATCTTGCTAATGATGCCATGCTAGCGTTCAAGTGTCATCTCTCTCCTGATTTTGCACATCTTTCAAAGCGGCTCCGTTTGCCGGAGGTGATGTCTTGCTCCCCTCTTGCCCGCCTCTCCTTGCCTTGGGATTGTTTCTCCCCCCCAGAGTTAAATTACTGGTTATACCTGAAAAGGATGAAGTAGGTGTGATAACAGAGGGCTAGACAGAAGTTGTCTGAAGACAATGGGGTAGCTTTGTGTCTTCCAGCCTCATAATATGGTATCGTTTTCCTAACAGAGCTAACAGGCTTGTCAGATTAAGACTCTGTGGGTGGGTGAGAGAGAGAGAGAGAAAGAGAGAGAGAGAGAGAGAGAGAGCAGTCTTGCTCAACCTGTACAAAAGGAAAAGTCAAGTCTGTTCCTCCACCTACTTTTGCATGTGGCCCTGTCAACCCTCGCACACAGCTCCTGACAGGGGGAGCATAGCCCCATGGCTGACAATGTTCCCCCTGTGGGGTGGGAAAAATAAACATAGTTCACCCGTGTGGGGGAATTAATAAAAGACTTGGCTGGATCCCTAGATCCTAAGCACAGGGCTAACCACACTCTCCAGCAAGACAGAGCCCCCAGCTGAGTATTAAAATCCTAGAATCATGCAGCACAGTGACGCAAAAAGGAATACAGGCTGTTAGACCTTTTAAACACCCCATTTAGTCTGCTTACAGAGCTTCCCCTCTCCACCTTTCTCACAATGAACAGACCACACCGTTAGCAAGTTTAAATGCTTTACTTACAAACTCCGAAGGTCAGATTTGTGCATTATTCCATGCAGCAGCAAGAAGAACACAGGTAGAAATCTTGGGTTTACAAAATACAGAAAAATATTTCTGAGCGCGTGGTCTGGGCTTGAAGGAGTCAAGCCCAGACATGTTGCCTGGTCAGCATCACATGGTGGAAGGGAATGAAGTAAGAAGCTTCACTTCCTTCTTCCCTGGAAGTGAGGGGGCATGAACTGCCTGAGTCCAGGAATACAGATCTGTAGTCCTAACCCCTTCATGCATTAACTAGCCCTAAGCTAGTGGGTGGGGGGAATTTGACTGCAATTTCCCCACCCCCACCCTTCCTCTCCTGGCAGATAAAGGCCCGCAGCGAGAATTTCAGGGATTCCTTGGGAATGATATGTTAAACTTTTCTGATCATTTCGAATGTTGATATTCCAGTTGTTCTGTTATGACGAGCCCAGCTGCGCACTGCCGGTCAGATCTGCTGGCAAGGGGCCTTTCTGAAGGGTATCTCCATGGCTACCTATGAAAGGATTACAAGAAACATTAGCATTATTTATTTTTAGGTCACCCTTCCCCCAACTTAGTGCCCTCCAGCTGTGCTGGCTAGAGTTCATTGGCATAGCCTGGGGGGCAGGGAGGGGCAGCTGCCGCCTAAATCAGTAAAAATCAATAAAAATACATAGCAAACTGAGGTTCTGCCCCCCCTTCCAACAAAAGGCCTGCCCCTCTCAACAAAAATCCTGGCTACACCTATGCTGGGGTTAATGGGCGTTATAGTGCAAAACATTTGGAGGCCACTAGGTTGAGGAAGGGCATTCCTTGATGGGTAAGGTAAAGGTAAAGGAACCCTGGACGGTTAAGCCCAGTCAAAGGTGACTATGGGAAGCAGCATTCATCTCGCTTCAGGCCAAGGGAGCCAGTGTTTGTCCGCAGAGTACATTCTAAAGCACAGCTGAGTACAACTGGTTTGGCAAAGACATTCTATGCTTGAGCCAGACCCCCAAATTCTTATGCAATGTACAATACTGAACATGATTTCTGAAAAGGATGAAGGTTGGCTTGGGTTCCATTGGAGCCCCCCTGCAATGAAACGGCTAGCACAGTGGGCCGACTCCTGTGGATTGACCTCAAAGGGATGCCATCAAAGTGTTTTTAGCTTTTGGGAGGCATAACTCTGGGAGTCACCTCAAGGATGAGGATGCTACCTTCATAGACCTTGTTTATGCCCCCCCCAAGCTTGGGTGAATATGTTGCTTGGCGAAAGAAAAGTTTCTCGTCACGAGAACTGCACTGCCAAATCTATGTGGGTTTTGAAGGATGGCGGTGTTTTGGTTTGTGGATTCCTTCAACAGTTATGAATGAGGTAAGGTAAAGGGACTCCTGACCGTTAGGTCCAGTCCCGGACGACTCTGGGGTTGCGGTGCTCATCTTGCTTTACTGGCCGAGGGAGCCGGCGTACAGCTTCCGGGTCATGTGGCCAGCATGACCAAGCCACTTCTGGCGAACCAGAGCAGCGCACGGAAACCTTCCCTCCGGAGTGGTACCTATTTATCTACTTGCACTTTGACATGCTTTTAAACTGCTAGGTTGGCAGGAGCAGGGACCAAGCAATGGGAGCTCACCCCGTTGTGGGGATTCGAACCGCCGACCTTCCGATCGGCAAGCCCTAGGCTCTGTGCCTATAAATGCGGAATGAATCAGGTTTCTCTCTCAACCCTGCAACACGCCAAGCATCTATAGTAGACGTAGCAAGATGGAGATGACTTTCTAGAGGATGGGAAATCAGCCTAGACTCCAGCAGAGTCAAGCAGGGCTGCTTTCCTTTCCCTGATTTATTAATTAATGTATTACTAGGCTGAAACAAGCATTTGTTTTGCTCATTGAGGGATAGCGTGAGATGGCGCGGACAGTGGCGGCGGCGGCAGCAGCAGGGAGCTGAATGACCTCAGCATGGAAGCATTTTTATTTTCTCCTTCCCCTAGATGTAGGACAGCGTTCTTTTTTCGCGATTAGCACCTCTGAGCAGGAAGGAGGCTGGGCCAGCTGATGGTGGCTGAGTGGAACAAAAGAGATCCGGGAAGCAAACTGAGGTCACGCAGTCTTCTTGACAGCCCTATTTGGACTCCCAGGAATCGGTGGCCCGAATACCTGCGACTGGAGGCCTGGAATAGCGTGAGGGACGGAGTGGAAGGAGACACCTTCAGCACATTGCAGGCTGAAGAAGCAGAGGAGAGACCCATGGGGAAGGGCAGGCTCTGGCATTCTTGTCCATTTCTAGAGCATCGAGCAAATTTGGATGGTGGGATGTCACCATGATCCCTGCAAGAGCAGCATAAGACGGCTGTTTCACACGTTACACAGAGGCTAGGGTGGGTTGACCGCAAGAGTGCGTGCCACAAGTGCCTGCAGCCCATCCTGGCTGTGTGTTGTTGACGGAGTTTGGGGGAAGGGTTGCAGCTCAGCAGGAGAACATCTGCTTTGTGTGCAGGAGGTCCCAGCATCTCAAGGTAAGGTGGGGAATGTTCTGTTATAAGAAAAAACTGCTCCTTTCCCCTTACA